GAGGAAAAGGAAACATGAAGAGAAAGGACAATTTCCTAATCCTTAAAGAAAAAGGAAATTGTCTATTCCTATTAGTGTTAGAATAGGAAATCGGCTTGTTGTATAGCCACGACCTATTTAGTATAAATAGGGTGCTTAGGCTTTAGAAAAGCTGAGCACAAGAGAGAAAGAGAATTCTTAGACATTAAGGTTATGTGGTTTCTTGTGAGAAAGCATAATGCTTAAGGGGGCTAAGGGATTTGTCTTGAGAGAGTTCTTGATCGGGTTGTGATCTAAGAACGAGAGATTGAGAGAATAGAAAATAGTTTAAGGAAGACCTTGTAAACGTATTTTCTATTAATCAAAAGAGTTTTAAGAAGAAATCCTTGTCTCAGCTTGTGACTCAGTTCCTGACTCAGTTTCTGTCTTAAATCGTGAGCTAGTTCTCAAGTACTTAATAGCTCTTGCATTTTCAATTGGTATCAGAGCGGTCACTTGTGAGGATTGCATACAGGTGAGATCTTGTGGAGAAGATGGAGAGCTATCATGGACTTGACATCGGGTCAAGAGTAATATTGAATGATGGAAACTATGGTTTTTGGAAATCAAGGATGAAGGCGGTTATAAGAGGCATTGATGTCTATGCTTGGAAAGCCATATTGGAAAAGTGGGAAGAACCAAAAATCAAGGATGAATCAGGAGCCGAGGTTGCTAAACCGGAGAAGGACTGGACTAATGATGAATTGAAAAAATCAAAGTACAACGCAAAGGCACTCACCGCTATTCACATTAATGTTGGAAGAAACCAGTTCGAACTAATTCAGGGATGTGAAACAGCAAAAGAAGCTTGGGATATCTTGCAAAATCACTTTGAAGGAACCACAAAGGTGAAGAACTCAAGGAAAGACATGTTAGCCTCAAGATTCGAAAATCTGAAGATGGAAGAACGTGATTCAATTTCTGATTTTAGTTCAAAGATAAGTTCTCTAGCTCAAGAAGCATTGACACTTGGAAAGAAGTACAAAGATAAGAAACTAGTGAAGAAGTTTCTACGATGTTTACCTTCAAGATTCACGGCATACAAAACTGCCTTAAGTGTGTCACATAACACGGAAGACCTTAGCTTTGGAGATGTGGTCGGAATGCTTCAAGCTCATGAGATGGAACTAGAGGGTGTGAAGAAAGTGAAAAATCCAAAGGATTTGGCATTAACTTCTCTTGAAAGGAAAACTCAAGAGGTAGAAGAGGATGATCCTAAAAGTTTGTTGTTTCAAAGACTTGATCAACTATTAAGGAAGGTAGAAGAAGAACAAGGACAGAGGAGGTTCAACTCAAGCAAAAAATATCCAGAAGAAGGTAAAACTATTAAGAAGGCAAATATGCAATGTCATGAGTGCTTAGGGTATGGACACTTCAAATATGAATGTCCTACATTCAAGAAAAAGGATGTAAAGTGCTTTGGGTGCAAAGGTATTGGACATACTCAGCATGAATGTGTTAGTAATCAGAAAATAAGAAAAGAAAAATCAATACAGAGAATAGAAGAAGATTCAGAGGAAGAAAGTGATGTTGAAGAAGAAGTAAATCATTTTGTTACACTTTTGGGAAAAGCTGAATTTGAAGGTGGTGAAGAAGTGTTAGGGTCTGAGTCTGAAGAAGAACATGAAGTTGACTTTGCTGAATGTTATAAGGAGGTACGTGAGACACTGATTAAGATTGGACAAGAAAATCAAGCCTTAGTAAAAGAAAAGCGTCGTCTTGACGAACTTGTTGAGTTACTGCAGAATGAACTGAGGGATAAAACAAAAATCTGTCAAGAAAGTATGAAGGACAAGCTGACTGTTTCTACAAGAGTAGGAAAATCTAACAGAGGTTTGGGATATATTGGACAAAAAGGATCTCAAACAGGGCAAATCAAGTTTGTAGCTGAAAGTGTCTCTCCACCAAATCCAAACAAATATGAAAGTAATGCATCCAAAGGAACTGGATGTTATTTTTGTGGAAAGAATGGGCACATTAAAGCATATTGCTACAAATTCAGAGACAGAATAAGTAGACTCAAACATCAAGGGAAATTTTCCTGGAATGGATTCCGAAGTCAAATATGGGTGAAGAAATCTGATCTGTATCAGATTACATCAGAACATACGTCAGGAAGGATAGGAAGTAAATCAGGAAAATCAAGAAGTACGTCAGGAAGTGGATATTCTCGCAATATGACTGCAACTGCTACAGAACCTGCTTTAAAACCTGCAACAGAACCTGCAGCAGAACCTGCAACAGAACCTTCAGCAGAACCTGCATTAAAACCTGCAGCAGAACCTGCATTAAAACCTGTATCAGAACTTGCATCAGAAGGCTGCAACGAGGTAGAGAGTGTCAAGTACAAGATGTTATATGAACAATGGCTTAACCTAGTTGAGGAGAATTCAGTGTTAACAAGGGAAAAACTCAAGATAGAGGCAAAGGTGGCTGAAACACAAAAATATGCAATAGAGAAGGAAGAAGAAGCATCACAAGCTAGAGTGCAACTTGAAGAAACTTACAAGAATTTGAGGATGCTTAATAATGGCACGAAGCAGTTGGATCATATTCTAAACATTGGCAAAACTGATCGATATGGTCTTGGATTTAAAGGAAATCTTTCAAAATCAGATACAATGTTTATCTCTGGTGGTTATTAGAGAGAGCTACATCAATGAGGAGAAGAAAGAAGAAGAGAACATATGATCTGCATCATCAAGGTCAAAGTATGATATTTTCGGATTAAAAAAAAACAGTTTCAAGATGTCAAATTCAAGGCAACGTTTGGAGATCTAATTGTAGTCAGATCGAGCTGAAACTTTGTGGCATGCTTCATGGAACTATTGTCTTGAGATTCAACGGTGGGATTGAGATTTTGACGGTTGGTTTGGGTCTTATTCAACCTGTTTTGGACAGAGTTCATATAAAATTTCAGAATTGACCAACTTGACCTTTGAAGTAGTCCAGCTGGGATTCATGTGTGTGTCAACCTACGAAAGTGTTTTTAACTTGTGTGTGCTCACAAGCAGGGGGAGAAGAATGTGACTAAGAGAAGGATGTTGTTTTATGGGGGAGTTTTCATAAGATGGCATAGGATTAAGGGGGAGTTTTGAAGATGGTTTTGCTTGTTCTTTGCTAGAACCCTATGTGGCTTGTGTGTAGCTTTATGGGTCTGCTTTACAGATGCTTGTGAGACACACAAAGTTAAAAAGGGGGAGATTATTGATGCAGCCAGTTGACACACTCGATGTACCGGTGACAAAGTAGCACATGAAGTGATATAACGAAGCATGATGTTTTATCTCAACATTAAGTATGTGCTTTGTTTCTAAAACTCAGTCATCAAGGGGGAGATTGTTGGTGTTGTGAAGACCGAGTTTTAGAAGCTGCTGAGATCTTTGTTTCAAGGTTGAGAGAGAGTTTGGAGATCATCAAAGTAATAATTGAAGTTAATGATGTGTGAAGCTTGGATTATAAAACTCACTAAGAAAGGGAGAGATTGTTGATGTATTCTTAATAAGTTTTATATCAAGATGAAGAGAAACAGAAAGCGGCATTTATAGAAGGCAAATAATAAAGATGAAGCTGTTGAAGCAGTCGTTGTACTAGTTCAGAGTACTTCAAGAAGTAGTTCAGGGGAACAGAGCAACGTGAAGCGAGCATATGGAAATTGGTAAAGTCGGTCTATGGCGGTTGGCTGTGGATACTAGAAGCTTGGAGAAGATTCTAGAAGACTGAAGAGTTTCCTTTTCATAGGAGGAAAAGGAAACATGAAGAGAAAGGACAATTTCCTAATCCTTAAAGAAAAAGGAAATTGTCTATTCCTATTAGTGTTAGAATAGGAAATCGGCTTGTTGTATAGCCACGACCTATTTAGTATAAATAGGGTGCTTAGGCTTTAGAAAAGCTGAGCACAAGAGAGAAAGAGAATTCTTAGACATTAAGGTTATGTGGTTTCTTGTGAGAAAGCATAATGCTTAAGGGGGCTAAGGGATTTGTCTTGAGAGAGTTCTTGATCGGGTTGTGATCTAAGAACGAGAGATTGAGAGAATAGAAAATAGTTTAAGGAAGACCTTGTAAACGTATTTTCTATTAATCAAAAGAGTTTTAAGAAGAAATCCTTGTCTCAGCTTGTGACTCAGTTCCTGACTCAGTTTCTGTCTTAAATCGTGAGCTAGTTCTCAAGTACTTAATAGCTCTTGCATTTTCACACGTCATTGTCATAACGTCCGATGTGATTGCCCGAGAAGTCGTTCGAGAGAAAGACGCAGTTTTTGCGGACAGGCCAGACTCTTACTCTGCCGGGTACATTAGTGGCGGGTAATTTTGAATTTTATAACAAAGCTGAAATGGTCACTAGAAAATTAGTCCAAAATACAAATCAATATTCCTAGAAAAGCTTATAGTTCTTTTTTTTTTTTGATAAAAAAAAAAGCTTATAGTTCTCTTAGCTTGATTCAACAGATATATTAATAAGGAAAATTCCTTAAAAATACACTAACCTTTTTTTTCCACATAAATTACAAAAATACACTAACTCAAAGTTTCTTCCTATTAAATTAGAAAAAAATCTCAGTTCTAAATAATCTCCAAATATAGAAATTTAATTTCCATAACCTCTAAAATCGAAGAAAAATGAAGATTTTTAATTTAGTTAACATATATGTTTCGTATATATTGCAAACTGAGTATACGGTTCAGAGTTTGAGTATTAAAACAAATAATTTGTTTGTTTATTTGCGTACGTACGCAAAAAAAATGTAGCTTGTCTATTTTTAGGTTTACAAAGTTGACAAACGCTATCATTTTCGTTTAATCTTCCTAATTTATGGTTTCTTGTCAGTTGAGGGTAAATCTTTCTTCGGGAAAAAAATTGAGTGAGTTATAACTATTTTTGAAATGGCGGCATGCTGATTAAACCTTTCATAGTTTCTTAAATATTAATGCATAAATTGGATCCACCCATGTTTATAAACGTTACAAAACTGGTAGGTACAATGGGGTAGTGTTCGACGGGTACGGAGAGAGGCAAAAGAAGATGAAGAAAGTGATGTCGTCAGAGTTAATGTCTACAAAGGCTTTAAACTTGTTACTCAAAGTTAGAAACTTAGAATCCGACACCCTCCTGGCGTATGTTCATAACCTATACAAGAAAGATGAGTCCAATACAAAAAATGGCGTCGTAGTGAACGTTAGGGATATCGTGTGCACTCACACACACAATGTGAAGATGAGACTCTTGTTTGGTCGGAGACATTTCAAGGAGACGACGATGGACGGGAGTCTCGGACTTATGGAGAAAGAACATTTTGACGCCATTTTCAAGGCTCTTGATTGTTTCTTTAGCTTTTACGTAGCCGATTACTACCCTTTCTTAAGAGGATGGAATCTCCAGGGAGAAGAAGTTGAGTTAAGAGAAGCCGTTGATGTTATTGCTAGGTACAATAAGATGATTATCGATGAGAAGATAGAGTTGTGGAGGGGGGAGAATAAAAACTGCTATCGTACGGAGAAGAAGAATGATGTTTCTGTGATCAAGGATTGGCTCGACATTCTTTTCACTCTTAAAGATGAGAATGGGAAGCCGTTGCTTACCCCACAAGAAATCACGCATCTCTCTGTGGTTCGTGATAGAAATATACTCATAATTACCAATAAATTTTATATATTTTGATAAGTTATGGTTTGTTTTTGGCAGGATCTTGATGTAGTAGGGATTGATAATGCAGTGAATGTAATAGAGTGGACACTTGCGGAAATGTTGAACCAGAAAGAGCTTCTAGAAAAGGCGGTGGAAGAGATCGATATGGTTGTCGGAAAAGATAGACTTGTTCAAGAATCCGACGTACCAAATCTAAACTACGTCAAAGCTTGTTGCAGAGAGACCCTGAGACTTCACCCAACCAATCCTTTCCTCGTCCCTCACATGGCACGTCACGACACAACTCTCGCTGGTTATTTCATCCCAAAAGGTATCTCATTTTTCTTTTAGTTTGTATCTTTTTCTTTATCCCCCAAAATTTATGCATTTGGTTAGAGGCGTATTTGACTTCAACTCCTTAAATGTATTCAAAATCAGGAATTCTAATTTCTTTTTGCTTGTGTTTAATGCTTTGAGCGATTAAGCAATATTTTCATATTAGAGTATCTAGAATATTTGTTCCTTTATTATTTTGGACAGAAAATATAAATAGATTATGACATACAAATCTTTCAATTAATTAATATTATTTTATTTGTTTATTCAATTCAGTATATATATATATATATATATATATTGATTGTTTGATGTCGATCACAGGTAGTCATATTCTAGTGAGTCGTCCTGGTGTTGGTCGAAACCCTAAGACATGGGATGAGCCACTCATCTACAGGCCTGAGCGCCATATAACAGGCAACGAAGTGATGTTGACTGAACCAGACTTACGACTTGTTTCATTTGGAACTGGTAGGCGCGGCTGCGTTGGAGCGAAGCTTGGAACCTCCATGATTGTTACGTTGTTGGGTAGGCTTCTCCAAGGGTTCGACTGGACCATTCCTCCTGGTACGACGGACAAAATCGAGCTAGTCGAGTCAAAAGAAAATTTGTTCATGGCTAATCCTTTGATGGCTTGTGTGAAGCCCAGGTTAGATCCCAACATCTACCCCAAACTCTGGATCGGACCAGCTTGATCACACCGGTTAACGGCGCCACATATGAATAATTGTTATTGTTAGTTGATTGTTTCAACTTTGTTAAAGACCTCCGACAATGTAGGAGGCAGTTTCTCTGTATTCGACTATTTAAGGTCACATGAGCAATAAGAACAAATGCACTTTTGGAGTTTCATCATTCGGTTATGTTTCTCTGTTATAACAATTGGCATGTATGAATCAAATTTGAATTAGTCTTTGTAATATTATCGTTGTTTCATTGGTCTGAACTGAATTTGACAAAATTAAATGACAAGTTTTGAAATATAGAAATAAAAGATTGGGAATAAATTTGTGATATTTTGTCATCCAATTCTTATGGGGTTTACAAAAACCAATGAGTATATTACAATAGAAGAAAAACTGAAGTTTATCTTTCCAAAAGAATTAACTTAAAAGTCTCGGTTTAATTTTTTTCCTTTTCGGTTAGTTTAGAATTTGGATTATTCTCAGTTAAGGTATCTGTAAAATAAAACGATTTAAGTTATATTTATATATCTAACACGTATCATAGTTTTCCAACGGGATTGATTTACCTGGATTGAGTATCTTTAGGCTTTGAATGGTTGTCTAGTATGCTGCAGATCGGACTAAAATCGGACTAGTATGCACTTAATTTATCATTCACTATTGCATACTAGTATGCACTATTGCAGACTAAAAATCTTCATACTAGTATGCACTTGAGCATACCACTCCATACCATCATAAATTCACTGTTAGTCCGCATTTTTTCAGTTCACCCCTCAAAAGCTCCATACCATCATAAACTCCATACCAACATACAATTGTCTGCTCCATACTACAGTCTGATGTTTTGCATAGTAAAATATTGGTATGCAGTGTCTAGTACGCATCATATAGACTAACCATTCAAAGCCTTAGTGGATATGTAGAGACAGTTTTAGACTTTTAGTCAAAGAGAAAAGTGAAAAAGTAAAAGGAGCTTGACGAAAAGTTTAAGAGGAATATAGCCCATAAAGGCCCAGCCCAGTATTGTTCCGCTGGGTAAAGCAAGCTTGAAGAAAAGAAACGGGTGGAGTGCAAAAATGGAGAAATCAACTTGGAAGTTGAGATAGGCATAAGAAGAGCATCTGATTCCATCTTGATCACAAAGTCATTCTTTGTCTAATTCCATGGTCATCACAAAGTCATTCTCTTTTTTATTTATTTATTTATAAATGATATATTTATATCAATCTCTCAGTATCTTCAGTGTATAATATATAGTTTAATTTTCTCTAGGTTTCGGTACTCATGTGGGTTCAGTAAATAAAAATGTTAAGTCCCCATCTGGCCGCGTCAAAATTACTAGATAATAATTAGTGGTTGACATAGAAAATTAATGATTGTTGCCGCGTAGAATGAAAATAATAAATTAATTAAGAACAGTGAAGCAATAAATGTTTTTATTGGTGTCTTGAATAGTAGTCTTCTTAAATATTCCAGCAAAAACAAAAAGATTATATCCATTTTCAAGAAAAAAAAAAACTCTGAATTCCAATTGGAGGAAGAAGAAAGGAGATGACTATGGGGAATTTCTTAAAGAGATTTGGAAGTGGGAAAAGCAGAAGCAGTAGAAGTATGACTCTGGGAACAACGTCGTCTCAATCTCATGAACCATCACCGTCGGTGGATCCTTCAGTCTCCCTTGCCGATAAGATCAACGCCGCCAAGAAGAAGTACGCTCTCATCCCTGACCGCTTCTCTTCCCTCGACCAGGTTCATTTTTTTTTTTTTGTTTCTTGTGTTGACTTGACTTTTGGTTCACCATGGTTTCTGCTACTTCCATGTTCTTTGAGTTCTTGAAAGTCCAATATAAGAATAGGATTATTATTTTTTAAAAACAAAATTCTCCTCCATTCGTTGACATTGGGACATAAAATGATTTGGTAAACTTTTTAGTTTTAAAAAAGTTATGTAAAAAATGTCTAAAAAAAATTAGAGATGAAGAGTTGTTATTGAGTGTTAGTGAATGGTGTTTTAAAAGGTATCAAAAGCTCTTAGAGAAGCTGGTCTTGAATCATCCAATCTCATTCTCGGAGTTGATTTCACAAAGAGCAACGAGTGGACTGGTAACTTCAATAAATACAACTTATATTGTCAAATTCACATATATTTTTGAAATGTAAAAAAAAGATGGCTATCGTTCTGTTTCAGGGAAAACTTCTTTCGATGGAAAATGTCTGCACGCGCTCGGCGAAACTCCGAATCCATATGAAAAGGCGATTTTTGTAATCGGCCAAACGTTGGCTCCTTTCGACGAAGATAATCTCATCCCTTGTTTCGGCTTTGGCGATTGTGAGTTTTTTTTTTAGTTTGTTTTCCCAAATTTAAATGATCTTTTCAATCTCTGTTTCTAATACTCTTTGTTTTCTTGCATTAACCAGCAACAACTCACGACGAGGAAGTGTTCGGTTTCCATAGCGACAATTCTCCATGTCATGGCTTCGAAGAGGTCTTAGCATGTTACAGGAGAATTGCACCCAACTTGCGTCTATCAGGTCTTTCTTTGAATATCTAAATATATCTTTCATAGCTTTATTACCAAAATCACAACCTTCCGTGTTCAAAAGGGCCAACGTCGTATGGACCGCTCATCGATGCTGCGATTGACATTGTCGAGAAGAACAACGGACAATTCCATGTTCTGGTGATCGTCGCAGATGGACAGGTAAATAAGCATTTAAGAGAAAAAACTAAACCAAGTATGATACCAAAACTTAAAAGGCTCTCTTTTGAATGATAAGGTAACGAGAGGTACGGATATGGCCGAGGGAGAACTCAGTCAACAAGAGAAATCAACCATCGACGCAATTGTAAATGCAAGGTAAAACAATGCAGATTCAGTTTGTCCACTTTTCGCAACTCGATTTTGCGGAATCTAAAAAGCCATTTTCGAAATTCCTTTTTATCTACAGCTCGTATGCTTTGTCGATTGTTTTAGTCGGTGTTGGAGACGGGCCATGGGAAGATATGAGGAAGTTTGATGACAAGATCCCTAAGCGTGAATTCGACAACTTTCAGGTACCTTCCCAGTTTCTTTGTTATTTTCCATCTATATCCTCTGCTGAGTGTTTCCTTGATCTTGATCTGCTATTTGCATAGTTTGTGAATTTCACAGAGATTATGACCAGAAACTCACCAGAGTCTGCCAAAGAAACTGCCTTTGCTCTTGCTGCTTTAATGGAGATTCCCTTTCAGTATCAAGCAGCCATCGAACTCCGCTTACTCGGGTACTTCCATAAGTTCTCAACATAACAGAACTATTTTGTCTTTCTGGTTTTTTTTTTGTTTTTGTCTAATTGCTTCTGCTGGTCCCTGTCCAATTTTGCACCCGTCTTTAAAGGAAACAGACGGGCACAGCTAAGACAATAGTTCCGAGGCCACCACCAATTCCGTACACGCCTCCAACTAATGCTGAACTACCATCAACTGCATCAACTGCATCACCTGAACAAACCCAGGTCTCATAATTTGTATACTTTACTATTTGTCTGCCTTGTCGAATCAACTCCAATCTCATATGGGTTTCCGTTTAACAGAGTTGCCCGATTTGTCTGACTAACCGGAAAGACGTGGCTTTCAGCTGTGGCCACATGGTAAGTTTTACCGATTGCTTTTAGTTTACTCAAACCCATTTATGAATAAACCAGTTTTAACTTACCTTGTGCAATTTCCTTTTGCAGACTTGTGGAGATTGCGGATCCAAAATATCATATTGCCCGATCTGCCGAGTACGGATCACGAGCCGGCTAAGGCTTTACACGTGATCGATGCACACAAACTTTTTTTCTGACCACGACTTTACACGTGATCATTGTCGACAAACTTTATTTCTGCACATAACAAAACGCTTGCACATACTATCCTTTGTAGAATCTACAGTTTGGTTTGCCAAGTGTTTCTTACAATGTTCCACAATCAGCATGTACCATGTAATTCCGTATGTACTGTAAAACATTAACTTTGCAAACAAGAATGAAGAAGCAATGTACAAAACATGGGTTTTACAGTTTTATTCATCATAGCAAAATGTTTGAAGTGACTGAAGTTGCAGCAGTTTGCATAGCACAAAAGCTGTGTCGCTAGATGCCGGTTACAAAAAAATAAAAATATAACGGCCAGTAAACATGCCATTTTTGCATCGACAAAAGATTCGAGTGAGAGGCATCCACTAGCACTGACTCTTAAAAGAATTCATCCTTACTGAGCTTTGGTTGTCACCGTGTCATCTGGCTTTGGCACTGGTTGGATTCTTTGATAAGGCTTCCTGGTAAGAGTCTCTCCCCTAAGAGCAGCCACATATCTGTCATTTGTGTCCTGCTTCTGTTTCAACTCACCGAGATACTCAGCTAGCCTCTCTTGGTTTACTTTACCCATCATCTGACCATAAGATGCAGAAAGATGTTCATCAGCAGAAGATTATAAAGACCGAAATACGCGGTCATGTTTACCAATCAGCCTAAGGTTAACAGAATCAACATTGAGAAGCAGGCAAGAACTCAGATACATAAAATTCCTAGTTAACACAGAACAATGTGTTGGTGTTATTAGCAACAGAACCTTTAAATGCTCAATTCTATAATGCCCCTCGACAAATCTAGGCCTAAACAACTTCACACAATCCCATAGGAGGTTTGCAAAGTAGCAGATAAGAAATTATTTCAAATTCTCACACAATCTTGAGATACAAGAATCATCAAGATGTACTACTCATCCTCCAAGAAAAGTTCCACACATCAAGACAGCTCTAGAGACTGTGTATGAACAAATTGTAACCATCACTCAACAATTAGCAGAAGAAAACCAACAGCATGTTTCTATCAACAAACATCTATATATCATTATCACTAGATGAATAGAGAAACATACGAGGGTATCGGGGCGAGCAGATTTACGGAGGCGGGCTTCGAGCTCAGGGTTACTGGAATTGGTGACCTGCATAACTCCATAGCCTATAACGCCAGGAATCACACCACATAGAGCAGCGAACGTGAAGAAGAAGGATCTCGAATCTCGCGTCTTCGTCACTAGCCATCTCCATGTATTGCTCTTCTCATACATGAACGACATCTCTCTCTCTCTCCCCCTTCGAGTTCTCTCACCGGGGGTTTCTAGGGTTCATGATTTCACTTACAGGTTCGCACTTTTGCGTAAATTGCAAAGAACTCTGATTTTCTTATGTATTTACTTTTCGGGCCCAAATTATTCTTTGGTTTCGGTTTTGTACCTCGACTAGTTTCTATATTATCTTTCAGCCCCTATAGTTTGTTTAATTCGGTCAGAAACACTCAAGTTTTCTTTTGGATCAACAACACCCTATAGTTTTTAATTTACAAAATTGGTCGGTCATTTGTGAAAGGGTGGCAAAAAAGAATTGTCATTTTTACTAGCATCTGTAATATGTTTACTTGTTTACAAAACATTCTCGCTTCATCACAAAAAAATATATTCCCATAATTACGAAAGATAAGAAATATAGAGAATTATGTTATGGACTTATATATGATGGTGTTGAATCTGTTGATTGACCATATAATAACAAATTCATTAGTAAACTTTTTCGGTAAAATTTCTGATGACAGTCAACTTAATCCGTTTCCCAAGGATTAAAATAGAGGCATAGAGTAATTGAAGGACGGTCAAGTAATTGTAAACACCTATCAACTGATTCCAACCAAAGGAAAACTAATTAGTTTTTTTATATTTCTAAATTACTTCGGAAAATTATATATTCTTGATTTAGAAAGCATTTTCAGTTTCTTTCTTTAACAAAACGTTTCTTTTTCTTAAGCTTATCCTCACCATCACGCTTGAAGAATGCTCATGATCATCGAATCAAGAGGAAGAAGATGGATCCAAAGTTGTTGTTGTGCTTACCTCAAGGAGATGAACTCTTTAATCCCCTTAATACCATGTTTATTCAAATGGCTTGCATTCTCGTCTTCTCTCAATTGTTCTATCTCCTTCTTAAGCCCTGTGGCCAAGCTGGTCCCGTTGCCCAGATTCTTGTAAGGATATCTCTTTCTTGCGTTACAAGAATCACCCGTTTTTATTGGCTGTGGAAAATGTCTAACAAATTTTTGTTTTGTTATCTATATTGGATTTTTAGGCTGGGATTGTGTTGAGTCCTGTTCTGCTCTCAAGAATACCTAAAGTTAAGGAATTTTTCCTCCAGAAAAACGCAGCAGATTATTACTCTTTCTTCTCGTTCGCTCTAAGGACATCTTTCATGTTCTTGATTGGTCTTGAAGTGGATCTACATTTCATGAGAAGGAATTTCAAGAAAGCTGCCGTGATAACCTTGAGCTCATTCTTGGTTTGCGGCCTCCTCAGTTTCGCTTCCTTGATGTTATTCATCCCTTTGTTTGGGATCAAAGAAGATTACTTTACGTTTTTCTTGGTTCTTCTCGTTACCTTGACTAACACGGCATCTCCTGTCGTAGTCCGTTCAATCGCTGATTGGAAACTCAACACATCTGAGATCGGACGACTGACAATCTCATGTGCGTTGTTCATCGAATTATCAAACGTGGTTCTCTACACTGTAATCATCGCGTTCATCTCTGGATCTATGATAGGTACTCTCTTCCTCTTTCTTTTCGCAACCGGATCCCTAATCTTGATCAACAGTTTCTTAGCTCCATGGCTTCCAAAGAGGAACCCTAAAGAGAAGTACCTCTCAAAGGCTGAAACTTTAGTTTTCTTCATCTTCCTTCTCATCATTGGTATAACTATCGAATCCTACGATGTCAATTCCTCGGTTTCGGTTTTCACCATTGGAATAATGTTTCCACGACAAGGAAAGACTCACAGAACGTTGATTCAACGACTTAGTTACCCGATCCACGAGTTTGTTCTGCCGGTTTACTTTGGTTACATTGGATTCAGATTCAGCATCATCGCGTTAACCAAACGCTTTTACCTCGGTCTAGCTATTATAGTGATTGTAACCATAGTTGGGAAATTTATTGGTGTAATAAGCGCTTGTATGTACCTGAAGATCCCTAAGAAATATTGGCTTTTCTTACCCACCATTCTCTCTGTTAAGGGCCATGTGGGTCTTCTTCTTCTAGACTCAAACTATTCCGAAAAGGTACGTTTACTTAATCTTTTATGATTCCGCTACTTTTTTACCATTCAGTCGTTCACATCTAGTCTTGTTTAAATGTAGAGTGTGTTATTGCACAACAAAATAGCAAAAAATGCTACACATAGGGTCTGCTAGCTATATTTTTGTCAAGAACAGTTAACATATATAATAACAAAAACTTATAGTTCTTTTTTTTCATTCTTTGTCTGAATCTACTTGTAGAAATGGTGGACCACAACTATTCATGATATGATGGTGGCTGCTTTGGTGATCACGACGCTAGTAAGCGGTGTTCTGGCGTCGTTCTTGCTTAAAGCAAGAGAGAAGGACTTTGCTTACGAGAAGACTTCGCTTGAATCTCACAACACGAACGAGGAATTACGCGTTTTATCATGCGCCTATGGAGTCCGTCATGCTCGCGGTGCGATCTCTCTTGTCTCGGCCTTGAGCGGTTCTCGTGGAGCCTCTGATCCGTTCACACCTCTGCTTATGCACCTTGTACCCCTCCCCAAGAAACGAAAATCGGAATTGATGTATCATGAGCACGACGAAGATGGAGGCAACACGAATGGAGATGACGAATTCGGGACCAACGAAGGTTTAGAGATCAACGATTCGATTGATTCGTTTGCCAAAGACAGCAAAATATTGATCCAACAAGTGAAACTCGTGACGCAGATGCTTAATATGCACGAAGAGATCTGTAACGCAACAGAGGATCTTCGAGTTTCGATTGTATTTCTTCCGTTTCATAAACACCAGAGAATCGATGGGAAGACTACAAACGATGGGGAACTTTTCAGACAGATGAACCGTAATGTTCTAAGGCACGCTCCGTGTTCGATTGGTATTTTTGTGGACCGAAACATAACCGGATTTCAGCAGCCGCACGGGTTTGATTCTGTACAACACGTCGCAGCATTGTTCTTTGGTGGTCCGGATGATCGTGAGGCTCTTGCTCTGTGCAAGTGGCTCGCGAACAACACTCTGATTCATCTCACAGTTATACAGTTCGTCTCCGAGGAATCAAAGGCAGAGACTCCTGTTGGAAATGCGATGACACGAGATAATAACGAGGTTTTCATGGAAGTTCTGGGAAGGAATCAAACTGAACAAGAAACAGATCGGAGCTTCTTAGAAGAATTCTATAACAGGTACCTTACTTATACCCTGTTTTTTTTCACACTACTCTGTTTTGTGTATACTCTGTTTCTGAGAAGAGCTCTGTTTCTTTGTCTCTGGTCTGAGCTAAGGGAATTGTTATTCACAGAGTTCAGAATTGATTTTCGATCAAAGAAACTACTTTTGACAATATTTTCTACTATGCAACAGATTTGTAACGACGGGACAAGTGGGGTTCATAGAGAAGCTTGTGAGCAATGGACCGCATACGCTGACAATTCTAAGAGAGATTGGAGAGATGTATTCACTGTTTGTGGTCGGAAAGAGCAGAGGAGATTGCCCTATGACGGTGAGAATGAAAGATTGGGAAGAGTGTCCGGAGCTCGGAACTGTCGGTGATTTCTTGGCTTCGTCTTTAGATGTAAATGCGTCTGTATTAGTAGTTCAAAGACAAAGACATTCACATGATAGCTTTATAGACGATTAGCAAACGTTTCCTAGTTTATGCAGATTTTATTACAAAAATCTTAAACAAGAAAACGAAATGGTTCAGTTTATCAAGAATTCAAGACATGCCTTTGTAGGTTTCACATATTAATTACTCGGAAAATCAACATATGGCTTGATTAACCGGAGCTTAACGGTAAACTGGAACTAAATGGTTCTGTTCAGTGAAAAATTTATACGAAAGTTTAATAAAAGAACAGAGGTTTTTCAAAAACTCTGTTTTCAGCAACTTTGGCTAGTCTTCAAGGCTTGGTCTCTTTGCTCTTGTTCTTCCATTGTATCACAAAGACTTGACCCTTTGGTCTCAGGAAGAAGCAGCGCGAATAACCCGAGACCCGACATTGCAAATCCGAAAACCGCGAAAGAGAGTGACGGAATATTTCTTCCAAGCGAAGCAATAAGTGGGCAACAAGCTCCTCCAACCACAAGCGCTTGTCTAAGCATCATTGTTGCGCTATTCCTCACACATGTAGGGAATAGCTCAACCATATAAACCGCCATTAAATTGAATCCAATCCTAGCGCAGAAGAAAGAACCGAGTTCGAGAGCAAAAGCGATTTTTGTTCTCCCGTAAAGGCTCATGAGGAAACAGAGCACTCCTGATGCTCCTCCAATTAAGCAATTTACAAGAACAGAGCTTCTCCTGCTGAATTTCTCGAGCAAGATCGGTGTAACAACAAATGTTGGTAACTCCACCATGGCGTTTAGGGCTTCGCTCAAATAAATGTTCACTTTTATGTCTCTAACCGCTAATGGAACTCCATAATACGACATTCCCAACCCAAACATTATGATCATAACAAGTGTGACTCTTTGAAAAGCCCATTTTCTAATGAATAAGTCCTTGATAGAGTAGCTTGAAGTTTGGTCTAGTGTTTCTTTTGGAGGTAACCTAGAAGATACGGATTCCAAGTAACTTTTGTTTGCAGGTGAAATCCTTTTGAGCACTTCAATGGCTTCTTCGTTCTTCCCTTCCAAATGGAGCCAACGCGGGGACTCTAGGGCAAAGAAATAGATGAAAATACTGTGGATTCCTGCAGGAACGGATGTGCATAGATAGAGAATTTTCCAGGAAGCGTGCTGGACAAGGTAAGCGATTCCAGACAGCGACATGAACCCTAACACAAACAGAGTAAACGGAATCATAGTAGCTCGTGGTCTCAATTTGGTGGAAACTCGCTCACTTATCAGAACTAACGCGTATGTCCCAGTCTGGGAACGGGCGAAACCGATCACGAATTTTAAGAAAGAGTAGATCCATATGTTGGAGGATAAGAAAATGGAGATTCCAGTGAGGGACATTGCAAAACTCGAGAAGAAAAGAAGTTGCTTCCGTCCCAAGGAACCGTCAGGGATCAGAGCCAAGACGACTCCTCCAACGATAGAACCCACATAAAAAGTTGAACTTGGTAGACTTCTGCGGAAGGAGCTTGAGCACTCGAGATCGAACTCTGAAATGACTGATTTACCCTTGAAACCACCGTCCCACTCCCAAGCTGACCGGGGAATCTTACAGATATCGGTAGTTGCCGGATTGCAGATCGTGTGGTCCAGACAGTGCCACGTGGGATATGCATCTGTGAAGACGGTGATGAATATCTGCTGTGCGTCAAAGGTTAGAGCGAGCCCAACGAGAACTATCTGTAAGAACTGCGAGAATCCGAAATCAGACAAGCTTTGTTCGAGGATCTTGTCGAAAGTCAGAGGCGAAGAACTGTCTTCATCTGCTTCAAGGTGGGCGGTCAACAATGGTGCCAACGAATCCACCATGGTTGCTTACTTCAATCGATCTAGTTTGAGATGCGAGAATTATTACATCAAAATTAAAAACAAACAACTAGTAGTTTGCAAATATATAATGTGTGGTCAAGAGATCTGATCTTTAATGATCAGTGATTGAAATTTGTACTCTTTTTGTTTGTTTGTCTTTTTGAACAAATTGCTGTATGGCCCTTTCTGTGTTAATTATGACCAATAATAATTGAAGCACAGGATAAATACATATTTGCTGATGTAAAAACATGCGACATACTAACATGGACACTTCTGCTTATAAATTCATACTGGGCCGTTAAGTAAAGCCCATTTTAATAGGTTACTCAAATTGAAGAGTCTACCTCTGACGTATGCCCCACGATATGTCCGTTGTGCTTCCACTTGTTGCATAGAATGGTGAAACTTGACCACTCAAGTCTTAACATCTCGCCAAGAAATTATGTGAATTATATATATATATATATATAACGAATAAAGAAAGGGGACTATCAAAGTATCAAATTGAATAGTGAAATAAATTATTATAAGCTTGGCTTATAAGATTATCTATGTACATCTACCGCCACCATTCTCACTGGTGACTTGCCACCTTGTGTTGAATATGCATATATATATATATATATATATATATATTGTTCATATGAATATGCATATATATATTTTCAACTATTCGTATATAAAATACATATTAGAACACAATTCATTTTTATATGCATTAGGGTTATGTAGTTATCTTTTATAGGTGTTAAATCTGTGAATCGCTGAATTAATCAATATTTTCAAATAATCTCATCTAAATGTATGCATAAATTTATTAATCCACATTTATATGAGATTATAGGAAAATTTGGTGGTCAATGTTTTAGTTTCTCATGAGGAATTTAAGTGAGTTCGAATCCCAAGACATCCGGAGAATAAAAGGGGGAAAGAACAAAAACAAAAGATAAAAAAAAAATCCTATCACTGGTATCTTTTAAATGGGCCCTTTATTAAAAGACACATCTTATTTGACAAAAAGAAAACTACAAACAGTAGTATTAAAAATTCATTAATCCACAGTAAAATCACTGGGTGTGGTGTCATTTTCCAAGAAAGATCATACCTAGAGATCGTAATTACAATTAAATTAAAATGATTAGCATAGATATCCTCGAAAGACAAGACAAAGATCATATGCTAATCGAGTTAATATGATATTCAAATTTAAAGGACCAAAAAAGTGTGTGATCGAAGACTCAAAAGGAGAGCCCATAGTGTACAAAAAGAAACTGCACGGATCGGATCTATTCACATGACTCGGATTTTATTCCATGTTATTAGTCGCTGTTCCACATTTCCTTTCCACGTATGACTAATAATAGATACATTGTCTCTTCAAGATAGATAGACAACATATTTGCCGAAAATGATATGGAAAAACGCAATGTAGCATAACTCTTGAATGCCCATACAATCTTAGAATCACTAAACACTACAATTAGATGACGAAACCAATTCATATAAAACTTTCATTTGATAAACAAGAATCACAATCATGCGGAATCCGAGAATAATTTCACGGTTTACCAATCATATAATAAAACACAGTCTATTAATATATGCAGATAATAGACTGTTAATCATATAATTAATTAATAAAACTGTTAAAAGAAACCTTAAAATCCCAATTAAATTGTCGATATTCGAACTAACTATAAGCTTCTTTCGATGAGTTTTAAATTATAATGTTAAACTTCTGGGACCGCTAGACTGATAAAATGTCCCTTTTGTCTCTCTCTACACACATATACATCTATATATATAAATATGCCAATAATCTCTTTCCATTACAGAAACCATTCTATTAGATATTCAAACAAAAAAAAGAACTCATCAGAAACACTGACATCACCATCACTCTTTGATTATAATGAGCAACTCAAAATCATACTGGAGAAAGCAAAGATGGGGAACGCCGCCGCAAGCCCTAACACCGTTAATGGAAGGACCAGATCCAGACATGCAAGACGAAAGAACCAAGAAGGAGAGCTCATGGGAAGCGATTAGAGAATGGTTTAAGGTTCATAAGGGCATTTCTGGAAATATGTCATCTCCTTCGGTCCAACCACTTTGCAACAGCTATGACGTGCCGGCCAAGGGACAAGACTTGAGGCTCTTGCTCGGCGTTTTGGGTTGTCCTCTTGCTCCAATCTCCGTTGTCGTCTCCGACCTATTTTCCGATGACCCTCTTCTTGGTTCTTTCCAAATCAAGAATGTCCCATTTGTGAGTATTACTAATTATTCCCTCTATCTCTTGATTTATATTTATTTTTATTTTCAGCGTACAAATTTTATTTGTGTTTCTTAATTTATTATTTTCCTATCGTGTTTATTTGTTGTGTTGAAATTTCAAATGGTTGGTTTATATTAATTGTTTGAATATGAAAAAGTCGTTTGAATAGTTATCTTTGGGATAAGATTGGTTGAAAAAAATGTTTAAAGGTAAGTATAATAATTTTGTTATGGGCCAAAACATGTGAAATATACGTGTATTTTTTGTCAGTTAAAACATCACGGAAACCAATAATTTTTTTTGCCATTTGATTATGCAAAGTAATTAGTCTGATGTGGATTGTTAATTAATTATACATACGTATAAATACAGGAGACGTCGACAGCGCATTATATAATACAGCAATACTTAGCGGCGACGGGATGTCTAAAGAGAGCGAAAGCGGCGAAGAACATGTACGCGACGGGGATAATGAAAATGAGTTGCTGTGAGACGGAGATCGCCGCCGGAAAAAGCGTGAAGACACTAGGCGGCGGTGGAAACGGAAGGAGCGGAGATAGTGGTTGCTTCGTGTTGTGGCAGATGCAGCCTGGAATGTGGTCTCTCGAACTTGTTCTCGGTGGCACTAAACTCATCTCCGGCTCCGACGGTAAAACCGTTTGGCGCCATACGCCATGGCTCGGTACTCACGCCGCTAAAGGCCCTCAACGTCCACTTCGCCGTCTAATCCAGGTAATTTTCATGTTGATAATTACTCTAAAATACCACAAAACCAAACTTTAGTAATAAAAATAGCATTAACTTTGATTTAGAATAAAAATTATTGCATATACTTGGCAAAAAGGCGAGATGACGTAATAAGATTGTCCAAGAGATAAGGACGTGGTAGGAAAAAGAGTGGTCGCTGTCCAATAAGAAACGAAAGCTAGCTAATGAATTTTTAAAATTAAAAAAAAAATACTAAACCTGACAAGTGATGGAGAAGCTGTCTCCTCCTTTTGCTTGCTTTCTCTTGAAACTTCAAAATCAAACAAAACCCCATTTACCCACTCTTGACTCTCCCACCACCACACGTGGTTTTCTCCTTTCCTGTCACGTGACGTCATCTGTTATTGAATCGTAACCCGTACTTACTATTTACAAAATGTTTTGCTAATGGTTCAAGTTTTAGTTCCTTTTTTAGTAAGGTATGAGGTTTTTGTCCTAGATTATTTATTATTGTTGGGGTTTATATTTCTAATAGTAACAAATAGTGAAATAAATAAATTGTCAGAGATTGGTAAGTGACTGTGTACAATTATTGGTTAAAATAATAATACAAACCCTATGTAATGTGTATGCTTCATCATGAATACGATCTTACATTCATTCAATTTTCAAAGTGGGGAACTTCTTGGGATTATCAAAGTTTGTCTTTCGCTTTTTCTTTTTTTCTTCTTTTAAATCTTTTGCTTTATTGTTCTTGTCGTTCAAACCCCAACGAATATTTTTTGCCGGACACAATTTTCCTGGATACTATAATTTATTTAAATTAATAAGTAACACAAAAGAAATATATTTGTGATTTTTTAAAAAAATAAACCCGTTTGTTTTGTAATTGGGCTACAGGGCTTGGACCCAAAAACCACAGCAAGCCTATTCGCAAAGGCCCAATGCTTAGGCGAACGAAGAATCGGCGACGATGACTGTTTCGTGCTCAAAGTCTCCGCCGACCGTGACTCGTTGTTAGAACGGAATGACGCCGGAGCTCCGGCGGAGGTTATACGCCACGCACTGTACGGATATTTCTGTCAGAAAAGCGGTCTCTTAGTCTATTTAGAGGATTCGCACCTCACTAGGGTTATGACGATCTCGCCTGAGGACGAGGCGGTTTACTGGGAGACGACAATCGGAACTAGCATCGGAGATTACCGTGACGTTGACGGAGTAGCCGTCGCGCATTGTGGTCGCGCCGTCGCGACGGTGTTCCGATTTGGGGAGACGTCGTTGCAGTATAGCAGAACGAGGATGGAGGAGATTTGGAGGATAGACGACGTCGTTTTCGATGTGCCTGGCCTCTCTTTGGACTCCTTTATTCCTCCCGCCGATATTTTTGAAGATACTAACCCTAATAATAGTAATATTTACAGCAATGTCAATTCCCGATGATTATGTGGACTAATTTAATAACCAAAAACAATTTTATTGGTGGGTTAGTTGATGGTATATGTGTATGTACATGTTTGTTTCATAAAATCTAAAAATCCATGTTTTGTTACTTTGGGTTGTATAACTTGTAAGACTATGACGACGAGTTCTAATATTGGATTGGGGTTGGAGAAATCAGAAGCGTTCGTTTAGTCAATTGGATTTTTTGGATTTTCAGTATAATTCATTCCTTCGCAAACAAAAAAAAAAAAAAAAAAAAAAAAATCCATACAAATTGCCTAAGGCCACATATTTTTCTTAACGAGACCCATATTCCTGCAGCTACATGCAAGAGAGTCAAATCAGATCCCACGAGTACACTAAATTTTCCCAATAAATTTCTGAACAAAACCCTAAATGCGGAAATTTAGTGATTCGAACTAGTCAAACAATTTCTAGAGTTAACTTGGTTACAAAGAACGAAAAAATGGGCTTATGGCGTTATGACTGACTGAAGACGATTCTGTTACCATTTCCGATCCGGAGTCTTCTCCCAAAATTGGGTTACTGACGCATCTAAAAGTCTACGATTGTTTCTCGAGCGGTCTATCGGATCGATTGTCAAAGATACAACATTCTTATTGGACTTATCTTTCTTATGGGCATTGTATGGAAGCCCAGTCATCAAATGGGTGTGTGAGAATATGATAGTGTCATTCTCAGCGTATACAAATGGGCTTTCTTTCTCTATTCTGTTTTTTTCTTCGAAATGTAACAAATTAATTATTTGTTCCCCCCCCCCCCCCCCCGATAAAATTGTATGAATATAACATTAAACAAAATAAAATAAAAATGTATGAATAATTGAACCTTTTTTTGTTTTTTCCTGTAAAATGAGTTAGAACTTAGAACTAATGGAGGAATCATACTAGAGAAAGAAGGGACAAGAAAAAGAGATGCTTCGGGAATGTACTTTGTTAAGACTTAAGAGAGCATTCTACATCAACACATACCAAAAATAAAGTATCATTTTGAAAAATATAGAATATCAAAAAGAAGTATATTATCTTCTTCTTCTTCTTTTGTTTTTTGTTGAAAAACAGAAGAAGTAAGGGAGTAGAAAATGGAATCCAAGGTCGAGATCGTAATGAGGTGCCTACAGAGGATTTGTATGGAAGAATGTGCGTAGACCATCCAAGACCGTTACCTTTATTACTTTATTTATTTATTATAACTACTTTAGTTCTTAACAACCATAATAATTACCATATGATATGTGTACAAACAATAACTTTACTATTAGCCTATTTAAAATTATGATATACAAGTAAAGCTACGATCACATGCACGTTTATGCATGTGAATTCGAAAAAAAAAAAGTAACACAATGAGATGTTCAGATGGATATATATTAAAGCACTGAATAGTTATAATAATTAACTTGTGGTTGGTGTGATTTTATTGTGACTGAATATTCACAAAACATGCATCATCGTCATTTCAGATCCACTTTGTATATAATCCATATTCACAATGACATTGATTATTGAACCATAAGCATGGCCCTTGTGCATGTATTTCTCTTGTTTCTCCTACTATTTAAATTGAAAACACTTTTTCAAAAGAAGTATGATATTTCCAGCATATCCCAATAGTAATTATTTTTAATTATATCTTGTATAGTATGATTTTCCAATAATAATAAATGAATCAAACGAAATTTATTATTGATTTTTTTTTATTGACAGAAGTTGGTATATATATGAATATGAATCCATTTACTGGAAATTACAAATGGATCATGTGACCACAACTATAGAGTAAAATTAAATTTTGGGATGAAGGGAATTAGATGGTTTCTTACTTCAAATCTAATTAATTAAATAGAACAAAACAGAGGAACGTAATTAGAGGGAATTAGTGGGGGCGTACGTAAAAGGAGAAGAGAAGCTTCCTCGAGAAGTGCATACATGGGAGTGCGTTAATATCTCTATGCTTCTCCTTCTTCTTCTTCAATTCTCTTTTTGCCTTTTGTTTTCCTCAGCTTTTAGAGTGAGTGAGAGAGACTGAGAGAGCTTTCTCTTTTACTTGCCAACTTGCAGTGATGACCAGATCTTTCTATTTTCTCTCTCTGAGACCAACAAAGTTGATCATTAAAAATATATATAAACATAAACATATATGAGCCGTAATTTCTAGTTGTGACTATATGGAGTAAACACAATTCAGTCTTTAACAAAGCAATATTTTTTTATTTTTTTCTTGGTTTATTAACAAAGCAAAACAATTCTGATTTTTACAAACTTTTTTTTGGGGTAAATTAAGGGTTCTAGGCTACAGAAATGTAAGAGGCTGTTTAATTAAATAAACTCAATGACAAGCTAAGTATTTTATTGAATTCAAAGATTTATAATTAAGCTCCTGCGAATTCAATTAAGAATGATCAGTGTATTAATTTCTGTTGTATAAATATATGTCCTAATTAGTGGTCATATGAAGCAGAAAAGAAATAAAAGAATAAAGAACAAAGATATATACGGAAGGAAAGATAGATACTCAGTGTCGGTTAATTTCTCTTATGACAAGTTCTTTTATTTCTTTTGAAAAGGATCTTGTAGCTATCAATCTCTACATACACATAGATATACACATTTACTTACATATGCGAGTATTTATAGTTTTGATGCAGCTATAGATGCATACATATATACGTACAAATTAAATCAAGTGACTATATATACATTTGAATCAAAGTTTACAGCTTTTCTTGCTGTTTGCATGTGGTTTTCCCAAAACCCTAAAAACCTTTTGCTTTGATGGGGATCATCATCATTATCACTTGCGCTGTCCTTTCTTTTTCGTATTTACTTATGATTTTTTTACCATAAACTTTAATTTTTATTTGAAAATTTAGTTTCCCGATGCAGATATCCCATTTTAGCGTAATCATATATAAGGCATCAAGTACAAACTAACTTGAGATAGAAATAACTAACTCATGAAAAAGCAAAGGGCCCTTCAAAAGCTTTAAAATATCGTACATGCCTTGAAACATGAGCAATCTAGCTCTTACTCATGAATGTTTATTATTTGTCCTATATACAGTTACGTTCATGCATGGGATATATATACTGGTTAATTAAGGCACCTTATATGTAATATACATAAATACTGATTTATCTTATACTATGTACTAGATATACTTTAGTACATTCACATTTTATAGGCCTCTAATTGACAAACTGTCAAATATGAAAATCGTACAAGTATGTACATATATGAAATAAAATTGCGGATGTATTATATGAAAAAACTTAATTTATTTGAAAATTGCCAAAAAAAGCTATCAAACATATATAGAATATCAAAATAGTTAACCATATATAAAAGGTAACTACAAATTTTATGTGGATGATAAAAGCTTAGAATCATATTCGGCCATTCTACTGACTAACAATGTAAAGATCAATCATCAAACAGTTGACTAGAAGAAATAAGTAACGAATAAGTACAAAATATATAGATCCTAAATATTATAAGAACAGCAATAATATAGTTTCCGTACAGATTAAAACACGAGCAAAACTAATCCGATAAACATAACAAAGTTTATATTTTGTTTTTTTCTTTGTTTTGTTTTGTCTCATCTCTAAACCCTACGCCAAACTCACAATGACAAAACATATATATCTCGTTCTTACGTTATCATGCATCACTCATAAAAATTAATTATTGGATCACCCAAATGGCGAGTTTCTTCCTTGTATTAATCCACCATTAGGGTTCATCATAGGACTCAATGGTGATCTCCGAGGCGATGGCCTTTCCAGTAATTTCCCACCATTATTCCCTTCATCACCTGATAGACCTGATTTCCTTTCGTAGATCTCCGACAAAGAATCCAAATCCGTGGAGACATGTGTGGCCATCTGTATCTGAATTCGATGCTCATCATCGATCGATTGGTTTGCGGCAAGATCGTGATCTTGATCTGACCACATCAATAGTCCTTTCCTTACATCGTTACCAAAATTAGGATTAGGTCGCTTCTTCCCCAAGTAAATGTTGGTATCTGCAGCATTGTTGGCCGTGAAATGGTTCTCTATGTTTTGATGATGGAAGTTGTGATGGTCGAGGACTTGGTCGGTTGTGTTTCCATAGATGTTTAGGTCTTGAAACGGCGGGAAACTAAGAGGATGAGGAGGTGGGCCCACCGCTGCTGAAAGACTCGAACTTCCCAAATTACCCTTGTATCCTCCTCCGACGGCGGCTGCTGCGGTGGCGGCTGCCATGTTCTCACCGGCTAGGGTTTGGCAAGCTCTCTCCAATATAGATTGCATGTACTTTCCTTGTGCTTCAATCCTCAGTTGCAGATGTCTCTGCACCTACAAAAATAAAGTGCAAACATTTGTTATATTTTATGGGATACAAATTGATTTTGTACAAGTTATCATATAATATCTATAGGCTAATTAATTACCTCTAGCTGTTCGTGCAACCTTCTCTGCACTTCCATTTGCATCCTGATCAAATCAACCTGGTGTGAGTTGCTGCTAATATATAGATATATATTGAAAATGAAAGTTGAGAAAATTTGATGAATATATTACTCATTCATGTTGCGACTCATCATGCCAGAAGAAGAAGCTACGTTGCGCTGAATATCCATGGCAGAAGCTACACGTACGGTCAAAAAAAAACATTAGAAGAAGACGGATCAAAGAACATATATATACATATCTATATTAATATTATAGGTAACTTTTAGAAAACCCTAATTTGATAGAGAAAGGAAGAGTGGTCACCTCTTGAACCTTCCTTTGTGGAGTGATCTCCGTACTCCTTGTGCGGCTGCTTTCCAAGCCTGAATTTCTGCACCCATAGATCCAAATAAGTTGTTAGATTATTATATTATTAAGTGACAAAAGAAAAGAAAAGATAAAGAGAAGAGAAAATCAAAAGCAAGTAAGAAAAAACCCTAATCTATATTTGTGTACATACCTGAAGATGGCTCTTTAGGTGGTAAAGAGTAAGACCCTTCACACCCATAACTCTCATAATCGTCTTTGGGGTCGCTTCTGCAAATAGAAATGATCAAAAACTTTGAAAAAACGCATTTATTTCGTTAAATGGATAGAATTTGTGTATGTGTGTGCTTACTGTCGGGGCCGCCGAGCTGAGCGACGGCGTCCACAAAACGCTCGTGGAGTTCGACGGTCCAACGCAAACGCGGTTTAGGGTCGGTGGTGAGGACGAGGCCTGAATCGCCTTGAACGCACATAGCTCTGTTCTCATATGAACCATTCATACTTGAAGGTTTCTTAGCATGGAACATTCTCTCTCTCTCTATCTCTCTCTCACTCTCTTTCTCTCTCTGAAAGAGGGGATTCAAGAAACGAATGTGATGCAAAAATGTGAGAGAATACGATGCGTTTTTGAAGAGATCAGATGACGGCTTTTTTCTCTCTCTCTCTTTCGCTCTCTTTCGCTCTCTTTCTCTCTCTCTCGTCTTCTTTTATTTTTTTTGTTTGTGAATAATATATGATTAGTTAAATTATCGTTAGTAAGGAAGAGAACTAAAGTTTCAGACTAGTACACAGACGTTCCTTTGTGAAAAGATACTGTCGTCTTTTTCAATTGTTTTTTTTTTTATCCTCTTAGCTTCAATACCTTTGAATTACTTTCAATATAAAATCTGTGTAAAAGCCACACTATACGTATACATGAAGTAATTCATGTCTGTCTCTGATTATTAAATTGATATTTTTGGGAGAAATCGAATTTAACATCGGAGATCTTACACATGTAAACTAGGCGTATAAAAAATCGTCATGGACGTATGTAATATATGCATGATTTGTTGCAAAAGTTGGAGTTTTTTTTCTTTTTCTTTCTTTATTTTCCGATAGAAACATTAATTAAAATGATTTGAAATATCCAAGTTAAATTATAATTCCCCTGAATTAAAGATATTGGACATCTACTATTTTTGTATCTTTGGTTGTCTTTTTCTTTACTAGCTTATATTTTAGAAGTAATTTTTAAATACAATTTTATCATACGGAAGTTATATATATACTATTTTTCTTTTCCTTGATTTGGATGTAAATAGTAATGAAAATTTTGTAAATATTTTCTTTATATGAAAATATAAACTCTTAAAGGGAATATATTAAAGTTTTATGTATTCTATTCAATTTAAACCGCACGAGGACAGTCGTATACTAGACTTATAGTATGTCTACATCGTCATATAAATATCGTAATTGGAACTTGGACACATACATACAAAAATCTAAACAAAACAAATTCCACAAGGGGTTTTATCATTTATGGTAGGGTAAACCTTTTTGGCTAATTATGAGGTGAATATACAATTCTAAGCAATGATGAGTTTCGTTATAAATTAATAGACCGTATATCTTTGGAACAAGTTTGTTATAGCTCATGCAATCCAAAACCGTTAGGTAATAGGTACGGTGGAATATTTTTTCCACGACAGAAACGTTTTTCATTCACCGATTGATACAAAAATGTAGTTTGCATCCGCAATTAACTAGCAAAACAAAAAAATGGCTAACAAACGAGATAACTAAATTTATTGTACGGACACTACAAACCGAAAAATCAGCTTCTGTTATCATTGATCTTATTCTCATATTAACCAATTATATATGTTAAGTATGTAAAATGAAAATCAAGTTTTAATTTCCACTTAAACAATAAAATACTAAACTTGTACCTTATGTATAAAATGATGATGCTTTTTTCAATATATAAAATAAAATCATATATAATACACATACGCAACTATTAAGATTACCTCTAAATTCAATTGCCTGTAAAATGGTCAACCTAAAATATACGAGTGGGAGAGGTCCCATAGCATATTTACATAGAACAAGAATAAGTCAATGAATATGGCTGAGGTTGATATGCACACACAAAAAAAGAGAGAATATTATCTAAGAATCAAATTTGAATTGAATTAGAAAATTCATTTTATATATATGATAGGTTTTATATTAAGTATGAAGGGAAAGGATGGAAATGTTCAATGTAGCCCAATATCAGCCAATGAATATGGAATCAAAACTAAAAAATACCATAAGAATATGGAACAAAAATTCAAGTTATACATATTATATACACGGACTATTGATTTGTGTGGAGAATTATGCATCAATGTGTAAAGATAGTGTTAACGTTGGGGACCTCTTCTTCTACTTATTAAAGCTCTTTTATTCTTTATTTTATTTTTACCATATGTTTTTCTTCTTTTCTCCATTTTTTTTTTTTTTATAAATTGGTTAAAGCTTGCTGGGGCTATAACCCTTTTTGGCTTTTGTAGGACTGACGATTGTGCAGCTAAACATGGTAATACATTTTTCAGATATTAATTACTTGGAATAAATAAAAAACAGTGTTTTTCTTTGCCAGATATGTTAAATCTTGGCTGTGAAACGAATTATTTGTACAATAAATTAATTAATTATCGCACACAATTCAGACTAGGATAAAATAAGAAAATGGTGATAGCTTTTTAATTTAAATAATAAATCAAAGTTCAAATTGCATGAGAATTGGAATCAATTCTTCTCCTCTTTGATGAATAAAGATAGATTCTTATTGCGCCAACAATATTAAAAATGAAAATAGAACTCCCGCGATAGATGCCAACCGGATAAACTTGGACAGCCACATTTACATAGTTTACTAGACTTTTTTTTACCCCTTTTTGAGTTTAGATACACACATAATATTCCTAATTATTATCACGACAAATATTTTCTTTTGGTCACAATCATCATCACTATTATTTACAAAATTGATTCATAGTGATATGAGGTATATATATTAGCATCGGCAAATCATCCGCCCTAAGATCATTATAAGTTGTTCTTGATTAATGGTTTTGAATGCTGATTTTAAGCGAAATTTCATTTTGCTTTAAATGAAAAGAAAGCAAAGTTTGTGTTTTTATTTAAACCAAGTAAAGCTAATGTTTAACTTTTAGCTAATTGTTGTTGAAGCAAACTAAGAGCTTAAAAAGAAAGAAATGAATTAGTAGTGACAATAAAGTAAGTCGGCTTATAAAAAAATAGAGGCCACAGTTGCTTGAACTTCAAGCATCTTTTTCTGATGGTGCTTTGGAATTTCTTCTTCGAAATGAATATATTCCTTCCAACCTTCTTATCTTTTCCCCACTTAAAAAAAAACGATAAAGAAAAATAAAATCCCAAGTTTGGCATAGAGCCATGTAATCTAACGGTATTTTGAAACATAACTGATCGAATTTTTTGTTGAGTGACTAATATTTTAATAAATAGCATTAACTTCGATAAATTGATTGACTGTTACAAGTTATAATCCTCCTAAATTAACATTTTCACATGAGACATAAGTGTTATAAATATGATAAGATACTGATGAAAAAGGAAAAATAAACCCCAATCGACTTATCAGAATTGCTAATAATTGAAGTAAAGAACAACAACGCTTTTTGTTTTTTTTTATAGTACTATATCCAAAGCAAAAATTGTCGGAATATTACAGAAAAATTAACGTAAAACAAAGATAAATAAAATGGAAACCCCAAAATATGATCTAAAAACCATGCTGAAACATTAGTCGCAGACCAAAATCTTTATTTCTTAACAAGTATCCTCCAGATCCTTATTATGTTCCACAGTAAGAAAGAATACCCAAGGGCTGAGCTTTTATTACAAGGATATGAGTGGAGGAAAAGGAACTTACAATTTCCAAAGCTTTTTAAACAAAAACCAAATCAGTGTCTATTCATATCTCCCAAGCATACGTATTTGATCTGCACAAAGCCAAGGGCCAAGACTCAATAAACGAAAAGGAATTTGCAAAACTTTATGCCTATAAACAATTCAAAAGACAGATTCTCATCGATAGTCTCTGTGCTATAGTTGGAGTTTGGGAGCAATTGCATCACATGAAAATGTTAAATTAACCACCTATAAGGCTATATAACCTTGCAGACTTTTTCATGTGAGATTTCTAATATTATACAAGACCGATCAACTGAAGCGTAAATCAATAAGAGAGAAATGAGTCTTGTGAGTTACCTCGAGGTATTCGTCCATACCATACTTGGATCCTTCCCTTCCAAGACCAGACTGCTTCACTCCCCCGAATGGAGCCACCTGCAATCAAAACATGTAAGCAAATGTATGGCTATAATTAGGAGAACGTGCTTCTTTCATTTTTGGTCTTACCTCTGTTGATATGAGTCCTTCGTTCACCCCTACAAGTCCGTATTCAAGTGCTTCAAAGACACGCCAGGATCTTTGGACACTGTTTGTGAATATATAAGCAGCAAGTCCTGCACACACACACACACACACACACAACACGTTTCCACTTATTATGTTAGTCTAAGAGTCGACAAATATAACAAAAAGGTTACTGAGATTAAATGAGGACGAACCTGCAATTGTGTCGTTAGCGAGTCTGATAGCGTCCTCCTCGGTTTTGAACCGAATAAGGGGAGCTACGGGCCCAAAAATCTCCTCCCTAGAAAAAGCATATTAGTTCTTCAGATCACAAAAATGCGTGGAACACTAGATGTTTCTATAGTTCGTTCTTAACAGATAAATAAAGCTATAACACTGTAATTTTGTGAATTTTTTCCAGTACTTACTTAGACATGAGCATGTTATCCGAAACATCGCGGATAACAGTAGGCTCATAGAAAGTCATCCCTAGACTGTGCCTTTTGCCACCAAGGATAATTTTTGCTCCCTTTAAAAAGAAGACAACGATAAATAAGATATTACTTGAACAGAGTACTTGAGTTAGTATTGGAAATACAAGAACTGTTTCTTGCTGAATCGCATACAAGTAGAAAATATGAACTGCCTTGCTTAGAAATCAAGGATAGCAAGGATGTATAAGGGAAAATTCGAACCTTGGAAACAGCATCTTGTATGAATGACTCTACCTGAATATATCAAGCATGAAGAGCAAGAGTATACATTACTGTCATCAAACATTATTGTTGTGCATGAAAAAAAAACAGAATCTGGAAGTATTATTAATGTACCTTTTGCACTGCTGCATCATTTATAAGTGGACCCTGTAAGAATGTTGAAGCGACAAATAAATTCACAGCACAATAGCAGAGCACACAAGAGACTCAGTTAACCTTAAAAGCAAATCGCTTGGGATGCTACTTGACAGAACATAGAAACAAGGTGAAGGTACCAATAGTATGATCTGGTTATCAAGATTTGATAGCAAATAGCGTGAATTCTCATATTTCTTTTAATACCCTCAATCATCAAGGGTATAACATCACAAAGTAGAAGCATAAGATCGAAAAAGGACATACCTGGGTTGTCCCCTCCTTAAAGCCATCTCCTACTTCCAATTTTTGAACCGCTTCAGAAAAGGCCGCAGCAAATTTATCATAAATACCTGCGGAAAAAATATAAAATATATTAAGTTAACACTGAATACAAGATCCTGAGGGGTGTGCCGAGTATACCAATTCTTACCATCTTGCACAAGTACTCTGTTCGCACAAACACATGTCTGACCACTATTCCTAAATTTCGCTGCAAGCTGAAATCACAGATTAAATGGGTAAATATAATGTTATAGGGTATAAAAGAACCCATAGTGCACCACTAAGAAAATTGAGCTTGAAACTAAGAGCTGGGATAGGTGGATCGTGGACGTAGGTAACCAGATAAGCAGTAAAACTATATACACATCTCGTATGGAAAAGAAACGGGATACTGTCAGTTCCGAGTAATCCCAGGTGGATCAACGTTTTTGCATCTTTTGAATTAAGAAATGCCTTAAAACTCATGACTATCACTTACCGTTCCTTTTACTGCTACATCCAGGTCAGCATCATCAAATACAATGGAGGGTGCGTTGCCACCAAGTTCTAGAGAAACCTACACCAAGAAAAAAAGAGAGGTACCAGAGGTATTCGATTAACAATTTTTTAAATAGCAAGATATTGTTGCTAAGCATACCTTCTTGACGGTAGGTGCAGCAGCTGCCATTAACTTCTTCCCAACTGCTGTTGATCCTGTGAACGTGATTTTTCTCACCTAAGTAGCACGAGAAACAAAAGCAGTCAATAAATAAGGATACTTATCAAGAATCACTACTAATGGCAGAGATACAATAAAACAATGTACACAAAGATGATTAGAGAAACCTGTCGACTCGAAAGCAAAGCATCCCCAATTTCAGGAGCATTTCCCATGACCACATTAAGTGCACCCTATTGAAAAATACATGCAAATGAATCATGAAGTGTTATAAATACAAGAAAAAACAAACAACAAAACCCTAAAGAGATAGCCCGCCCGGTTCATTAGCACATAAGAAACATCGTTAAAAACTAGCCTTCAAATCACATAGTCCTACATCAATGGGTCCATACATAAGAAGTAGCCACATTGACGACAATACAAACGCTTGGAGATGGGCCGATCAAATCAGATCACATGTTTAAACGGAGTTTACACTTTACAAATTATTAGGTTACCTCCCTGACATGGGAAAATCAACTTTGATGAGACCAGACACGCTGCTGGGTAGTATAGTTCAAGTCCAGAATAACAAATTACCGGAGGAACTCCAGCTTGAAGTGCCAGCTCAGCTGCAGCAAGTGCTGTTAGGGGCGTAAGTTCAGATGGTTTAACAACCACCGTGCATCCAGAAGCAAGAGCAGGGCCGACCTACAATACCATCAACCATCTACATCAAATTTAATGAAAAAAGTTCTACATAATCTACTGGGATAGTATTCTAGGCGGCTATTTACAGAAAGAAGAAGGTAAAATGGTATGGTAAAAAAAGTAAGACCTTCCGAGTAATCATGGCTAAGGGGAAGTTCCAAGGGGCGATTGCACCAACAACACCAATAGGCTGCATAGAAAATCAAGAGAGTCAAGCAATTGAGGTGTAAAGTAAACACTTGGTATTATTAATACAGCCACATGACATGGAAAAAAAGTACATGAGGGATCTCCACATATAAAATGGAATTCGCAAAGCAAGGTTAAGGTTCTCCAGGTTCATATAGCATTGCTACAAGACTTAGAAAATTGCAAAAACGTTTGCTGAGAAGGTGGTGGGAATGCAGAGCAAAGTCACAAGTTTCCAAGCCCAGATAGCCTGGCAATTATTTAACTAATGCTAGTATCTATACATTATTACAAATATAAACAAATAAATCAATAGAAAGAAATCATGCACCTATAAGTTAAGCTTAGGGTGCAGAATTATGTCACTCAAAAATAAAAGCTGCATGTATAAGATTTAGAAGGATGAATGGGCAAACCTGTTTTAGAACCAACAATCGGCGATCAGACAAATTAGAAGGAATGATATCACCATATACACGTTTTGCCTCCTCCGCATAGTACTCAATAAAGCTTGCCCCATAGACCACCTGTAAACTAAATTACAGTATCATATACTGCATTTAAGAAACGATTGCAACACTTGAGACAAGCCTAAACAGCACATTCAAAGTTCTCAAATATAAGTAAAATCATTAACCTCTCCTATGGCTTCCTTTAGTGGTTTTCCTTGCTCCAAAGTTATAAGTTGTCCAAGTTCTTCCTTGTGTGCAATCAGGAGGTCGTACCTGTGTTTGGAGAAACAAAGTGGATCAGAACCTTCAGTTCCAGGAAAGTGAAAAAGCTTCAAACAAGATACCATATCTCTGCCAATATCTTTTAAAAGGGAGCAGTCATTTGCTTCCAAAAGCTCCAAAGCCTTGAAACTATATTTTGATTTCATGAGCATTTGACATCCATGGAAAACATTCCCCCATTGTGTCGTAGACTAATAACCTTATAATCCTAGAACATCCCCATCCACACTACAAAAGTAAAATACTACGGGATAAAAGTTTGTACCATCTCCGTAAAACTTTGCTCCTCTCTCCAGCAGTCAACCTGCTCCAAGCTGAATGTCATAACATTGAGCAGAGAGAGAGAGAGCAGTTAAGGTAATATTAAGAAGCTAGAAAAGAAAGATGCTCAAGTAATTAAGAAGAGAATGGTTGGGTCACATACACGTAAATGCTTCATAAGAAGAAGCAATAGCATCGTTAGTCTCTTTTGTTCCCATACATGCAACATCAGCTATAATTTCACCGGTTGCCGGATTGTTAACCTGTCAAAAAGAAGGTCATATGTCAACAGAAAGCATTACAAAATATAATCCCCAAAAGATTCATTCAAATCAAGAGAGAGTAAGATGCAGAGATGTAATATGACCTTGATAGTCTTATTGTCATAGGAGTCGATCCACTTGCCTCCAATCAGACCTTGAGTTCGTAATAGACCAGAACTCCTGAGCTTTTCAGAAACGCTTTGTGCGTCCATACTCATCTGATAATCAATTCAATTGAAGCGTATCATCATCATCATCATAAAGTATTCACATTTTAAAACTTAAAACCCAAAAAAAAAAATATATTCACATTTTGTCTTTTAGAAACACATCCAGAGAAAACCCAATTCATTTTTCCTTATTTATTTCCCCACCACAAGATCGAGAAAGGATTGGGAAGATATACCTGGCGACACTGAGAAGAGACGAGGAGGGAGGTATGTGACGAGACGAGCTTTCGACAACCGCCGATTGCTACACGCGCTGCTGCTCCGATTACCATCACCACTTGCGAAACTTCAATCGAACAAAGACGACGAGGACTAGAGAGATCAGAGAAGCTAAGCAACGAAATTAAGTGTTGTGAAGCTAAAATATCTTCAGTGAGTGATTAAAACTAAATAATAATAAAAAATTGGAAGGTCAGAAATGACAGGTGGGGTATTCGAGTGGGTTAATTTTGATGACGTGTAAACCACGTGGCACTTTAACCGTATTTGCCGGGTTTGTTCACCAAATCGGCAAACATAAAATTGGCTTATTTTTTTTATTTTATTTTTTTGTGTATATAATCGAGGCATATTTCCCTCCCATGTTAACAGCATTTGTCAAAGTCGTCTTTTTTTTTTTTGCCTTTGTGAGAGTTTTGCTTCTTCATCTAAAAGATCTATCCATCTTCCCCAAGTAGATGTAGATTGTCTCTCTCTCCCACCTCGTATTCGTAACCCTAACCTAACATTCTTCCCCTCTTTCTGTTCTCGCCCTCGATTCGATTTGGAGTGCAGAGGAGATTTTCATCTGTTTTTGTTTCTCATCAATTTCTTCGGTAATGAGTTCCACCGTTGGAGGAGGCGGATCGGCTGAGCCTTCCGGTGTCAAGAAAACCTCTAAGCGACCAAAATGTGATCTTTCTATCTATTCCTCCAATTTCCTTTTAGAATTTTTCTGATTTGATCCAACTTTGTTTTATTTTGTGTAATCATGGATCGTCCCTTCGAAATTCTCGTCTTGTTTTTTTTCTTTCTTTCTTGGAATGTTCATTCAATTTTCATAAAAATGAAACTTGATTCTTTGTTTATGGTGTTGTTATACCACGATCATCTTGTTTATGAATGTTTTGTATCATGGACACATATCTTTGATTTGTAATATGCATTCTTGTATACTTTAGGTTTGAATGCAGATTCTTATTTAAAAGAGATAGCTAGTTTGTTGGATTTCTATGTCACATTGGTTGAATTCTTTTGTTCGAAAACTTTAACCATGGTTTCCCATTAATCAAAATCTCTGTTCTTAACAACTGTTTCTTTACCAGATTCTAAGTTTACTCAGCAAGAGCTTCCAGCGTGCAAGCCAATTCTTACTCCAAGATGGGTAAGTTTCATCTCGGTTATCTCACATTCTTAGAGGCACACGTACGTGCAATCATTGGAAAATAATGCTTCTTACTCCTTTACTGTTTTCTATTGTTCATTGCCATTTGCAGGTGATCTTGACATTTCTAGTTGCTGGGGTTGTCTTCATTCCCCTTGGAGTGATCTGCTTATTTGCTTCTCAGGGAGTATGTGCATCATGCTAATGTTTTCTGTCTTTTCTAATGTTTGTTTTCCAGCTTTGATTTTGTTGTTTATTGAGGATATGTTTTATTCATACCTGAAGGTCGTCGAGATTGTTTATCGATATGACACAGACTGCGTTCCACCATCTTCTAGAAACAACATGGTCGCTTACATACAAGGTGAAGGAGATAAGATATGTAACAGAACATTAACGGTATATATCTTCTTCTATGGCAATTTAGTGTTCCTTAGTATATTAGCTGTTCTTCTAGGTATGACTCTTTCTAAAGCCTTTCTTTTTGTCCAGGTGACAAAACCTATGAAGCATCCTGTCTATGTTTACTACCAACTTGAGAATTTCTACCAAAACCATAGACGGTATTTTGCCTTATTTGCTTAGCAATAGTTATCTGTTACTTTCCCTGCATTAAGCCAGTTAATCCTCTGGTTGATTATATGATTAGGTATGTGAAAAGTCGAAACGATGCACAACTAAGAAGTCCAAGCGAAGAGCGAGATGTGAAGACCTGTGCACCTGAGGATAATGTGGGTGGAGAACCAATTGTTCCATGTGGTCTTGTTGCTTGGAGTTTGTTTAACGATACTTATAGCTTTTCAAGAAATAGTCAACAACTTCCTGTGAATAAGAAAGACATCTCATGGAAGAGTGACAGAGAACACAAGTTTGGGAAAAATGTCTTCCCTAAAAATTTTCAGACAGGAGCGCCAATAGGCGGTGGAACTCTTAATATTTCTAAACCGGTAAAAATCCTTCAATATCAATTTAGATTCCTTTTCTGAATTGGATGTTAACAAGTGTAAGAGTTGTCTGTTGGATAGTTGAGTGAGCAAGAAGACCTCATAGTCTGGATGCGAACCGCGGCTTTGCCAACATTTAGGAAGCTGTATGGGAAGATTGAGACGGATCTACACGCAGGTGATACCATAACGGTCTTGTTGCAGAACAACTACAACACTTACAGCTTCAATGGGCAGAAGAAGCTAGTGCTATCAACAACAAGCTGGCTAGGTGGAAGGAACGATTTCCTCGGGATTGCATATCTGACAGTAGGCAGCATTTGCTTGTTCTTGGCTGTTACATTCGCGGTATTGTATCTAGTTAAGCCAAGGTACGTTCATATTTCCTTCTCAAGGTCTTCTTCATTTTGTTAAGGCATTAATTGTACTTTGGCTTTTCAGATCATCATTTTAGAGTGTGTGAGTGAAATGATGATATAGTTGTCTTATGGGTTTCACTTACAGGCAACTCGGAGATCCGTCGTACCTTTCGTGGAACAGAAGTGCTGGAGGTTTACAGTAATAGAGTTCTTCAGGCAATCAGGCGTTGATTCCTCCATCGTCAAACGGCATAGTTTTGGCTTACCTAACAAAAGAGAAAAAGAAAATAAGTATAATTTGATTTCGTTGAAAACAAACGTTTATATTTTTTTGTCATGTCGTTGTTAAGATACTGGCCAGTAAATGGTGTTTAGAAAATAATGTAAATCAATTAGTTGGAAATTGCATATTAATCAGAGAATTTTGTTCATTTTTTAGCTTGAACCATTTGATATGTTCTTGTAATAATTTCATAAAATTTGTCGAGTAAGATATCTACGGTCCACCTGTCAGGTTGTGATAGACACATGTACACGTTATTTCCTCATTTTAATTATCCTTTGTCGTAATATAATTGGTCTAAAAAGATTGATTTGTATGTTAATGACTTGTAATAATCATAGTATTATTAAGCCAGATTTCCAGATATTTTCGGGTCATACGGTCGTCAGTCGTCAAGGCTAATTCCTCGCAAGTATATTTCTCTCTCTCTGGTCGCTTTCATTTTTAGATAATTGATTTCGTTTCACAATCGGGAATTGACTGACTCTCACTGTCACTGTTGATGATGATGACATCTCACCAGGTTGCTACGACGCCGTTTCGGTTGCTTCTGGTTTCTCCATGTCTATCAGCCTCCGCTCCTCCGGTTGTTCGTCTCCGATCTCAGGTTAGTGTACTCGAGATCTCTTTTTTTTTTTCCGGCATTGGTTGATTTCTTCGCTTGCATGTTCTTCGTGATTTCTCCGGGATAAAATGGAAATTGATTTTTTCATTATCTTCCTTTAGTGAGGGTTTTGGACTAATATTAAATCTTTGTTGTTACAGTCAAATTGAAATGTTCCGCGATGAAGTAAATCTTTGTTGTTACACTCTCTTACCTGATATCATTTTCATCAATTATTCGACGTGAATCAAATGGTAATGTTCTCTTGTTGTGTGCAGCTACTTTGGAAAAGAGATTGGAAGCAGTAGATCAAACTAGAGCTAACAATGTGGTAAATAAACTAAACAGCTGATTTTCGCTTGCTTCTACGATAATCTTGAATAAGAGGAAATTTCTGGTCTAGACCAACTAATATTCTTAAACTATCCAGAGCTTTGAGCAAACAAAGGAAAAGATTAAAAAGATGTTGGATAAAGTCGAGCTTTCTGTTTCGGCCTACGATACTAGTTGGGTAGCAATGGTTCCATCACCGAGTTCCCAAAATGCTCCACTTTTCCCACAGTGTCTGAAATGGTTATTGAAAAATCAACATGAAGATGGATCTTGGGGACTTGATAATCATGACCATCAATCTCTTAAGAAGGATGTGTTATCATCTACACTGGCTAGTATCCTCGCGTTAAAGAAGTGGGGAACTGGTGAAAGACAAATAAACAAGGGTCAGTTTATTTTTTCTCTTTTGTTACTATTTCACTTTTGGAAGATTCATGGATTGATGTGTGTCAAAAAAAAAATTCAGGTCTCCAGTTTATTGAGCTGAATTCTGCATCAGTCACTGATGAAACCATACAGAAACCAGCAGGATTTGATATTATATTTCCTGGGATGATTGAATATGCTAGAGATTTGAATCTAGCGATTCCATTGGGCTCAGAAGTGGTGGATGCCATGATACGAAAAAGAGATCTGGATCTTAAATGGTATACTCCTGCTCATTAATTAGCATACTCAGACGCAACTGAAAGATTGTCTTGTACAGAAGTCTTCATTTCAACAACTTTTGATGATTTAATGTTTGTTCAGTGATAGTGAAAGATTTTCAAAGGGAAGAGAAGCATATCTGGCCTATGTTTTAGAGGGAACAAGAAATCTCAAAGATTGGGATTTGATAGTCAAATACCAAAGGAAAAATGGGTCCCTGTTTGATTCTCCAGCCACAACAGCAGCTGCATTTACTCAGTTTGGAAATGATGGTTGTCTCCGTTATCTCTGTTCTCTCCTTCAGAAATTTGAGGCTGCAGGTATATCTATCAGCATGACTATCATTTCCGTTGTATCTAGAGAGTTCCACTGCTAATAAGTTTGCTTATCTTTTCAGTTCCTACCGTTTATCCATTTGATCAATATGCACGCCTTAGTTTAATTGTCACTCTTGAAAGCTTAGGAATTGATAGAGATTTCAAAACCGAAATCAAAAGCATATTGGATGAAACCTATAGGTAAATGCAAATATTGAAACTTATTATGATGATTTTTTAGTTTGACCGCAATTTTTTTAATATATATTCATGATTTTTGGATACTATCGTTTACCAATAAACAGATATTGGCTTCGTGGGGATGAAGAAATATGTTTGGAGTTGGCCACTTGTGCTTTGGCTTTCCGATTATTACTCGCTCATGGCTATGATGTGTCTTACGGTGAAGTGACCTCTTTCTTTCAGATGAAAATAGCCTAGATTTGAGTTAAGTGATGTCCATGTTAAGCTGATACGCTGTGTTTGTTGCAGATCCGCTAAAACCATTTGCAGAAGAATCTGGTTTTTCTGATACTATGGAAGGATATGTTAAGAATACGTTTTCTGTGTTAGAATTATTTAAGGCTGCCCAAAGTTATCCACATGAATCAGCTTTGAAGAAGCAGTGTTCTTGGACTAAGCAATATCTGGAGATGGAATTGTCCAACTGGCTTAAGACCTCTGTTCGAGATAAATACCTCAAGAAAGAGGTAGTCTCTTTTCTTATCTATCTTGCTATGCTAGAGCTATCTGAGAATCTTATCTTTTTCAGGTCGAGGATGCTCTTGCTTTTCCCTCCTATGCAAGCCTAGAAAGATCAGATCACAGGAGAAAACTACTCAATGGTTCTGTTGTGGAAAACACCAGAGTTACAAAAACCTCATATCGGTAAACTCCTCTTCATTCATATGTAGCTTATGTTCTTTGTCGGCCATTTGTTTTGGCACAGTCAGCTTCCATTAAACGACAATCTAATCAGGACATTCATTCTCGTTCTTGTTTTCTTCTGTTCTAGTTTGCACAATATTTGCAGCTCTGATATCCTGAAGTTAGCTGTGGATGACTTCAATTTCTGCCAGTCCATACACCGTGAAGAAATGGAGCGTCTTGATAGGTGCACTCCCAGCTAAGCTTTTTAATTTATTCAGCCTTCTTGCATAAGCTAACTAGCTTTACTAACATATAACCACACACTTGAACAAGTTCTCGTCATATAGCTGAACTCTTTCTCGATAATGCTGCTCACCAACTTGCAGGTGGATTGTGGAGAATAGATTGCAGGAACTGAAATTTGCCAGACAGAAGCTGGCTTACTGTTATTTCTCTGGGGCTGTAACTTTATTTTCTCCAGAACTATCTGATGCCCGTATATCATGGGCCAAAGGTGGAGTACTTACAACGGTTGTAGACGACTTCTTCGATGTTGGAGGGTCCAAAGAAGAACTGGAAAACCTCATACACTTGGTCGAAAAGTATATTGATTTGGCTCTTTCTTCAGAGCCCTTCCTCTGCTTGTTCCCTCGTAAAAGCATAATCGTTCTTCGCTTACAAATTTCAGGTGGGATTTGAACGGTGTTCCTGAGTACCGCTCAGACAATGTTGAGATCATATTCTCAGTTCTAAGGGACACAATTCTCGAAACAGGAGACAAAGCATTCACCTATCAAGGACGCACTGTGACACACCACATAGTGAAAATTGTTAAGTATCAATCATCCCACACAATTATATTCTCTGTTATCATATCCTAACAACTCATCTGACCATAGTTCATTAGTGCAATCTCTTATGCAGTGGTTGGATCTGCTCAAGTCTATGTTGAGAGAAGCCGAGTGGTCCTGTGACAAGTCAACACCAAGCTTGGAGGATTACATGGAAAATGCGTACATATCATTTGCATTAGGGCCAATTGTCCTCCCAGCTACCTATCTGATCGGTCCACCACTTCCAGAGAAGACAGTCGATAGCCACCAATATAATCAGCTCTACAAGCTCGTGAGCACTATGGGTCGTCTTCTAAATGACATACAAGGTTTTAAGGTAAGACTCTTCTTAAAATTTTAAACTTTTAACTAAAATGTACAGTTATAAGAAGGAAAGACGCCTACATCCAACAAAATAATGGTAATTAACAAACCTCTGCGCCTCATAGATTCGGGATAATGTATCCCTTTTGATGTTTTTTTTTGCAGAGAGAAAGCGCGGAAGGGAAGCTGAATGCGGTTTCATTGCACATGAAACACGAGAGAGACAATCGCAGCAAAGATGAGATCATAGAATCGATGAAAGCTTTAGCAGAGAGAAAGAGGGAAGAATTGCATAAGCTAGTTTTGGAGGAGAAAGGAAGTGCGGTTCCAAGGGAATGCAAAGAAGTGTTTTTGAAAATGAGCAAAGTGTTGAACTTATTTTACAGGAAGGACGATGGATTCACATCAGATGATCTGATGAGTCTTGTTAAATCTGTGATCTATGAGCCGGTTACCTTACAGGAAGAATCTTTAACTTGATCCAAGTTGATCTGGCATGTAAACTCAGTATATGAAAATAAGACTTTGGTCTTCTTCTTTATTTGCTACAGAATAAGAAGAGGTTTGTTTAGTTTAGGAAAACAAAGGCCGCTTTTTTTCATAAAAGATAAACTAATAAATGTGATGGAAAATTGTTAGTAAGTACTACTAAATATAGAACAGTATTAGGGGGTGTTATTCATTCATGGAGTTAAAGTCAATTCTTAAAGGTTTAGATTTGATTTCTGAAATTGTTTTTAACAATCTGTTTGTGTGGAGTTCAAAATCTCTGCAGTATATCTTGGATTATGATTCTAATAATTTATTCATGAAATCCAAAGATGTTTCATTTCAAATGATTTGATATACAAAGATTTTATAAGTCTTTTAGTTTTGAATAACACTGGATTTTAATGAAGCATTTTAAATCTTAGTTGAATAACACCAAACTTTAAAATCTATTAGAGTTAGATTTAGAATCATTAGGTTAATAACACTGGATTAGTGTTGGATTTCAATTCTATTAAAATCCATCATTGAATAACACCACCTTAGAGAAAATTTGATGTCATGAGACAATGTGAATCATGTCAATAAATGAGAAAATAAGATTTAAAAGTAATATATAAAAATAACATGGAACATAATATAAGAAACACTCAACCAAAAATCCTCAATTTTTGGCCAAAGCTTAAAACGATTTCTTTTCATAAGAAACCAGCCCGTGAACTCCTCCTTCGACCTGTGCAGCACCAGTTCGAGCCTGTCACAAAAACCAAACAGAATTAGTTCTAATCTCAGCAAAATTAGAGAGTTTTTGGGAACTAGAATTGAGACAACACGTTTCATTCACCTCAAGCCTAAGGATGTCTGATCTCAACAGGTCATGAGCAGATTGCAAGGAAGAAGCACCGAGGTCTTGGAAACCTTGTTTCACGGCGTGCATTGTGTAAGGTATCAGCTTCAATACTGAACCTTTATCCGCGACTGCTCCAACCACTCCTTGAGCAATCTTGAGTTTTGTTTTATCTCCTAAGTATCTTTGGTCACTTCCTTTAGTCATTGCTTCCAGCGATCCCATTCCACGGTACTTCTTGATCCTCTTACCGTTCTATTATTACAACAAATGATCAAAACAAACAGCGTTTCAAGACAAGTTAGTTAAACCGAAAGAAGATGTGACTATACCTTATACTCGTAACCCCCGGGAGCCTCAGTACTTCCAGCTAAAAAGCTACCCATCATAACAGTTGATGCTCCAAGTACGAGAGCCTTTACAATGTGACCTGAATTTGAGATACCACCATCCGCTATAACTGGAATCCCGCTCTGAGCCGCAATCGAACAAACCTTGTACACAGCAGTAGCCTAACAGGTCCAAATCACACAAAACGAACGAATCTGTTTAGTTACATAAGTCACAAAGTTTACACCTTTTAGAAGATTAAACAGTTAGGATTCAGAGTTTTTTCATTTACCTGTCCACGACCAACTGCACAAACCTCTTGAGTGGTACATATCGAACCAGATCCCATACCAACTCTCAACCCATCAACTCCTGCTTGGATCAAATTCTGTGCCTGGTACATTGTCACAACATTGCCGCCAATGACATCCAATTCAGGGTAAGTCTTTTTCACATACTTGATCATCTCAAGCTGGTAAATAGAGTTGCCTTGCGAACTATCCAACACAACGGCATTGACCCCAGCATCAACCAAATGCTCCAGCCTCTCCTTATCAGATTCCCTCGTCCCAATCGCTGCACCAACCATCCACTCACCGTCAGGACCCACGGTCCCTGGTCCTGACTTGGGATATCCTTTAACCCTCTCTATATCGTCCTTTGTCACCACGTTCACAGTCTCACCATCCCTCTCAAGAACCACAAAGCCCTTTTGCTTATCTTCTAAAACAAACTCCAACTTTTCAAGATCAATGTCCCATGGTACACAATAGTCGCTGCTATCACAGCTCTTCATGTAATCGTATATCTTCATCTCCCTTTGTTCGTAATTCATTCTCGTCCACTGCGATTTCGATACATAGCCTAACAATTTCGGAGTCGTCATTGTTCCTGCATTAAATCAATCAACAAGCAAACTTAAATTCGCCATTGTAACTATTAAATTCCGATTCTTTTTGCAACAGGTATAGTCAAATCCTTAAAACAGTAATAGATTCCTGGAAAACGAATATGATTCTCACCTGTTTGCGTGACAAAAACGAATGAAGAAGGACCAAAAGCATCTAAAGAAGTAATCTCATACTCCGGGAACTTCACACCGGCGTCGGAAGCAATCGGATGTTTAAGCGACTTGGCTTGGCGTATAATCGATGCCTGAGAGGCGATGTCACAGTTATAGTGCACGATTCCAATCCCACCAAGCGAAGCCATAGCAGCAGCCATGTGAGACTCCGAGACAGTGTCCATAGGAGACGAAACGCAAGGTATCGAGAGAGGCACGCGCCGGCTAAGGCGCGTGGATAGAGAAACAGCGTCTGTGGAGAAATCAATGTAGTGAGGAAGAAAGATGACGTCGTCGTAAGTGTAGGAGTATCCCTGAGCAAAGAGCTTATCCGCCGCAAACCCATCCTCGAATCTCGACATGGCCGGAGAAAAAGAGGCGAAGTGAATTAGGGTTTAAGCGGAAGGGTTTTTGCTAAAGGAAGGAAGCAAGACGACAAATTGAAAGTAATTGAATTGAAGTCGTTGGAGCGTTGCGACTTGTGAGAGAGATGAAGTTATAGAGTTTCCTTTATATAGTGCGAATCAAATTAGATTGATGTTCTTCCCTTTTTTTTTTCCCTGTTTTTTTCTTTTCAGTATTTCTAGCTAGATTCGTTTTCTTCCTTTTTCTATTTTAATTTTTGCCGATTTGAGTTTTAATTGTTTACCTCTTTTCACGAATTTGTCTTTTTGTTCCACTATTGTTTAAAATTAATTTATATTATAGACAGAGAAAACAAAACAAAAAAGCTTAATTTCACATTAAAAAAAATGAATTTCATGTGGTGGCACCTTCAGCAAATACAATTGCTTCGTCGATTGCTAAAAGTGTGACAAAAGATGGTCGATTTCATTCATATATGGGATTTGGAAGACCGGCATGACTCCACAATCAAATGTGGAATCAAGCAAATTTTTGAATTTCTTTTTGGTTTTCGTTTTATCTCTTTTATGTTATGTTGGTTTCTCGAATTTTTTCGGATGTTATATTTTATTGAACAGATGAAATAAATAAAAAAACATAAAACATTGAAACTTATATTCCTTTTTTCTCTTTAGACTCATTTAATGTTAGATTTTTGAATTTTCTGATTAATACTAAAAATATATTTTTCTTCTTTACCACGGAGTTTGAAACTAAAAAATCGTAGGTGTTCGTGGCCGGACCATAACATATATGTAAAGTAGAACAATTTCAAACGGATCAAACTAGTGAAAAGAAATAACTCTAAACTATTGTTGGAGAGACTCCTTCCAAAAGTCATGACTAGACCACTATTTACTTACTAAAGAGATCATTATGTTTTATGCAACGAAGTTTTCGCTAGTTCACCGTGAACAAATTGCATGAACCAAAAAGTAGCGAACAACGCTAATCAACAGCAAAAAGTAGCAGTGTGACATACTGACATTTCACGTGTTTGAGTTTGACAGAATGATATTATAGACAGGAGTAGAAGTTTTTCTATAAGAAAAAGATGTCGTGATGAGAATGCGTATAATACTTTATTTCAAAGCTACAATATCATTGGAATGTGTGTATAAATAAAGGAATTATTAGTGATAGTAGTTAGTAGATGCAACGTACCACAAGTCTAGAAGGCCTAATTCCATTAGCAAAAGCAATATACGTAATTACGTATTTAGCATACCCCATTTATAATTTTTTTTTCTTACCCCATTTATAAATTATGCCATTCCCAAGGAAATTTATTTTTATAAGCTTTAATTGGTTACAACTTACAAGTGAGCGACCCACCTAACGTATTATATCAAAATTTATTCGATATTATTCGTATCCAACAAAAGTGAAAAGTGAGAGATGTCTTCGTCTTCATGCATGCATCAGAAGAAATCAAAATGGCACCCATTAAAGCCTGTTTTCCATACAATAAGAATTAAAAAAATTAAATGATTAATACCGGCAATACATCAGCAATTTCTAGATGAAAGAAGGAATAATAGTTGATAAACGAATAATTCTCTTACTTGGGTCAACGGTTACAAGCATGCCGGTGCCGCCGAACGTGCACGAGCCACCGGTACCTTTGGTCCGTTGCCAATAGCTATTGAAGGCGAACGAAGCATGGGCCCACAATGTATTAGGCTTAAAGCAAGGCCCGTTGGGCTGAATTGAATGACAATCAGCTCCTGACCCACATGCAAAGTTCATGGCTTCTTGAATAATTGGGTCAGGGACCGAGGGCTTAGCTACGCACCAGTAAGCCGAGGTCGGAGTCACGCTCGGTGACGGTGGCGCCATAGGCGGTGGATAGACGATCGGGGGAAGAAACCCCGATGATGGACTTGGAATTGATCCGGTAGGTGTTGATGGGCTCGGTTCAGAGTAAGGTGGGCCTAAAATAGGCCCTGGTGTATAACCAGGTTCTGGAGGGCTAGGAACTGTTTCTGGCGGGTTTGGGCTGGAGGATTCAGGCGGGTATGGGATGGTATTGGGTGGGTTTGGGTTAGAGGATGACTCTGGTGGGTTTGGGTTAGAGGATGATTCCGGTGGGTTAGGGACGGTATTTGGTGGGTTTGGATTAGAGGATGATTCGGGTGGGTTTGGGTTAGACGAAGAATCCGGTGGGTTTGGGTTAGAGGATGATTCGGGTGGGTTTGGGTTTGAGTTTGGATTAGAGGATGAATCAGGTGGGTTCGGGTTAGAGGATGATTCGGGTGGGTTGGGGTTGGAGTTCGGGTTAGAGGAGGAATCGGGTGGGTTAGGTAATGTGATTGGGCCGGGAGGTGGGCTGAGACCAGGATAAGAGGTGGAAGGAGGAGTAAGTGGGGGATTAACGCAGAAAGGAGGGGCATTTCCGGGAACTGAAAGTGGGGGAAGTGAAACATCGGGAGGTAGAGTGAGAGTTGTGCTAACGCCATAAGGTTGAGTGTTGGAGGATGAAGAGTAGTCTAAAGGCTGAGCAAGATTGAGTTGTGTCAACATTTTCTCTAACAATGATGTGTGCTTTAATGCTTTGATCATCATCACCTTCTTTGGCTGTCTCTCAAATCCCACGCTTTTTCTTGCATCTACTACTATATAAGAGAATCATAATCAAAATCAAATGCTTTTAGGGATAGAGATAGATAGAGAGAAAAAAAACAGAGAGAGGTTTACCACAATGAGTCAAGAAGTTGGTTGAGAGAATTACACAAAGAAGAAGACAAATTGTTGCGAAGGCTCTATTTGATTCCATGGTTTTAAGATGAAGACCAAAAGAGAAGCTAAATCTTCAGAAGTAAAACCGAATAGGCATTAGCTACACTCTCAAGAGGAAGAAGACAAAGAAACAGGACCAAGATAGCTTAAATATATGTCTCTTCGCTATCTCTTTCTTTCTATATATATCTTGTGTGAGTGTCTTGTGCATGTGTATAACAAAACAAAAAACTCAAAGAATCCTTGCAAGGCAACCTGTGGAAGGATATAAGGTTCTGTTTCTCATAAAGATTCGCACTTTAGCTGCTTACTTTCGTTGTCACAGAAGATCACTTTACTACAGACAGACAATGTGTAAATTCCTACCATAATTAATGGATATTTAACTGTCTAAATTATGTTTATAGTAGAAGAATATACACATATGTGTGGCAATGGGCATATATGCTTGCTTGACACTGCAAAAACAATCAGAGAGGAAAGCTGTAACTTTTGCTTGCTTTGTACTCAAACAAAGCTCTTTTACATTTATCTTTTTCTTGACTACATCCATTTGCATAAGCTTCACATATTCCTCTTTATATGCTCTTTTCTCTGCAGACTAAAGGCTTGCAAATAATATAATTACACTTTACAAACCAACTGATGAGTTCTTCATTATTTTATTGCTTGATCCTTATACAGCAATTCATCCAAGTAAATCCTTGATCTACACAACAAATCAAACGAATGTACAAAACCAAAGACATTATTGAGAAATTCAAGTATTTAATTGCTACCATCAATATATTTTCAGTTTAACATTAGGTAACTAAAAAACTAGTTAGAAGAGTGATGATGGTGTTATTTGATCCAAGCTTAAGTCTAGAGTGCTACATTTGAAATGATATGATTTACTTTTCATGGATCTGCCCATAGTATTATCAAATTCAGACTCAAGATTTTGTGTTTACATAAATGTAACTAAAATTTTGAGTAAAACACATGAATTTGATTTTGATTATATTAAGAAGATAGGTGATATTTTGATAAGAAAAACATTTAAATAAATTCGTAGTAAATTGATTTTTTTTTTTTTTTTTTTTGACGTTTAAATGATTTATATTTGATTATAGGAACGAGCCTGTAATTGCTAATATCTATTTTGGGAAAACCAGTGCTTCTCTTCTAAAGCCTCTGGTTTTAGGGTTTAAGCCGACGAAGAGACGGAAGAATCGCCATATCTGGAGACCAGGTTAGGATTGATTCCTCAAATTTCAATTCTTCGCATTACATGACCCTATAATAATTCCGTCTCTACATCTTCGATGATCCGAGGAAGAACCGCGAAAGTAATTCCCAGAAATGTCATTTTTAGGCTTAGTAGGAGTACCATTTCTGAGTCTCCATTGCTTTCTCCGGGTCGAATAAACCCTAGATTAACCGGCAGTTTCTCCTTCAACATCCGATTATTGAGCTATTTTGCGGTTAGAAATGGCTTTTCTCCGGATTGTTCTGTACCTAATTTTGTTGGATTGACTACACAAAGTCGGAGTATTGTCAGGAGATTTTGTAGTGAAAAGAGTGGAAGTAGTGAATCTAGTGGCTGGACAGAGGAGGTAGAGTATTTAGATGAGTCCGGTAGTGTTTTACACAGCGGTAAAGGAATAAGATCAGTAGAGCCAGGGATTGATGACCATGTAATGGTTGGTGGGTTGAAGAAACCTTACATGAATGCTTCTGCTGTTGCAAAGATTGTTGAAGTTGTTCAGAGGTGGAAATGGGGACCGGAGTTGGAGAGTCAGTTGGATAAACTCCAGTTTGTTCCGAATATGGTTCATATTACGCAGTCTTTGAAGATTGTTAAAGAGGTTGATGCTGCCTTGAGTTTGTTTAGGTGGGCTAAGAAGCAGCCTTGGTATATCCCTTCGGATGAATGTTATGTCTTGTTGTTTGATGGGTTGAACCAGGGCAGGGATTTCGTTGGGATTCAGTCGCTGTTTGAGGAGATGGTTCAAGACTCGAGTAGTCACGGTGATTTGTCGCTTAGCGCCTATAACCAAGTGATTCAGTATTTGGCTAAAGCTGAGAAATTGGAGGTTGCTTTTTGTTGTTTCAAAAAGGCTCAAGAGTCGGGATGCAAAATTGATACGCAGACATATAATAATCTAATGATGTTGTTTCTGAACAAGGGTCTGCCATATAAAGCATTTGAGATCTATGAGAGCATGGAGAAAACTGATAGTTTGTTGGATGGGTCAACTTATGAGCTGATAATTCCAAGCTTGGCCAAATCCGGCCGTCTTGATGCAGCTTTCAAGCTTTTTCAGCAGATGAAAGAAAGGAAACTCCGACCAAGCTTTAGTGTGTTTTCTTCACTTGTTGATTCAATGGGGAAAGCTGGTCGATTGGACACATCGATGAAGGTTTACATGGAAATGCAGGGATTTGGCCATAGGCCATCAGCAACTATGTTTGTTTCCTTGATTGATTCATATGCTAAAGCTGGTAAGCTGGATACTGCTCTTAGGCTTTGGGATGAGATGAAGAAGTCAGGTTTCAGGCCTAACTTTGGATTGTACACAATGATCATTGAATCTCATGCAAAATCAGGAAAGCTTGAAGTAGCAATGACGGTTTTCAAAGACATGGAGAAAGCTGGGTTTTTACCGACACCATCCACATATTCGTGTCTATTGGAGATGCATGCTGGATCTGGGCAAGTAGACTCTGCAATGAAAATCTATAACTCCATGACTAATGCTGGGTTAAGGCCTGGCCTGAGCAGTTATATTTCACTTCTTACACTTCTGGCCAACAAAAGACTCGTCGATGTCGCCGGGAAGATATTACTCGAGATGAAAGCAATGGGGTATTCCGTAGATGTATGCGCTAGCGATGTTTTGATGATATATATCAAAGATGCTTCTGTGGATCTTGCTCTGAAATGGCTTAGGTTCATGGGTTCTTCAGGGATCAAAACAAACAATTTCATCATCAGGCAGTTATTCGAATCATGCATGAAAAATGGTCTATACGATTCAGCTAGGCCTTTGCTCGAGACACTCGTGCATTCTGCTGGAAAAGTTGACTTGGTGCTTTACACTTCGATTCTCGCCCATCTTGTCCGATGCCAAGACGAAGATAAAGAGAGACAATTGATGTCAATCCTCAGCGCTACCAAACATAAAGCTCATGCCTTTATGTGCGGTCTTTTCACGGGTCCAGAACAGAGGAAACAACCAGTTCTAACGTTTGTCAGAGAGTTTTACCAAGGGATTGATTATGAACTCGAAGAAGGAGCTGCTAGATACTTTGTCAATGTCCTTCTCAACTACCTTGTCTTGATGGGTCAAATAAACCGAGCTCGATGTGTCTGGAAAGTAGCCTACGAGAACAAACTCTTCCCAAAGGCCATTGTCTTTGACCAACACATTGCTTGGTCTCTCGATGTGAGAAACTTATCGGTTGGAGCTGCGCTCATAGCCGTGGTTCACACTCTCCACAGGTTCAGAAAACGAATGCTTTACTACGGTGTAGTCCCGAGACGTATAAAGCTAGTCACAGGACCGACATTGAAGATTGTAATTGCTCAGGTGCTGAGCTCTGTTGAGTCGCCTTTTGAGGTCAGCAAAGTTGTCTTGAGAGCACCAGGCGATTTGGTCATGGAGTGGTTCAAGAAACCGATCGTGCAACAGTTTCTTCTGAATGAGATCCCATCTCGGTCTGATATATTGATGCATAAGATGAACGTGATGTTTCCAAGCTCGGCTCCTGAGCTTAGATCTATGTCACCTCCCAAACCACTCATGTCGTCGAAGGCGTTCTAACTTTTTGAATGACCCTCGTTTTCTAGTTGGGCTCTGTTTCAGATCTCTCATTGTTAATACTTGTCTGAAATATAATGGAAACTATATTTACGCCTTTAATTACTTGTTAGTTCATTTTTTGTTCGATTAAAACTGGAAAGGTTCTGTCGTTTTGATAGCAGGAAGTAAATTGTAGCAAATAAATCTCTACGTGTATCTTTACGTCCTTATCCTGGATAGGAATTAATCTGTCCATGTGTCCAAACACCATCTCTCAGTTAATAGCTCCAATTTTCCCACGCGCTAAAGGTGAGAGGAGATCTCACTTCCCTTCTTCACTCACTCTGCAACTTCGAGATCACGGCAAAGGTCAGATTCCTTAATTCTCCATTTCTTATTTGCTTCGTTTCAGAGAAGAATTAGGTTTTCCCGATCTTTGGACTCTGATTCGGATTTTCTCGAAAACTGCAGCTTTTTTTGTTTGGCGATAAGAATGGCGCCAACATCACCATTGTACAATCAGCTCAAGGTTTGAGAGTCTCGCCTTTTTGTTTTCAGAATGTTGAATGTTCGCTTCTTATTGTAGAATCGAGTTTGATTATAGTACGTATATTATATAGGCTGCTGAACCATTCTTCTTGTTGGCTGGTCCAAATGTGATCGAATCCGAGGAACATATTCTTCGAATGGCAAAGCACATTAAAGACATTTCCACAAAGTATGATTCCTTGTACTTGTATTACCAATAATGTTATCATGTGTGTTTCTTGCTTCATTAGCTCCGTTTTTTTTTCCTGAGAGATCTTTGTATGAATGTGTATTGATCTGTATATGAAAATTGATTACAGTGGAGCACTCAATTGAGAGATGGACTTTGAACAATGTGTTTTCTTTTTTCAAGATCCTTATGCTACTTTTGTTGTGTGTGTGTGAATGGTGTAGAGTTGGGTTGCCTCTGGTTTTCAAGTCAAGTTTTGATAAAGCTAACAGAACTTCTTCAAAGTCATTTCGAGGTCCTGGCATGGCCGAGGGTCTGAAGGTATCTTTCCCCTGTTTACCTTTAATCACCCTTTCTATGTCCTTGGGATTTTTAAATGTAGATGATTTGGATGTTAGGACTGTGGATTTGAGAACCTTCACAGAGTTTTGATGTTAGATGGATCTTATATATGTAAACTAATTTCAAGTTCTTCTAAGACCTTTGGATTGAATTGATGGCAGGAATTGTATTACTTTTCCCCTATGATGCTACCAATTATTTGAACGTGAATTTGCTTTAATTTTCTGTTATTTCTGAACAAGAATACTGATGGTCACATTTATGGTTCTCCAACGCAGATTCTTGAGAAGGTGAAAGTAGCATATGATCTTCCAATAGTTACTGATGTTCACGAATCAAGCCAGGTATAAATGAACGTATTCACATAAACGAATTGAGATTAAGCAAGTCTTAAGTACTTTCTAATGTGTTATTTTATTTTCTTAGTGTGAAGCAGTTGGCAAGGTTGCAGATATAATTCAGATTCCAGCATTCTTATGTCGCCAGGTGAGACTCTAAACTGTATTTTCCTCAAAGCTTTTGATTGTATCTTTCAAACTTTCGTTCTTGGGTTGATATCTGTTCTATGGTTGATGATTTAAGTTGTTAATTGTAATTCCAGACAGATCTTCTGGTTGCAGCAGCACAAACCGGAAAAATTATCAATATTAAGAAAGGACAATTCTGTGCTCCTTCTGTGAGTTCTTTCTTCCTGCGTTTTCAAGCTGGTCAAAAGATTTTGCTGGAATACTTTTGATGACTGGGTTATTGTATGCTAAGGTCATGGAAAATTCAGCCGAGAAGATCAGACTGGCTGGGAATCCAAATGTTATGGTTTGTGAAAGAGGAACCATGTTCGGATACAGTAAGTTCTCATCTCCTTTTCAGATACTTTTTGTGTCCACGGAATTTAGCATTTTAGATATTCTCAAATCGCATGCAAATCTCTTGGAACTGATAAAAATTGGATTGCTGAAGTATACATCAGAGGGTACTAAAACAATATTTTTTTGTCTGCCTTTACAATTGGCTGACTGATACTCTTTGTTTGGTTTTGATTATCAGATGATTTGATAGTAGATCCACGAAACTTTGAGTGGATGAGGGAAGCTAATTGTCCTGTTGTATGTATCTTGCTTTATCTTTTCTTTTTCATATTTTGCCTATTCTGCTTTATGTTCTTCAATCCACAATCTACAATTTAACATACACCTTTTAATTCTTGGCAGGTCGCTGATATAACCCATTCACTACAACAACCTGCAGGCAAGAAGGTATGGTCTTTTTGAATAGTAACTTTTTTATTTATTTTGAAGCCAGCAATAACCAAATTAGTTTGAACACGAACAATACATTCTTATGTAGTTGGATGGTGGTGGTGTTGCTAGTGGAGGCCTTCGCGAGTTAATACCATGCATTGCAAGAACAGCTGTAGCAGTTGGCGTCGATGGAATTTTCATGGAGGTAGGATACCTTGTTTGATACCACTCAGGCCATATTACATCCTTTTAGAAATTTTATCAAGTTCATTGGTTAATTGGTCATATACTCCTGGATTCATTGTTCCAACTTGATTATGATCAGGTTCATGATGATCCTCTAAGTGCTCCAGTTGATGGTCCAACTCAATGGGTGAGTTTTATGTCCTACTCAATGTTTACGAAAGTATCCATCTCTTTCTTGCAATGTTGTGAAGATTCTTGTGTTTTTTCATTGTCAAAGCCTTTGCGCCATCTAGAAGAACTCCTGGAAGAGCTCATTGCGATTGCGGTAAGCCTTTTCAAATCCATGGATTATTGGTCTTTGGTTCCCATTTTTGTTTCAAGGACCTGTCTCCTTGAACACCATTAACAATGACAAGATCTTGACTCTTAAATTCTGCAGAGGGTCACAAAAGGGAAGCAGCGGCTCCAAATCGACCTTACACCCTACCGTGATTAAGATCAAAGGCTCAGTAATCCCGAGGTTAGTGACCCAAACGGGGATATATGATATGACTTTCTCATCATTTAAATAATCCCCACAAAGTAAAAAATGTTTATAATCTTCTCACTTTCAGTGGAGACTAGTTGCAAAAAGTGTGAACGTTTACAGAAGAACCATGCATCATCTGTCATCACTGTTCTTGCTTCTGAAGAGCTGAGCTTCTCTTATATTGGTCTGGCAATTTTCTTATTCATTTATCTGAAACTTTTAGGTCTACTCGTCGGACATTTGCAAATCCTGGAGATTAGAGATGATTGAAAGGATCTGAGTCAGTGATGAGCCTTTGTTTCTGTTTGTTCCAGACTTTTGCAACATTCACTTCAAAAGTAATTCGAATTAAGATAAAATTGAGCTATATAATATAGTCACAGACAGAAATACGGTTGTATATGTGTGGTTTCTCTCTGATTTGTGTACTGTTGAACCTTGTAAGACCATACACATTGGGGCATGCTAGAGAATACATGTTAACTATATATTTATTATAAAATTTATTTAAGAGAGAGGGGAGACTTGGTCGGCGGAGAGAGAGAGAGGAGAGAGAGAGAGATTTTTTTTTTTTAATGTTTCCAGCCACTCAAGCCTCGCCACCTGGCCTTACACCCAACGAACACAAGTTGCAAGTTTACATCCGTTTCTTGTATCCTCACCCTCAATTCTATTATTTTGGTTTTTTTAAATACTCACACCCAAGCTACACATGTGCCGTTGTGTATGGCCTAAGTTGTAATTTCTCGTGAACGGGAAGCCTAGTCGTGCTTGATTTGCGTTAAAATAAACATCGGTGGGCTTAAGCTGAAATGTGATCCAATGGGCTTAGTAATGGGCTTGGGCTATATATGTCAAGACTAAGGCGGTAAATTTAGGGTCATAGTTCGTCAGTTCGTTTCTATTCCAAAAACTGAAAAAGTTGCCTCAAATGATTTCAGCTTTCACAAGTTTGCAAGTACAGTTCCTCTTTCTCGGTTCTCGCTCTCTCGAAACTCGAAAGCGAAGCATACCAGAAGACGGCAGATGTGGGGAAGAAGACGACGGTCTTCGCGAAGGTAAATCTCACGGAAACCCTAAGTTTCTTCATGATTCTAATTGATAGTTTATCCGCATTGCTTGATGATGTAGCCAAAGAGGTACGACGACATTGTTCTATGTGAAATCTTAAGTTTAAGTTAGGGTTTCTCTTCGTCCTCTAATGGTGTTGAGATCAGAGTAATTTTCGCCTATTGTTTATTTTTGCCTCTTTTCTTCTCTGGATTAACTGAAGATAGTCTCCTTGAAAACCTCCATGAAGAATTGATCTCTTGCATTGTCAACCATTTTCAGTCTTGTGTATAGGATTTAATTTTTAAGTTCTGAGACTGTTCCTAATCTCTAGTGTTAGTGTATCTTGTATTTTAGCTTTTGATTATTCTAAACCGAAGTGCTGATGCAGGCATAAAACCCAGCTTTGGGCTTTTACTTGGGAACATGGAATTTTTATCAACTGGCTAATTGAAGTGAGTATTAGTTCACTGTAATAAAAAAAAAATCAACTTGATTTTGCCTTTTCAATTATTCTTCCCCATGTAGAGTTCTTTACCTTGATCGTTGCTTATATTGTTGTTGGCGCACTTTCAAATTTGATCTGATGCCTAAGACTCTCTACCTTGCAGTGAACTTGTTAGATTGCTAATACAGAGGAAATGCGTAGTTGATCGGTCTCACTGCATTTTTGCTCGCATCTAAGTAGGAGGACTATTGGCATCACAGGGTAAGAGATATTAAGATTTATACATATGTACTGTTTTCAAACTAGCGGAATATCTTCCTCCTATCCATTCAGATCATAGATTTCATTAGCATCCCAAACTTGTTTTGAGATTGTTTGGACATGAGCTCAGCAAAAGGTATTATATATTTATTTCCCTTGCTTTATTATTTTCTCTCTTCTTATCGATTGCTTACCTGAATCTTACAGGGGAGAGCAGCCAAAATGATTAACTTTTTCTTCGCATCCCTCCGGGCAAAAGGTAAAAATCTCTGGCTTATGATTCCTTTTAGGTGTGTGCTTATGTGTAAATGATCAACTTCATAATAGAATTAGTGTTTTACTTCATATGGGTGACTTCAAAATCTGCATCAAAACTCATGTTCATCACCCACAATGATGCATAGAAATCTGACATCTTTGGATTCCCCCAAGTTGTCCTACTTAGATATTCCCTTTGAGATTAAGAGAGAATGTGAACCTGATATATTATGATGGCATAGATTGTGTCTGGTTTCAAGGGATATAATTTTGCTTGATCGTAAAGACAAATCATCAATGTGTTTTATATAACAAAACAACTGTAATGAATTCTGTTTACATTCAATAGGCAAGTTGTACAAGCTCATGGGTACATAGAGTATTATTGGTTCCCTACCCTCTTTGATATCTGAAAACCTAAGTCAACCACATCTACTCATCTGCATATGCTTGCACACATATTTATATTATCTGCAATGTAACAGTATATATATACACCTGAGTATTGCCCAACGGCACTATGAGCATGCGGCGAAATGGTCTTGCACAAGCATCTGCTCTCCCTGCTTGTCTAATGTCCTTTGCACTGCTTTGTAGAACTCAATCCAAGAAGATGAGTATGAATCCATGGCGCCAAACATGAAAGTTGGATTGGGACTTGCAGGGCAAGCAGTGACCAAATCCAAAACGGAAGTGGCAGGTTTGAGCTGGTGAGGGAAGTTGAAGGCCAAGTTATCGACTTTATGCTCATAGATTTTGCCGTTTCGGTCGAGTTTATAGCGAGAAGTACCCTGAAACTCCCCCTTTGCCTCCCATGGGACTCTAGGTACACCTTTAAGATTCCACCTGATGAGAATCATGTTCTCTGATGGTTGCCAAACCCTGAAGATCTCAAGTGAGATATCCCTGAAGAGAATCTTGCCATGAAATCTGAGTGCCCAGAAGATCAATTTGTACTTGTCAATCCCAGAGAATGTGTTCATTGGATCCACAAAGGTTATATCATCCCTGAAAGAGCAAACACAAAGAATCTGATTTATTTATTCGGATGATTAATTTCTAGTTTACATCGACAGATCACCTAAAGGAGAAGAGCAAAACACCTGTAAATGTCGTAATTGAGATCTTTGGTGAAGAGAAGGGGCAAATCTTCACGAAGGGTACGTACAGCTAAACCGAGATTGATGTAGAAGTCATCTTTGCCGTGCTGGTACTTATCCTGCGCACTCGGTTTGGTCTTAACCTGCGCACCTCGAACAGGAGGAGGAGCCTGGACGCTAAAGAGAGAAAGTGGAGAGAGAGTATCTTCTTCAAACTCGTAGCTATTGGAAGAAGACGATGATGATGATGGTAAAGCTTGGCTGGAAATGGGTTTCTCTTTGAGTGATTTTCCGGTCGGAAGAAGGAAAGAAGGAGAGAGATTGGGGAGAAGAAACGCCATAGCTGCTGGATTTGAGAGCTTCTCTTGTTTTCTTTTGTCTTAATTTTTCAAGGCGAAGTGAATCAGAGGGAGAGGAGGATGAGTTGAGAAGAGCGAAGATGCACGAAGAAGAAGCTTTGTTGGAAGATAAACAGCTGTTCGTTTTTTGAGTGGTAATCAAACCTTCGCGTTGTTCTTTTTTTTTTTATTTTTCTTTTCTTTATTTTGACTTATAATATTTTTCTTTATTTTTCTTATTTTATTTGGTGTATATATATAGAAATTTCTCCTAAGGTCTATCTAATATGAATAAAATAAATAGTTATGGCCAAAAAAAAAAGATAAAAATAAATAGCTATTGAAGCCACTAAAAATAACAAAAAAACGTACTAATTTATTTATTATTTTTAATATTTAAATGATTTTTTAAGGAAAATATATGTACATTATTAAAATACATTAAAGTAACAGTAATTTTGGAAAATAAATTTTCATGTTTAATCTCACATTATTAATAATACTATGTTATCGTATAATTTAAACTTTTGTTTATATTTCCCTTGCCATAAAGAATTCTTTTATTTTTTGATTTTTCGAAAATACTGTATATGATAATTTTAATTTGTTTCTAAACATATTCGATTTATTTTTTAAAATAAAGAGTAACTCAAATTAAAGTTAGTTAAGAAATAAAAATGTTAATTATGTTGTCCAATAATAAAAAGACTTGAAATTAAATTGGTGATAAAAAAAAGTGGTAGGTAGAAACCCGTTCAAAAACGCGGCCGCCTAGCCGCCTAGGCGGCCAGAAAGTCGCTCGGCGGAAGTCATCCGCCACGATTTTACTCAAATCGGACAAATTAGGCGGTATCCGATTATACGGCCGCTTAATAATAAAATCGGTCTGATAACCGACAAAAACTGGGCCTTAATTCGTAGCCCATATACGTGAGCGGCCCTTATTTTTGATTTAGCTAAAAGAGTGGAACATGCATATTTATAAGTGAGTTTTCATGAGCTCCTCCCTCTAGTTACCGATGTGGGACATTTGCAAGTCGTGTATCTTTCCTTCACAGTTATTGCTCAGGACACGTGTATTATTGAAACTTTCCACTATTGCTTCCATCCAGTTGGACCACAGCCCTATTGGACTTCGTTTATTTTTTCTGGCCCATTGATAAATTGTTTGTATTTTATTTGGTGTCATTTTATCAACATGATAAAACTATACATATATTTAATATCATATATATATGTGTATATATATTATTTTTAATAATTAATTAAAAATAACCCTAAAACTAATCTCCGATTAATCCTCGTTTAATCTCCGATTTTTTTGCTAGGCGCTAGGCCCGCCCCGAGCGCCCGACTAGCGCCTAGCGATTTTTTAAACATGGGGTAGAAATAGTTTAATTGACGAAGATTAATAGGTTAGTTACTCTAGTGTTTTAAAATAAAAAGAAATAACTACAAAATCATAAAAAAGAAGAAAAATCTGTAAAATGGGCCAAAGCCAGAGAACGAAAAGGCCGGTATGAAAGAAAGCCCACACTAGAAGATATTTGTATGGTAAATATGAATTTGAAAACAAAATAACCACGCACACTATAAGCGAGTTATCAACACGCGCCCCAAATCTGTAGGTTAACCCCTTTCGAAATTGTCTATGGGTCTAAATGGTAACTGAGGAATCTGGCTGAATCCAGCTGAGTTGCTGAATCTGGCTGAATTTTTAGTGATTTTCGGCTGAATCTGGCTGAATTTTTACATTTTCAAATGGTAACCGCTGAATCTAGCTGAATTTTTGTGATTTTTGGTGGTATCTATCAAAATAATTAAGATTTTAACTGAAACGTATCGTCAAATAATGATGAATATTAATAGAATAATTAAGAAAATATCTAAATAAAATAGATATATAAAATGATCCAATGGTCTAATTAACAATTATACTAATAAATAAATACTAAATTATCTAAAATTAATACTAATATAAATAATATATTGGTTAGCAAAATTGAGTTATTCTTTCATATTTAATTTTTGAACTATGAAAAATATGTAAATAATTAATGAAAAGCTTTGTAAAGCGTTATTGAAAACTTAATTTCAAAAATTAACATGATAATAAAATATAAATTTTCTAATTGTGTTTTCTATTGTTTTCTAGTAGTTTAATCAATAATATGATGAGGATGATTAAGAAAATTATTAAAATTTTGATATTTTAAGTAATATTTTATTAGGAGTTACGTTGTTTTGCGAAATTTTAAAATTTTATTTTAAATTATCCAAAAATATTAAAATTATCAAAAATTATCTATAGTTATCCGAACATGAATTCGTCTCTTTTCTGATGTGTAATTTTTGATATCCAAAATATTTTAATTCAAGTTATGTACTCGTAATATCCGAATTTTTACAAGAAATGAACATATCTACGTATCTGTTGGTGTTGCAAAAACTGCTGAATCTGGCTGAATTCAGCTGAATTTAGTTTTATGCAAATGGTGACTGCGGAATTGCTGAATGTTTTTATTATGTTACCATTTGGAGCCTATTTTTTGTTTAGTTGGAAAAAGTAGGCGCGTGAAACTTTCCCTCAACTAGTTTTTTTTTCAGAGCTTTGGAAAAATAACTTTGCCTTCGATGAGAATCAACTAAAACGGTAGGCCTTCCTATCCCAGTTAGGTAATATTAGCAAAGACTAATTTCTCAACCATTGTTCAATTTTGTTAATCAGAATTTTAAGCTTGCTCGTCGAATTATGCTTTTGTGTTATATTTTGTTCGGCAAGAGTGATATAAATTGTGATCTAAATAGTCTAATATGGCCGAGATCATTCATACATTCAAGGCTTATAATCTAAATGACAAGCGTACTTGTCCATTGTGGTATTAGCATAGATTACGGTGGTCGTAAAGTTGGGACCATAGCTGCCAGCATTATCAAACAAAGCTTTAATCCTTCAACCAAATTTCAGTATCTACGAATCGATCTGTTCTCAGTAAAATTTGATGTTGATTATACACAGGAGATATAGAAATTCTCAAAAATAAGTAAAACTAATTTTGAAAACATTGGCTAGATTTGGTCAATAATGAGAAATATACAAGCCAATGGCAATAATATAGGAACATCGATCATATTGGCTAAAATATAACTAAAAGCCAATTGTTAGATCTTTGCACCAAATAATTATTGGCAACGTACAGCGCTTTATCCACTATTGAATAAGTGAATCAGAGACTCTAATTTGTTGCCTTTATTAACCTACTAACCAATCAAAAACTCAAAGCAATTCAAAGATGTTCAGTTGAGTGAAACATGTAAGGGCTTTTGAATGCACATGGAACTATCAAAACTAGACCAAGTGCCAGAATATCGCCTTTTCTATTTCGGCAACGTACAGCGCTTTATCCACCATTGAATAAGTGAATCAGAGACTCTAATTTGTTGCCTTTTGTATCACCAAACAGAGCATATTTCAAACAAACTAGGCTCAGATTATAAAAAGAAGTTTACATCAACGAGGTATGAATCTCTCAAAGTTTGATGGTAATCTTGTTTCATCATCAGCGCCTAATATAATTGAAAACAAAATAAAACTAATGGTTTAGAACTCCCAATGGCGAAGTCGAAAACAAAAACTGTATAAACCTAGAGAGAAACAGATCTAAAGCCTCAGAAAGTGGAGGTAATCGTCAAAGAGAAAATAATAATCTCAGATGGTACGGACAATCTCAAACATCACAGGCTACGATCTAAAGAAAACACACAATATAAACTAGAAGAAACGAAAGACGAAGATATCAGTAAAAAAATGGAGGAGCTCGCTTGGTCGATGTACGCTTCTGTGGAAAAGACGGCATATATAGCGACGATTCTAGGTTACATACAAGAAACCCTAAAGAAATGAGCCTCTAATGTTTTCAAAGCCGACTTAGTTGGGTGATAAATGGGCCTATAATCTATTAGCATACATTCTACATTGGGCCTACATCATTTCCTAAGCTTTCTTAACGGACAGTAAATCGGGCCGAGTAATGGGCCATTACCTTAGGCCTGTAATAGTCTTAAGTTTTGTCGGTTTCTAAAAGGACCAAAAATCGTTTCTAAAAAGTGTGTGTCACTCAGGGGGTGATTGGAAGAGACTTTCAAGGCTTTAAAAAAATTTTAAAGTCTTAAAAGCCAAATATTTGCCAATCACCATTTTATGACTTTAGATTTTTTTTAAAGTTCTTAAAGTCCAACTGCCAACTTTTTTCTTTTTTACGTACAAATTTTTAAATTCTCAAATATGAGGCTTTCAAACAAATAATAAACTTTAAAATAAATAATAATTAAAAACTTTCTTTTTTCTTCTCCTCATAATAATTAGAATCTTTCTACATGTTTATATATATTGTTTCACATATTTTTTTTGATAAATTAATTATTATCATTTTTCAATCTTTCTTTTAAGATCCATTTCAATAATATTCATTTTATTTTCATAATCACCATTAATATTGGTATAAAAGAGTTTATAGAATAGTATTTTTAATAAAACATATACTTTATATACCCATTCAATTATTTCATAAATTGCTTCATCATTAATAATTTTATTGATTTTTGATTACTCAAAATTATACAACTACTCAACAAAAAAGAAACATTCAAAACACTATTATTAGTCATTTCTTTTAAATAAATATTTTATTATTAATAATTTGATTTTTAGTTTATCCACTTTTTAATGCAATATTTGGTTATTAAACATGAATGAATAATACGTATTTCGTTTATTTATTGAGAATATTATTCTATACATTTATTTATGAATTTTTGTATTTTTCTAAATTCTTATCATTAATAAAATTATATTGTCACATAAATTCATTTATAACATTATTTATATTTATTATGAATATATATAATCCTAAAAAAAATAACAGTCACAGCTTCTACAGCTTTGTTCTACCAATCAGATTTTAACAGCCAAAGTTTCTACAGCCAAAGTCTCTGCAGCCAAAGTTTCTACAGCCAAAGTTCTTAAAGCCAAAGTCTTTACAGCCAAAACTAACAGCCTCTTCCAATCACCCCCTCAATCATATTGGGGATTTAAGGTTTTATCTTTTGTGGACTAGTACATAGGGAACAGAAAACAACAAAAAAAACTCTAGAGAAATCGAGACTACCTGCTTAATTTATTATCCATTGATTAACCTATTGGGATATTCAAACCTTGCATTTGTGTTCTGGACGATGAGTAAACTCAAAGTCAATATGGACAAAAGCTCTCTCAACCTCAGAGAGTTGCTCCAGCTTCTCCTGAAGAGTTTCTCCTATGTTGTGAGCTTCATGCAGCCTCATGTTCTCTGGCAACACAATGTCAACCTCCACAAAGTAGTGTGACCCAAACGTGTAGGCTCTCACTGTGTCAATGTGTTTTATCTTCTCGTGATGGTTCCATATCAAGAACGTTAGTTTCGCCAAGAAATCCGGTGGTGCTGAGCGTCCTATCAGTGAATGGACATTCTCTAGAACCGTTCTTGCCCATGTGCTGATTGTGTACAGAGCAATCTGGAAACCAGAAAGAATAAACGTTTTCTCAATCTATCTCTTCACAAGAGACATTTCAAGAAAGGATAAGGTTGATGATCATTTACTTACTAATATAGCCCCAGAGGGATCAATCCACCAGTAGAATTTTACAGCTAAAACAGCTGTTGCTAAACCGACTGAGTTGGTGATAACATCAAAGAGGTGATCTTGTGCATAGGCCCTAACAATTTCGTTCTGGAAACTCCTGCAATAAAGCATGAGCAGAAACTTGACGACTGTAGCAGAAGCCATTATTCCAATCATCCATTTTTCCTCAGTGCTACTCATATGAGAACCGTTCTATACAATGAGAAAGATTAAATTAGATTAGATTACATAATATAACTAGTAAGGCCCCTGTTAAGAGTTTACGAGAAAGGATCGAATGAGGAAAACCCGTGTTGTACCTTGGAAACAAGTAGCCTGGTTGACTCTAGTATCACTTGTAGTCCAAGAGTTGCCATCACGGATGCAAACACAATGATTCCCTGTCAAATTTTTAAGCACTATGCTTTTAGTTTCGTGGGTTTTAAGGGAAGCAATGAGAGAATTACAGAGACTATACCACAGGTTGCATCCGTCGTTTTCCAATTGGATAGCGAAAATTGTTTGGTGTTCTCATGGCATTAGCGGTAAACCATAGAATAAATCCAGACAAGAGATCTAAGAGAGAGTCCAAAGTGGAAGCAATCACAGCCATAGATCTACTCTCCACAGAAGCATAAACCTTTGCTACAAAAAGCACAAGGTTTGCTGCGTTTGAGATGTGAACAGCAAGCCTCTCGCTCTTTGCAAGCTTCTTCAATTCTTCCTGTTGAAATCAACAAGATGCTATGTATGAAGAAAAGGACGAAAGATCTCAAAAGAAGCCTAAAGAAAGCAAGAGTGGTACCTCAGTTGGAGCTCCAGATACAAAACCAGTCTCGTTAATTGACTCCATCTCGTTGAAACCCTCCAGGAGCTTCTCTTGCTGCTTGTAGTACTCAGAGACTTTGCGTTCCTTTTCTGATTTTTTACAACAGAAAAGAGTAAAACCCATGTTAAGATTTTGGTACCTGTTTACTGATGATTCAAACTTGTTTAACAATCTCGATACTTGATGGTTTTTATGATGATCCCATCAATCTACAATGCGTAAAAACTCCGAAAGAATATGATTCCGTGTCCCGATCACACTAGAAATAAAGAAATGATCATGTTTCCCCAATGTTCCTTGCACAACCAAAAGAATATTCCCAGATTCACTTAAAATCTAATATATGCATCAAGTTGAAAACAGAGGCTTTTGCAAAATAGAAAGCTTAAATTCCTTTTGAATCAATACAGATGCTTTTAAACAGAAAATTCGATAAGATCACTGTAGAATTTTCATAGGGTTAACATATTGGGAACACCGTACGTATATACTACAACCAATTGCGGAAAAAGTTCGCGTAGGGTTAAATTATCAATGGAAGAAGAGTAATCGGAGATTAGAGTGACATTTTCTGGCGTGAACCATGTAAACACGTAACAGTACATCGATTATACACGTACAGACGAAACGCAACGCAGGAACGGAGATTTGAAGACAAAGACGAGGAAGAGAAACTTACTCGGAGTCCGGAGATAACGAGACAAGCGAGTACGGCCGTTGTGGCGGCCAGATGATAACGGAGAAGAAGAAGGGAGGCGAAATGTGTCGAGGCTGAGACGCCATGAAGATGGTGGCGAATCGTCTTCGTCAATTGGTAAAAGGTCGACATTGTAGTCTCCTCCACTGTGGCCGTGATGCTCCGTCGCCGCCATAACCGATCGCTCTCGCTCTGCTGATTTTTGGGGGAAGTTACGAGAGAATCAAAAGCTGTTGCTTATTTTTTGGCCCCTTTTTTGGAACTTTAGGTGTTGGCCAAAAAGGCCACGCATGTATTTGTAGAAATGTCCAAACTCTTTTTCCTTAATCAAAACCTTGATTAGCAAAACTATATTCTTTTATTATTTTCATATAAAATTGAACATACAAATCACAAACTATGCTATAACTACTATACAAATTCAACATAAAAGTGTTTAGTTATACATATATATATATATATATATATATATATAGCCATATAGGAAAACATGAGACCATGAGCTTAACTGGATTTTCTTATGGGTATTGTTGAGTTTAAAACGTACTAATTAAGAGAATCTGGTATTATCAAGAGTTTTTGTCTGTTTGTATACGCAACAAGCAATATCTTTTGTTTGTCGTAGAAACGAAATAAGTAGATTTTAATACTCGTAAGAACATACGTGGCTGCGGATGCGTGGTGGTGCAAAAGTTGTTGTGGACTTGAAAACTGGACCATTTTTCTTCTTGGTTTATATGTACAAAACCTTGTCCACATACAGATTATTTTACTTTAACGTGGACGTCTCTGATGAACAAATATAACACTTTATTATCCATTTTTGTAAGATAAATTTTCAAATTGATGTAGCCAATGAAATACCATCCGGTGTTATTTAGAGAAAGAAGAGACCTTGAATCACTACCGATATCATTGGAGAATATATATCTCCACGACTCCACCTGTCTAGAACGTTATTGTTTAGAGGTCATTCTGTGACAAACCATGGGAGATTCAGGGGAATCTGTAATAAACAAAAAGTTGAGGAAACAAACATATAATAAACAAAACTTTTGGAGGCATTTTGACTTTGCGGGGGTATTTGTAATAAAACGAAATTTCAGGGGCCATAAAAAAGTTCAGGGGACATCTGTAATAAACAAAACTTTAGGAAACATATGGAATAAACAATAGTTCGTGGAAAATGTTGCAGTTTGCATGAAATATCGGGGCAGACGAAAAGATATAAGCAATAACCTTATCCCTTTATCCACATGGTGGCCAGTAAATAACTCATGTCCTTCCTTAAGCTATAGCCGCACTGGAGTGTGCTTCCCTTCCCATTAACTCTAAATAGTCGTCTTTCTTAAGTAATGGTGATGGCGAAGAGACAACAAGTTTTGAAAGAGATCAGAAACAAGACAGATGAGATAGATGATGTGGCTGTCCATCTCAATGGATAAATCTTCATGCTTAGCTTCCAGAAATCGCCAAAATCGAACGAGTTTCCTTGAATGAAAAAACGAGTAAGCTTTCTTCTGAAACCTAGCAGAGGAAGAAGATATAAACTATAGAGTAGGCGTTGTTTAGTTACACAGTTAATCTAATTCAATTTCTATTTTCATTTCTAAAAAACATGTTTCAGTGGTTAGTGATCTCTTGTCATAAGCACGGGCAAAGCTAACGATGCACTCACTATCAAGAAGCTTCCAAAAAATTGTTGCTTATACTGGTAAGCTATTTTTGGTAAAGTACAACAAGTTTATCCCCTTATTTGATAGATGTAAAGTCGCACAGTTTTTAGTCTTTTGGACCCAATCTAGTTTTCCATAGTTGCTCATACTGGAACAAAACAAAAATAGAAGATAGGCTCGTGATTCAAACAAACCAAATTTCCCAAAACACCTAGCACCTAATTGAACCGAACAAATCCAAACCGGCTTTGTAGAGCAGGTTACGCAAAAAGCAGAAAGTCTCAAGCTTCTGCAAGAACTGGTGTGTATTTAGTGGCTGGCTGCTACCAAAGCCATGTGCTCTATAAGGTCAAGAACTCGGTTGCTGTAAGTAAAATGGGAGAAGATTTGTTAGTGTTAGAACTGTTAGCTATATCTAATGGAGTAAATATGAGATGAGAAACAAGAAGTGTACCTGTAACCCCATTCGTTGTCGTACCAAGAGACAAGTTTCACAAAGGACTTGCTCAATCCAATCCCAGCATTGGCGTCAAAGATACTGGACCTGTTTTAACAAAATTGAAAGCACCGCATTGGTCAACCACAAAAAAAGATTTCGATGGCTTTGAAGAAAAGAAGAGAGACCAACCTTGAATCACCGACGAAATCGTTGGAGACGACATCTTCATCTGTGTACCCGAGAATGCCTTTAAGAGGTCCTTCTGAGGCATACCTATTAGAGGTTTACATTATACCATGAGAGGTTACTACGAGTTCTACATTAAACAATAATGTTTTGATGAGGAAATCTGGTCGGTCAAGAAAATTTTGGGAAGCATACTTAATGGCTGCTTTAACATCTTCATAAGAGGCACCCTTCTCAAGTCGACAAGTTAAATCCACCACAGAAACATTCGATGTTGGTACACGGAAGGCCATTCCCGTAAGTTTCCCATTCAGTTCTGGAAGAACTTTACCTACAGCCTACTCGATAAAAAAAACACTGCTCAGATATGATTCCAGATTTATGATAATTACATGCTTGTAGATAACCATGCAATTTTTTGTGTACCTTCGCGGCACCGGTTGAGCTAGGAATGATGTTTTGACTAGCGCCCCGACCTCCTCTCCAGTCCTTCATTGATGGCCCATCAACAGTTTTCTGAGTAGCTGAAAGAACAAATAACCAAAAATACCTAGGTTAGTGTTATTAGGTTATCACCATTCAGTGATCTGCAACAGGAGAGCAAGATATATAGACCTGTAGTTGCGTGGACAGTTGTCATCAAGCCTTCAAGAATACCAAATTCCTCATGCACCACCTGCCAAATAGAGTTTAGTTGACCTTAATGAATCTCTTAGCAATGAATGATATATGGTCAAAAAACAAGCACAAATGAAGGTAAGATCATTGTACAACATTACCAACCTTCGCAAGAGGGGCAAGACAATTGGTGGTACAACTTGCATTGGAGACTATATCCATGTTTGGTTGGTATGTCTTCTCATTTACTCCAACAACAAACATAGGTGCGTCAGCTGAAGGGGCAGAAATTATAACTTTCTTGGCACCGCCCTGCAAAATAGATGAAATATCAAGCAAACAATATCATCATAAAACGAGGTCGACAAATGTTTGTATGAAAATATACCTTCAAATGGGATGCAGCCTTTGACAGGGTGGTGAATACACCGGAAGACTCAACAACATAATCAGCTCCAAGATCAGCCCATGGGATCTCAGCTGGATCTCTGAGGAAGAATAAACAGGATTAGGTTCTAAAGTGAAAACACCTGTTCTCAAAGCGGTAGAAGATAACATGCCACTTTTAAGCAATACCTCTTGCTGACAACATTGACCTTCTTCCCATTGATCTCCAAAGTAGAATCATCAATGACATTAATGCTTCCCTTGAAATTTCCATGAGTAGAATCATACTTCAACATGTAAGCCTGTGGAATAGGGAGTAGAAAACCAGACATTTGTTCAGTGGAAAAGAAGACTAAGATATGATGCATTTTTAAGGTTTTCTCAACCTATACCGGGTTCAAGCAAGCAAGAACGTAACTCAGATTAAGAACAGAGCATAAATAGAGTTTCAGGGAATACCAGTATTTTTGATTTTTTTGGTCATACCAGTATAAAATAACGATCTTCTAAGGCATCCTTACCATGTACTTGGCATCAATGAATGGGTCATTCACTGCTACAACATCAATATCATCCCTGGATGTTGCAATGCGGAGGACCAACCTTCCAATCCGACCAAAACCTGCATCATGCACAGCAAAAGAAAAGAGCTTCCATAAGAAACGAAAAAAGTTGGGGACCTCAAAGAATATTCTTAAGAAAGTAAATGATGATCTGGGACTTGAAACAAATGGCATCAATCAATAAAAGCACATACCGTTGATCCCAACCTTTGTCTTTCCACTGCTACTTGACCCTACTCAAACAAATCAAATCAAATCAAATTCACCAATAAGCACACAACATCAAAACACATACAATGAATAATTATGTTTATTACTTACTTCGAACTGCAGATGGCACTTCTGTAGCCGTGGCCTTGATGGGTTGCACACTTCTTGCATTGCCTTTTCTGTACATTTATACATAAACAAACAAAAAAAACTCTGAGAATCGAAAAGTGCCTCAGAAATACATTTTACACATGTTACAGAATTTGTCACAGAACTGTATAGACGAAGATATCCCAGAAGAAAATCTCGATGGTTTCAGGTTGCGACTAAATCCAAGACTTGAGGACACCTGAGAAATTTGAGACAAAAGATAATAAATACGATTGTGTTTTTTTGTAAAAGGTCCTGGAAAAACTTAAAAATCAAAACAAACAACTCCAAATGTATGCCATTAGACATTCAAAAAGACCAACAAATAAGATTTTCAAACCTCAAGCAATTTCACAAGTTGAAAATTCATCGTTAAACGAGACAACATACGAAAGCGCAAGAACAAAGACAAAAATAGGATTAACGTCACCAGCTTACGCTAAGAAACTCAGAACGGAACTAAAGAATATATTTATCACTATCAAACATCTTCTTCAAAGTAACCAAAGGCGCTACAGACGAAATTCAAGCAGATCAAAGCACGACCTAAGCTAAAAGCAAAATCAAATCGAACAGAAACATGAGATAATCAGAAACGAATCTAAACATATCCAACATAAAATCGATAAAAAAAAAGGCAAAACGTCGTCTCTGACCTTAGAATGATCAGACGCCGGCGACGAGAAAAAGTCAGGGCGAGGAGCGGCAACCGTGGAGGCGGCGGCAGATCTGAGGAGAGAAGAGAAGGCCATTGATTCGGAACTGGAGAAACAAAAGAAAGAGATCTCGCTCGCGGTCAAAAACCCTAAAACCCCTTTGCTTGGCTTTCTGACTTCTGAGAGTAGGTGTAGAGCCAACCAACAATATAAACAAACAAACGTGAAGAATCCAATATGTTCGCAGATTTTCACCTTTTTCCTATTTTTAAAATCCAAAGAAAAAGAAATGCTTTGGAATTGCACTCTTTTTGTCTACTCAACGGAGTTTTTGAGGCAAATATATTAATGCGCCTACTACGACTGTAGAGAGTATAGAGAGACGACACACTCTGTTGCTATAAAATTTATGGGTTAAGATCTGCTAAGGATACGAATATGAATTATTGCATTTTTTCAACGGCATTAAAATAAAACTAATGGCTGTTTTTTGCATATTAAATAGAGAGATAGTAATTGATACAACGAGATTATTGCTTCTAAATTTGTGACAGCAAAAAAAAAAACACAAAAAATGGTGGAAAAGATGATGACATGGCATATGAAAACGAAGGGTTGAGATTTGGACGTGGAATACAAAGACACGTGGATCAACGCTCAGGCCCATATGATTGGTCGGCCTCACTGTGATCTTTTGTCGTTTTGGCACTGAGATACTGATTTGGGAAAGCCCTTGGCGATGCCACGTCAGACAGATCTGGGCCGGGTTTTTTTGAAAAAGCCCTTTCCAATTCCAGCTTTTTGTTGATGTCAACTTCAGGTCTTCATGATTGACTCATGTCTCTTTGTCTGACCAAGGGTGTCAGGAAGCTCCATTATCCTACAGAGAAGCTGTGTTGATAATTTATGGGAGTTTCAAACATGTTGGAACAGGTCTTGGAAGGAAACCAGAGAGATTTAGACATGCTTAGTCTTTATTTCAGAGAGATTTAACATCATCATACAAAACAAATCAGTGTACAATAAAGATAAGGAAAACTTCAAGAAGGACTCTATAAATAAAGCATACAAAGCATTTACGTATAACCTCATATTTTTTCCTTCTTCCATTTCCTCAAGAGCTTCTGGTTTCCAGAGATCCTTCTACTCTAATGTAATGTTAAGGTAAAGAGACTGAATCAAAACTCAAATTTCTCTTCTCGACAAAACCCGCGCCAATGATTCCGGATGTAGATATACCTTTACGTATCATTTCATTACCTAAAGATCTATCAGGACCTGCTTTCTATATCTATGATGTTTCAAAAGGTTGAATCGAAGCATCGAGTCAACATCGTACCCTGCACGTTCCATTCTGTTTGTAAGTTGAGAAACAATCTCCATTTTTTCTCTTGATTGGAGGAGGGAGCTTAGGAGGTAGTTGCAAACTCTAGGCATCAGCTTGAAGTTGTTATCAAGAGTGTATAAAAACACATCTATTGCTGCATCAAGTTGTTCTCTTTTGCAGAGTCCATGAATCAGTTTGACACAACTCGGAGGTGTGACAAGGATCTTCTTCTCCCTTAAAACCGAAAACACCATCAAGGCCTCGTGAAATCTCCCTGATTGGCATAACCCGATCAGCCATATCGTGTAAGGCCCTAAAGTTAACTCGTCTTTTCTGGTATCCAATTCAATAAGTCGTCTTAAAGCTCTCTCGGTTTCCCCTTCCTTGAAACATTGTTCAATCTCATTAGCTGTTTCATCATCCAGACAAGATATCTTCTTTAGGTATTTCATCCATAGATTAAAAGCCACCAAGAGCTTTCTTCTCCGACATGACCATGTCATGAGCGATCTGTAAACCGCAGGACTGTGTCTAAAATCATCTTTAGCATAAAAGAGTTTAAAAGCTTCTTCTTCTCTGCCAACTCTATGAAGTCCGTTGATGAGAGTGTTGTAAGTGACACTGTCAGGGGATAAACCCTTTAGTTGAAGCACATTGAGAAGCTTGAGAGCACCGTCAATGTCTCCCTCTCTGCAGAACCCGTTTATAAGAACATTGTAAGAAACAATGTCTGGCGAATTCCCGGTATCAGCAAAATGTGCAAGATCTTTGTATGCCTTGAGAATCGAACCGGATTGAACCATGGTGTCAAAACTCCGGTTTCCACTGTGCGCAAGCCTTAGAAACAAAGAAGCAGGTCTCCCGACCTCCATTTTATGCAACAATAACCTGGCTTCCTTGAGCTCACCGGACTTGCACAGTCCATCGATTAAAGCATTAAAAGTAGCAACCGAAGGAGAACAACCACTCTTCTCAATCTCCAAAAAAATTTCTTCGGCTTTCCTAACCAGCCCATTCCTGCACATGCTACAAATAAGAATTGTGTGTGTGCACGCATCAGGGAAGGATTCCGTTTCTGACATCTCGAGTTGGAGGGACCGACCCTCTTCCAAAAGTCCCCTCCCACATAGAGCCTTTATAACAGCATTGTAGCAGTAGGTATCTGGGGTAATGCCCTTACTTGGCATGCTGCGTAACAGCTTCACTGCATCCTCAATCTTACCGGCTTTAGATAACCCTTGAATCAATATCGTGTACAAAATGATGTCAGGTTTAATATTCTTCTTCAGCATATTTGCATACAGCTCAAATGCCTGAGTGTATCTCCTAGCTCTGAACAATCCATCGATTAGACTGCTATGACCTCGAAGACCAAGCACAAAACCATCTTTCTCAAAAAGCCGCAACAGCTCAAATGCTTCAACCATCCGACCTAATTTACAAAACCCATCAAGCAAAGCATTGTGTGCGACGGAATCAGGATAGTTACCACTCGCTTTCATCTCGTAGAATAGCTTTCGTGCATCTTCAGCACTCCCCCTCTGACACAAACCTGAAATGAGAATAGTATAGGTAACTCTGTTAGGCGAAATTCCTCTACCGGTCATATCGTCGAACATCTTCTGTGCATCACTAGTTCTCCCTTTCTTATACAATCCATCCATCAAGATACCAAACGTGTATAGATTTGGGGAACAATTACACTTGAGCATTTCATTGTACACAGCAAAAGCCAACATAAAGAAGACATCTTCTCGCATCATGACTCGCAATATCACGTTGTAGGTGAACACATCGGGTCTGCAGTCAAACTCCTTCATCCTTCCAAACGATTCCACTGCTTTCTCCGCCATACCCATCTTAGCATAAGCCGAGATCAGAACACAGAAGCAATAAGAATCGACAGAGATACCTCCAGATTTAAGCTCCTCCAATGTCTGCCAGTACAGATCGCACCCATTATCTTCAGAGAGCATATCGATGACCAAACCAAAAGACTCTCCGCTCCTGAGACGCTCTCTTCTCGACGCCCATATAAAAAAACGGAATCCTAATTGCCGATTGACCTCCTCTTTGATTACCGATGTGATGATATTCTTCGAGAGAAACGGAACAAGCGGCTCTAAAGCAGGCTCTATAGGTTTCTTCTTAGCTAAAATGCTGATGACCTCGCCGGAGATATTGAATTCGGCGTTACCGGAAGAGTAGGAACGTTGCATCCATGACGGCTTTGAATAGAACTGAATGACTGATCGAAAGAACATCTGTGGTTTCATAGTAAATGCGAAGCGGATGAGAAATCAAATCTCATTGCTCGGCAGTTCATAGATGCAAAAATTAGGGTTTTACAAGGGGATTGGATTCCATGACTAGCAAATGAAGAACACCAATTGAGATAAGAAATAGGCGGCAATACTCCGCCAACCTTCACACTTGGATTGGTCGGAGAGAAGAAACGCGAGAGAAAGCTCACAGAACTTCCGGTGATCTGAAGAGATTTCAAATGTTTCTCCGATTAAAGATGGAAGAGACTCTGTCTGAGGAAGAAGACGGCTTTCTTTTGATCGTCAAGGGTTTTCTGCCATCGGAGCAAACTCTGGATCAATTTCAGCCGGTTCGTTGGTAAACCGGTGTCGAGAAATAGTGAAACGTCCCGGTTTTGGGTACAGGATAAAATCGTACATCATACTCATACATAATTAGAAAACTTAAGAATGTAATCTGTGGATACAAACAAGTGAAATTCATACATCTTCTAACAAATAATGCCAATGTATATTTCTTATAATTGAAAATTACACAAAACGAGATACGTCTAAGTATCATAATTTGGAGTTTAATAACTGACCAGTTAACCGGCACAATTCTGCAGCACTAACTGATATGAGTTGAAAACCCAGCAATCGGTTCACTTAACCGCTCCCGAACATCATACCAAATTACAAATCTTTCATCATTAAATTTGTTAACCTTTTCGTCAGATATCTCCTTTCTTAAATATAATCTCATTTTCTATCTCATATCAAGTATTTGTACTAAAAACCAAGGGAAATGATACTCAACTTAACAATTGAACTGAGGGATTAATGGAGCAAACTTCAGATGAATTTACTCCTCCAAAAATAGGTGTATGCCGTTTAGCGTGGAGAACACACGGTATTCTTTAGTAAAAGGCGAAAGAATAGTTCGCTATGTGCTCACTACACGGCTCCATGAGACAACAAGCGGAAGCATCCAATGATTTTATACATGTATCCTTTGACGTCTAATTTTACTTTTATTCGATGTGGGACAAATTAGATGTCTTCACTGGGCCGAAAACTACTCGCTTACTGGGCTGTTCTGATTTTCTTTATTTTACCAGTTCCTTTCAGATTTACTATCTGTTCTGGAGACCTGTAACTTGTTAAAGTTATGGAACACGAATTTTATGTTTCTCCTTGCACATATCATAGGTCCCAACTGGTCTTGTTTTGTTTTAATGGACAATATTAGCCAAGAGACAAATCATCCAGATCATGAGCCGATGAGCTAAAAAGCAACTTATATTTTGGTTGAAGTATGGAGGAGTTTGCTGATCAGAGTTTCTCTCTTTTTATTGAAAAAGGCTCCAAACTAAAAACTCTTAAAAAAGAGAGCCGCAGACAGAAATCTCAAGCTGACGATAATAATGGCTTGCTCGTCTGGTCATGAGAAATCCAGACAACTTGTTATACATATAACAACACAAAAGAGAGATAAAATCCAATGTGAGGATTCTCAAGCATCATCAAGAGCGAGGACTCCTGGAAGTGGCTTCCCCTCAAGAAGCTCCAAACTAGCACCACCTCCGGTAGAGATGTGACTCATCTTGTCAGCCAAACCGACCTTCTCGACGGCAGCCACAGAGTCACCTCCTCCAATGATTGTGGTTACTCCCTTTCCGCTTAGTTCTGCAAGCTGCTTTGCTACGGCCTGATGGTGAAACAAGACGAGATTGGGTTAGTTAAGTTGGGTCTCTCCGGTTAACAAATATGTTGAAGAGAGATGGATTTTGATAAAAGGGCGACTAAAACTTGGGTTTATGCGAGTTTAGTTGGTCATACCTCAGTTCCAGCTGCAAACTTCTCGAATTCAAAAACACCCATGGGACCATTCCAGATGATGGTTTTGGTTGTGTCCAGAGCTTCGCTGAATGTCTTGATGGAGTCTGGACCAATATCTAGACCCATCCAGCCATCTGGGATGGCAGTGGCTGGCACTATCTGCAAGAGTTACATAATTGTGTCAGCTTTAAACAGACCAGATCAGACGCTTAAATGTTTTATTTTGATTCATGACCCATTGAGAGTCCACCACAATGAATGTGACAGTTACCTTGCTGTTAGCATCGGGAGCGAACTTGTCAGCAATAACCACATCAGTTGGGAGTAAGAGAGAGACGCCTTTGGCCTTTGCCTTCTCCATGAGTGACTTTGCCAAGTCAAGCTTATCTTCCTCCAAAAGGGAAGATCCGACTGAGTGTCCTTGTGCCTTGTAGAAAGTGTAAATCATACCTCCACCAAGGAGGAGGATGTCAACTGTGTTCAAGAGCGACTCAATGACACCAATCTTTGTTGAAACCTTTGAGCCTCCAACAATGGCAGCAAACGGCTTCTTGGGGTTTGCCACAGCTCCGACAAGGTAATCAAGTTCCTGACACAATAAACAGATAATCAGTAAATATAATAAGATTTATATGTGAAGACACTCTTATTAATGATGCAAAATTTAAATACCTTCTGCATGAGGAAACCAGCAACTGAAGGCTTCAAGTATTTGGCAACTCCCTCAGTGGAAGCATGAGCTCTGTGAGCAGTTCCGAATGCGTCATTAACGTAAACATCGGCAAGAGCAGCAAGCTTCTTTGCAAATTCAGGATCATTCTTCTCTTCTTCGGGGTAGAACCTCACATTCTCCAAGAGCAAAACACCACCTTCAGGTAGTCCTGCAACCAACTTCTGGACTTCCTCACCAATAGAGTCATTAGCCATTACAACCTATTAACACAAGAGAGCAGGTTCCAAATAGAGTGAGAACAGTCTTCTTTTAAAGGCTGATGTTGAGAAAGCTTGCAAGCATAGTGGAACAAACCTCAACACCAAGAAGTTCAGACAATCTCGGCACAAGAGGCTTTAAGCTGTACTTAGGAGTAACACCTTTTGGGCGGCCCTGAAACATAAATTGAGATCAGACACGTCCATTAATTTGATAACATATGCAAGTAAACTTACTAAAAATAATATCTAAACTACACCAGAAAATCAATCGATAGAGTCAAAGAACATATTGAAAAAACAAGAATACTATATCTGAATCCTAACATGCAAAGAGACTCTGCTTATACTCGCCGGATAAACAGATCAGATCAAAATTCACAACAGATACGCAAGTAAGTGAAGTGAGAACATAGAAGATGACATACCAAGTGACTGCAGAGAACAACCCTAGATCCGTTACCCATCAAGTACTTGATGGTGGGAACAGCGGCACGAATCCTGGTATCATCGGTGATGTTAGAGTTATCATCCAAAGGAACGTTGAGATCAACCCTCACGAACACACTCTTTCCCTTCAGATCCGCTTCCTTCAAAGTTCCAACGCTTCTCTTCGTCGCCATAGTAGATTCTTCGTAAGACAAATTAAAAAACACTGCAAAAAAAACAAGATGCACACAGTGAGATCAGATTGACGGAGAAATCAAACAAATCGGTGAATACAGATCTAGAGAAACTAGCTCAACACCTGATCGAGAAAAATCAATCGGAATCGATTAGAGAATCTAAAGAAAGAATATACTTACATGAGTGGTTGTAATTAACAGACAAGATGATCGAACGCTACAGAGGCTGATGATATAAAAGAGTTGGTAGATGGATCTTTCGAGAAGCGAGAGAACACTATCCCTTATATAAAAAGCAGCTTGGACAACACCCCAAGAAATGTCGCTATAATTACCCTTTTGCCACTGTCTCTCTCCTTGGATTCCACGGTTTAAATATATTAATTTACATTTTTAATTTTCGGATAGTGGGCCAATGGACCTTAATGGGTTTGGCCCATTTATATAATTAAAAGGCTTGAGCCTCTTTCAGTTTAAGCGTATCTTTTTTGCTTCGAATTATTAGGACAGGACACTCAACAATGGATCAGTGTAGATAAACCTCCTTGCCGGAGAGAAGCGTAAGTCTTGCCGGAGAGACGAGTAAGCCGAATGATTTGTTCTCACCAGTTTATTTCCGCAGAGAGAGCTCTTTAATCGGGAAAAATTATCAAATGCGCCTGGTTTTGTTCCCTTTTGAACTTTAAATTTCTTCTGATTTCATTCATGGAGCTTGCAATTTCGTATAAGCCGAATCCGCTTATCTCTTCATCGACTCAATTGTTGAAAAGACCTAGAAGTTCTGGTCTTGTTCTGTTTCCCGCCAAGTATGGACTGGGAGCTACCCGGAAAAAACAGCTCTTTCGAGTCTATGCCTCTGAAAGTAGTAGTGGGTCTTCATCTAATAACAATGGAGGCTTTTCGTGGGTGAGATTGGCGCAGTCTCTTCGCGTTGGTGCGGAGAGGATTGGGGAGAAGATTGGAGAGTCTGTGAAGAAGGAAACTGGGTTTGACTCGGAAGAAGCAAGTGCGAGAGTGGGTGAGTATGTGGGTCGAGTTAAGGATAGTGTGCACAAGGGCCAGCACGAATTGACTCGCTTTAAGACTGAGACAGTGCCTTCCTTTATTGATTGGAACAAGTGGGAGCACTGGAAGGTAAGCTGATTCAGCTTTTTAACGTAATTATCAAATCTCTGATTCTCAAGTATTGTTAGACAGTGCTTCTGCTTGTGTTTTGAAACATTGAGGAACAAGCGTATGATATTTCTTTATTTTGTTGATGAGTCAACGGAAGCAAAATTTTTGGAGGAGACTACAACTACGCTTCATCTAGCAACATATACTAGAACTTGAGAAACTGAATTTTATTGCTAGTCTGTGTGGTGTTTTTAGGTAGTTTCTTAATGATGGAAGACGTTTTGTATCAGGACATTAGGAATTGGGACGGTAAACGAGTTGCTGCCTTAGTCATATATGCTTTTGCGCTGTTATTCTCTTGTCAAAGAGTTTATGTTGCCATCCAAGCTCCTCGAGTGGAACGAGAGAGAAGAGAGTTAACAGAGTCTTTTATGGAGGCTTTGATCCCCGAGCCATCTCCTGGCAATATAGAAAAGTAAGTGCTTCCTAATCCTCAATTTCCAATTGTAATTTTCTCTACTGGGACATGGTAACTTTCTTTAACAAGTATATATACTCAGCTAATGAGGCATCTAAAGCGTCAAGAGTGGGAAGACCAAAGCAACTTTTTTTATTTGATTTCGTAGAATGTCCTGACTTAGTCTAGTGTTTCAGGTTTAAGAGAAATATGTGGAGGAAAACAACACCTAAAGGCTTGAAACTAAAAAGGTTCATTGAAGCGCCTGATGGAACACTTGTCCACGATAGTTCTTATGTTGGAGAAAATGCGTGGGATGAGGATCTAGAGACCACGGAGGGATCTCTCAAGAAAATAATTGATAAAAATGCTAGGATTCAGACAGAGGCAAAGAAGAAACTAAGCCAAGATCTGGGTGTCTCTGGTCAGTATACATTCATTAGGATGGAAACATCTGATTTGCATTAAATATTGAGTTGTGTGGTTGCAAATTCTTATAATATGCGCACAGCTTTGTTATTAATATTATCATCACTTTTCTTGAATATATGATTAAAAATAATAATTTACCTGCTGTAATGTAGACGAGAACTGGATACCTGTCTAAGTAGTGGCATGCTGAAGATACAACAATAACTCGTTTATTGTGCGAAACCTTTGTTTTTGAGGACCTAATCTATCTCACTAATCAAGTTTCTTGCGGAGCAGCATTTATAGATCCCTCATAGACTAACATTGGTAACCGTTGCTTTTGACCATTTAAGTCGTCTATTGTATTCTTCTATGATAGGTGAAATTGAAGACAGTGTAGGTACTTGGCGGGAAAGGCTTGCAACCTGGAAGGAAATGTTAGAACGAGAAAAAATATCAGAACAGTTAAACTCCTCAACGGCAAAGTATGTTGTTGAATTTGATATGAAAGAGGTAGAGAAAAGTCTTCGCAAAGATGTTATTGAAAGGACATCTGAAACTGAGGGAACTAGAGCTCTCTGGATATCAAAGAGATGGTGGCGATATCGCCCTAAGCTTCCCTATACCTACTTCCTTCAGAAGCTTGATTCTTCTGAGGTACAGCTCTAACCTCTACTCTTTTCCGGCTTTGGGATTGTGGGCCGCATATGTTATTATATCCAGTTGAATATTTTAAATGATAACAAATTACGGTGTATTCATTATGAGTTAAAATATGATGAATAATTTCTTTTTCCAAAGCAATTGATTTGAAAGCTGGACGTGATAGAATGATAGATCTTGTTTTAGCTTATGTTGGCACGATAATCTCTGTGTGTGTCTCTAACAGGTTGCAGCTGTTGTCTTCACGGAAGACCTAAAGAGATTGTATGTGACCATGAAAGAAGGCTTCCCTCTAGAATATATTGTAAGTAAAAAATTTATAGTTGCAAATATTAGAAAATGAATGATGTACATTCACCATTTCATATCCTTTTTCTTTCTAGGTTGACATTCCCTTAGATCCTTACTTGTTTGAGACTATTTGCAATGCCGGAGTTGAGGTGGATCTTCTTCAAAAGAGGCAGATCCACTACTTCATGAAAGTGTTCATTGCACTTCTGCCGGGGATACTAATTTTATGGTTTATAAGAGAATCTGCCATGCTTCTCCTCATCACATCCAAGCGCTTTCTCTACAAGAAGTATAATCAGCTGTTTGATATGGCTTATGCAGAAAATTTTATATTGGTACTCATCATTACTGTATAACAGTAACCTTTTTACTTCTTTGTTGAGTGACCTTCTTCCAACATGTTCATTCTTCTATTGATGAGTTTTAATTATCATACAGCCGGTTGGAGATGTCAGTGAGACAAAATCAATGTATAAGGAAGTGGTACTAGGTGGTGATGTTTGGGATCTTCTTGATGAGCTAATGATCTACATGGGAAACCCAATGCAATACTATGAAAAAGATGTGGCTTTTGTCAGGGTAAATTACATCTTGACCCAAACTAACATGTATATATTGGTTTGTTCCATTTAACTGACTAAGCTCAAACTCTCCTCTGTTTTCATTTTTGAGTCAGGGTGTGCTTCTTTCTGGACCTCCTGGAACTGGAAAAACACTTTTTGCGCGAACACTTGCAAAGGAAAGTGGGCTACCATTTGTGTTTGCATCTGGTGCGGAGTTCACAGACAGTGAAAAAAGTGGTGCTGCAAAGATCAATGAGATGTTTTCAATCGCGAGACGAAATGTAAGGCTCTTAGTTATGAGTTTAAAAGCCATACGGTATAGTTGTCTTCTACTCACATTATTGTGGATCTAATATTATATACTATCTGCAGGCACCTGCTTTTGTGTTTGTGGATGAAATAGATGCTATTGCTGGTAGACATGCTAGAAAAGATCCGCGAAGAAGAGCAACTTTTGAAGCTTTAATTGCGCAGCTCGACGGGGAGTAAGAATCTGCACTTGTTTAGAAATCTTAGTGAGATATATGTTTTCCTTTTGTACATGTTTTCATTGGGTTTGTATCAAGGTTTTCATACTTAAAATTGTACCACCTGCAGGAAGGAGAAGACAGGTATCGATAGGTTTTCTTTGAGACAAGCTGTGATATTTATCTGTGCTACCAATAGGCCTGATGAACTCGACCTTGAGTTTGTCCGTTCTGGACGTATTGACCGTCGCCTGTATATTGGTTTGCCTGATGCAAAACAAAGGGTGCAAATATTTGGTGTTCACAGTGCCGGGAAGAACCTTGCAGAAGATATAGACTTCGGAAAGGCAAGTAGTTTTCCTGCTTTTTTTCAATCTCAATTTTATGCTTGAGATAGGTGTTTGCTCATTCATTACAGCTATTTCCCTTTCTACACCCAGCTTGTTTTTCGTACGGTTGGCTTTTCCGGGGCAGATATCCGGAATCTTGTTAACGAAGCAGCTATAATGTCGGTATGTCATATTATGTGGATCTCAATTTCCCAATTTAATTATACAATACTTAGAGGAGCGTTGTTGAATTGTTAAGGATCCTACTTCAATTTTACAGGTAAGGAAGGGACGTTCTTACATATATCAACAAGACATTGTTGATGTGTTAGATAAACAATTGCTCGAGGGTATGGGTGTGCTTCTTACAGAGGAAGAGCAACAAAAATGTGAACAAAGTGTTCGTACTGACATCCTTTGTACTATTGATCTCAAATCATACTATGCTCCAGAGCTAAAAAAAAGCCCTTACTGTTGAACCTTATGTAATATTAGGTATCTTACGAAAAGAAGAGACTCCTGGCTGTTCATGAGGCTGGTCATATAGTGTTGGCTCATTTGTTTCCTCGATTTGACTGGCATGCATTTTCGCAGCTCCTTCCTGGTGGAAAGGTCTGTTTCAATTAATTATTTTCCAGTTATAATGATAGTGGTGTTTGAACACTCAACACAGTGTAAGAATGAATTGAATAAACTTTTTTCTTGAATTTAACAGGAAACTGCTGTATCGGTTTTCTATCCACGTGAAGACATGGTAGACCAAGGTTATACCACGTTTGGTTATATGAAAATGCAAATGGTGGTAGCTCATGGTGGACGCTGTGCTGAACGTGTGGTTTTTGGCGACGATGTCACTGATGGAGGAAAAGATGACCTGGAGAAGATAACAAAAGTAAGTACTCTCCCTTTCTCGTCTAACTAATTAGTGTGTCTTGCTTTTCAGCTTCTGATTAAACCTTCAACTCGGTAGCAAAAATAACATCTATGTAACTGCACATCTGCAAAATGCGATATTAGGTCTGTTTTGAGTAATATTAATCTTTAGTCTTCCATTCTAAATTTGAACTGACATTATATGTTTTCAGATTGCCAGGGAGATGGTGATTAGCCCCCAAAATGCGAGATTAGGTCTCACTCAACTTGTAAAAAAGATTGGAATGGTGGATTTACCAGATAACCCAGACGGTGAGCTGATAAAATACCGGGTAATCCATTAATCAGAGACTGATAGTTTCCCATTTTTGCTGATCTCTCATATTCTCGGTAGTTTCTCACGTTCTTTTCAACTTTGTGATGATATATCAGTGGGACCATCCTCATGTACTGCCAGCAGATATGTCGGTTGAAGTATCCGAGCTATTCACCCGTGAGTTGACAAGGGTAATCTATCTTTGACTCAGCATGCATAATCTGATTTAAACTCTCCCATGTGGAGCTTGAACATATATATGGAATTTGAATGTTGGTGACAGTATATTGAGGAGACTGAAGAACTTGCAATGAATGCTCTGAGAGCAAACAGACACATTCTGGACTTGATCACCAGAGAGTTATTGGAAAAGTCAAGGATTACTGGATTGGTACACTTTCTGAAACTTCAATGACAATTCATTATGATCTTTTATGTGCTTTAGATTCTCTCAGTCTGAAGAAAATTTCCTTTCATTTTGTAGGAAGTGGAAGAGAAAATGAAGGATCTTTCTCCGTTAATGTTTGAGGACTTTGTGAAGCCATTCCAGATAAACCCGGATGATGTAGTCTATATATCATCTTCTTGTTGATTCTCAATCCTCAGCTCTAGATCCCATTTTAAGTGTGTGACACTAGTTGTTCTTTCTTTTCAGGAGGAACTTTTACCTCACAAGGATCGAGTGAGCTATCAGCCAGTTGATTTACGTGCTGCGCCACTCCACAGAAGCTAGAAGCTTTACTCTTCTCCTGTCACCACAGGATTGTTCCCAACTTCTTCAATAATGAAGACCACAAAAGGTTTGATCAATCTAAAAAAATCATCTTAAAAGAGTTTTTGCCCCCATCATCGGTTTAGGTATATAACATCCACAGTTATGTTCCTGGGGACATCCTATCCCAGCCGGATTTTGTACTGTGTCTGTCTGTATTTGATGATATAGTTATATTACTGGTGTAAGTTTCCAGCTTAGATTCTGTATATCTGCAGTTAAACATTTTCAGAGAGAAACTATATGATAGATAAGCTCTCATAAGAAAACCTTTCCTGTTATTTGCCTGGGAATGATTTCTTCAGCTTTGCAAACACAGTGTATTCAACAAAATAATTTCCACCAAATGGAATAAACTTTTCAACTTTTTTTTGTTTGTTTTTGTTAAAGAAAAAAATGGAAAGGAGAAAAGGATCAAGAAATATCTCTCTACAAACCCCGACCGAAAAGTATAAAGAATTGGACTTTTTGTAATCGACTTATATTCTCTTTTCACTGCACATAATAAAAAGAAAGGTTTTTCATTTGGAAGCCCTGTGAGCTGGTGGCTTGGATTGAGTCGAAGTTGCTGCTGATGACATTACTCGTAAGCGACCAGCTATCTCTGTGAAAGATGGTCTTGCCATTGGGTTTGGTGCCCAACATTCCTCCATTAGTGTTCTCCATTCATCGTCACAGAAGCCCGGTATGGTTGGTCTCAGTGTGTTGTTCACTATCCCACCTGCACTTTCACAATGAAGTCATCATCATCATCATCTCTTAGATTTCATACCGAAAGCATTTTGAACAAGAATGAAAGAATGAACAGGCAGAAACCCGATAGATCGTGAGTTACTTCACGAACCTATTATTGCCCCATAGTGCATATTCGCATATGGTTCCTCTCCGGTTAGAATCTCCCACAAAACGATACCGAAAGAGAAAACATCAACCTGCAGGCAAAGAACAAGAATATGACAGGTCTTATAGTTTGCTTGTATTCTCAGTCAGTATATAATGACATAAGATTCTCATCTCAAGAAACTAAACACACTATTCATCTCAGCTTTTCATAAACAGGAAGATAGGTGCCTCTTGCAGAGGATCATTCTAGCAGTTAAAGTAGATATTGATATTCATTGAGCATCTTATCATATTAATGTTTACCTTTTCAGAAACTTTGCTGCTGCTCCCGTTTAGAAGCTCTGGTGCCATCCATGGTAAGGTTCCACGTACACCACCAGATACCAACGTATTTCTCTTGATTTTTGACAAACCAAAGTCACCAACCTGAGGTAGAATAGCATGTGGATTAAATGTTCTTTATTCAAACATCATATTAAACTAAATTCATCGACGGGAAGGTCTAGCAAATCGTGTTACCTTGCAGATTGGGCGAGAAGGATCTTTCAAGTTCACAAGTAAATTGTCACATTTCAAATCGAAGTGAACAGTGTTTTTGGAGTGTAAATATTCCATTCCAAATGCAGCATCCATGGCAATGATTAGTCTCTTACGACGATCAAGATGCCTGATAATACAAAGAAAGAAAATAGATAAGATAAATTAACGAATGGAACCAATTAAAGTGATATCAGAGAACCTAACAAGCCGAACTTTACCTGTCCTTCCGGACCAGAACATGCCTCAGAGAACCATCAACCATGTACTCTGTCACAGTCGCCAAGGTCCCTCCAGGCCCGTCTTTTACAACACCATAAAATGCTACAACGTTCGGATGATGAAGCTTTGAAAGAATTTCAGCTTCCCCCCAGAATTCACCAGTCTAGATATTCAAGTATACATCAACTAGCGTAGTGTGACAAATTAACATAGGTGCATGAATTTTAGGCATGGCAAAAAAGGAAATGCATAAGACTTGATCTGCAAACAACTCACCAATCTCTCTTGCTCTGATGACCGCCCAGCAAAGCAACTCTTCTTTATCCTCTTGATAGCGACGTCTGATCCTCTCCATTTCCCATGATACACCGTTCCAAAAGTACCAGAACCAAGCTCCTTCAACTCCTCAAGATCTTCATTCTTAATGATCTAGTAATATTGTAGAGTATACTATTTTAAATATATGTAAACCAACACACAGAAAACTAGCTCAGTAGAAACACTGGGAAGATAGAAGCAGAGAATTTTTTTAACAGAACTAACGCAATGAAAATGAAACAAGACGCACAGACAAAAACTAGTCGGGGGTTAAACATAATGCTGATTCTACCAACATATCTGAAACTGTAAGAACCACGGATATGGCCCCAACAAAGAATTTCACATGCAAAGATAGTACGAGTTTTGTCAGATGTATATTTTCAAAGGTTTTCATACCTGCAAGCCACTGTAGTCAAACTCTGAGCCAAGTGGAGGAAGCGCAGCATGCCTTGTTTCTGTCTTTTCATCCTAGATGTTCCATCCTCTTCAGAAACACAGTGGTTTTGGAAAGCACAAAATAAAAACTGCAACTAACTCATACCTTTGGTTCAGAATCCGGCGTCCTAAGATTCTCCACCATAGCACCAAATTCCTCACTCTCAGTAACCTTCATCTGTTCATCCTCTAGAGCAGGGAGAATGGTGCTAGTGCCACACCCATCCCTTTCAGAAAAATTACCCCCATAATCTTGACCTAAAGTCAACTGAGGATTAGCAAGGTTTGTTGAAATACCATCTCTACTCAATGGCGAGACATAAGGCAATCTGGAGCTCTCTCCACCATCTTTCTGGTCAGATGGAATGCGAGAATCAGCTTGGTCAAGTGCAACATCTCTTTGGCTAAACTGATCTTCAGCCAGCTGCTGAAAATATGACCAGTTTTTACGATCGTGATTCTGCACATTCATGCTAACAGCAGCTCCTTCGTGAGGATGCGGATGAACAGCGGATCTATCCTCTGAGATTGCCTGTGAGAATATTTCAGAAAGGAAGTCACGAGGAAACCTGTCATTGATATCAATAAGAATATCTCCCTGCAGTGAAGCAGAACCACGAGTAGAAGCTTGCTCTTCAGGGATAACATGACTCATGGCTGCGTTTACATGGCTCAAGTTGGAAACACCAATTTCAGTATCCCCATTGACTAGTCTGTTCTTGTTTGCATCGTCAGAATTTACAATCTTGTGCAGGGGCTCGAATTCCAAAGTTTCATCTGATACCCCTACTTTTTCAAAGATTGTTTCCACATCTTTGTGCTTTTGGTGAGTGACATCATCATTAACGGTCTCGAACTCGTCATGTGACTTTCCAACCGCTTCTTTTCCTGAATCTTGCTGTGCAGTGTTTGCTTGTGACTCAGACGTTACAAACTGAGAGCTTAGCGAGTTATCGGACTTCGACAAACGATTTAGCAATTCTAGCTGTTCACGAGGTATTCTCTCTGAGCAATATACCCTTTGGGGAGACTGCTCAGGCTCCGGATAGTTAAGATCAATTAAATTTGACTCAGAGTCGCTATGAACAGGGGCACAGGTACTGCTTGAAGTTGAAAGCTGATCTTCAATACCAGATAGAGGAACCTGCCCAGTAATAACAGCATCACGGTAGGTAGCAGGCATTGCAGGAGTGGTCTGCCGTGGGTCTCTACTAGGGGGCAGTAAATGTGCATCCTGGCTAGGTGCAGTTGTTGCAACTGACACCTCCCGGACCTGATTGTGATTTCTCACCTCAAAATCATCTATGTGGGGACGATTCTGGTGATCATTTCGGGGAGTTTTACAGTTTTCAGGCTCAACATGCTCACGAACTTTCATATCAGGTGATACTTTTTGCTCCTCTGCTAGCACTTGTGAGCTTTTGGGTGTGTTGCCAGGGTACGGATACCCTTCAGCCCAGCCACCTTGCTGATTGACGTGCCCTTGGAGCGGTATGGAACTGGTAGTTTCCCCGATAGCGGAGTAGTTAGAACTATGATCAGGATAGAGAGGGAACCGTTCTCTTTCTCCATGTTGAACCACATGCCCATGATATTGCGGGTATATTCCATAGGAGGTGGCAGAACCCGGTGTGATGGATTGTGGATACTGATAAGAGGAGCTTGGCGTAATAGGTTGGGGATACTGAAGAGAGGAACCTGGGATAATGGACTGGGGATAATGAAGAGCAGAACTTGGCGGAACAGATTGCTGCAACTGATATGCAGCATTCAGAGGAATAGATTGAGAATAATGAAGTGATGAGCTTGGTGGAATAGACTCAGACTGTTGAACAGACGTTTGTTGGAAGCCATCTACCATCAACTGTGATGCGCCAACTCCAACAACATCTCCAGCAATGGTATTGATTCCCTCAGTGTTCCACACATCAAGGTCAGCTAAGTTGTTTGCTGAAGAGCTGTCCAGCCCAAGAAGGGTTGAGTTCTTTCCTGATCCAATGTCCATGCCATTTACAGCTACAACATATTGAAACTCAGAGTCGCCGTCATTTTTGTTAACCCCCAAAAGAGCATCATCCATATCACTGATGGAGAACAGAAACATCCTAAGCTTCTGAGATCCCCCACGGTTTTCCATCTCATTATATTCTTCCAACATATTCTGGAGATCTTCTTCAGATGATACAGACACCAACGCGTCAAGATCTTCACCAGGAAGCTGATACTTTACAACACGTGTTTGGTAATAGATTTCAAGGATTTTTTGCCTAAGCTCCGGCCAAGATATATCCTTTCTTATGGAAATAATGTGTGTTTCACCTCCAACATATCTAAGCTTTGAATCACCTGGACGTGGAAGTATTTTCCCACCAAAGCTGCAGAGGATCTTCACCTTTGCTGTTACACTGCCTGAGGCTGAAGAAGACGCATATCCATGTAAATTTCCTACACTGCTATCTTTACTTATTAAAGCTTGTGGTGCTGACTGGACATGACCAAGTTTATTTCCAAACTCGTGAAGCGAAGAGTTCGTCCTCTCAATATCCCTGGTGCCGTTTTCCACAGTGCTGAACCTTGAGACATCTGAAGCACACTCAGATCCTGTGTGACTTATCCCTATTAAACCTCTAAGCTCCATATAACCAGTGGTAGAATTCATGTCGGCAGCTCCATTGGGATTGGAAGACCTCTGAGGAATCACCCGATCACGCATAAACGCAAGAGAGAATTCCTCACCTGTTTGTATAGAGTAGTTATGCACAGGCTTAACATCTGAACCATTCGAATTAGGAGGTCGCATATTAGCACTCGTGCTCCCTGTTTGATCATGCATAAATGGTTGAGGAACAGCCTCGTTTCCATAGCCAGGTTCCATGGAGTGCTGAAAAAGCTGTTGATGTCTAGCTTTATCCATCACAACAATAAAGTCCTTCGAATTACTCTAATTGAAACACATGTATGACGAATCTGACCCAAACTACTACAAGAGAAAATCGATTCAGTACTCGTTCAAGATGCTGGTGATGCCGCTGCAATGAAAGAATCAGGATATAAGTTTTAAGTCCCATGGCAAAAACAAAAGATGATAATGCAGCAAAGCAGACATCGAATGAAAAAAAGGAAAAATTCACATGCTTCGATTTTCTTCAGATAGAAGAATCTCCTCTGTGAATGATAGAAGATAAAATTCAAAAACAAAATTCTCCTTTGTTTGCTACATAAAATTCTCAGCGGAAATAGGATTTCGAACTAAACCCAACCATTTTCAACTAATCCAAAAATACCAAATACACTCGATTAAAAGCTACCAACAGCACAAAAACCCAAAACCCTAAAAAAGCAGCCGATACAACGATTCCGTCATTTTCAAAATCAAAATAAAAAAATCTAAATGCTTCAGGAAATTCTAACGACTTAAAACAAGATAGAACAGTGAAAAATTATTCCAGAACCTCTAGCGAGTAAGCTTACAAAGAATTGATCAACCACTGGAAGAAATCGTCTCTTAGCAGATGTTTGATCAGTTTACAGCGAAGGAAGAACAGATTACCAAAAAACAAAACCCTAAAACTTTTATTTCCCTCAATTTTCTCTCGTTTTTTCTGGCCTTTCCCTGAGAGCTTACTACAATTTTGGAAAATCTTAAATCACATAAAAAAATAATAAAAACCAATTTGTCGGCTAGCTAAAGAACAAAAAAATTGTTCAAAATATTGAAGCGTATAAATATAATAATATATAGTTTAATTAACAAAAGGAGAAAATCCAAATCAGGTCAAAATGATTGAAATTCGAAAAGTACCCTCAAAAGTTTCAGAAATTACTCTTTTGTTCATATTGTTGACCTTAGCCGAAATGCCTAGATTCGTTATGGTGATCAGGTCAGTGTTTCAAACTTTCAATCACATGTTGTTAGTCGTCTATACATAAGGGAACGACATCAACCGTCGATCTTGAGAGAATGGCGTAAAAGGTAAGACTTGGACGGTCAATATAGATTCTTATATTTGTGAACACAGAAATTGAATGGGCATGTGAATAGTATGTGATTGATCCTTTAGCTTATGATATGTACTATCGTTTGCATTAATGAATAAGAAAGAACATGTCGAAGTCTCGAAGATTTCAAAATCATTATCATAAGAGGTTGACTTTTGATACCTTACAATATAATAACAATTAACAAGCATACTTAAAAACTTTAACATAGTCTGCCTAACTCTTTTTTTCTTTTCTTCTAAAGTTGATTTCTCAAGGGGCCTAATGTAAAAAAAAACAGTGCTTTGTTTTCTAACTCTCACAGGAATTAATCACGTAACTGATATTGTTAGGGAGAAAAAAAAACAGTTGATTAAAAATGATTAGCAACTAGCTAGCTATTCGAGAATTCTTGGAGTATATGACTTTGATGAGTTTGTTGACTAAAATGAAGATAATGTATCTTATCATATACTAGCAAATATAATTCCTTTACATAAACAGTTGTAAAAGTAGTACATGTTTATGCAACTACATATACTATAAGAAAGATTATATTCATTCAGAATCGAAGGTTGTGTCTATGAAACCAAACATCGATTCAATTTAAACCTCCAAAAATGCATAGTCTGGAAGGAAACATAGTTCTTGGCCAAAAAAAAAACATCGTAATCTTTTGTTTGTTAATTTTGTGGTCAAGGCTGCAGCTTCAAAAGCCCCAATGCCAATGGGGCGGCAATGATTGGGGCCACAATATGTAAAACGAAGTGTGGTCGGTATTTTTGGATATCGAAAACGTTTATTTAGAAGAAGTCTTTTGTTGAATATACAAATGTTTGTTTCCCCGACCTAAAAGCCACGATATATTGTACCTGTCTACCTGAAGTCGATTGTAATAGAATTTTTAAGAATTATAACTATTACAAGTCTTGTGAAGTTCATGGATTGGTATAAGAGTAATAAATAAGTCTATTCAAGCGATCGTAAAAGATAACTTCCATGGTTATATACTTATATATTAAGAAAAATGAATACAAAGTAAACTTGGTCGGCGGGCGCTCAGGGAATATTTTGATCTTGCTTTCTTTGGAAGTGAACTGTTTGGGCCAGCCAAATACGGTATAGACTATACAAACGTGTGAAACGTACATCTACACCGTCAAAAAAATTATATTCGTTTGTTTTGTCAACGCACACCGTCAAGCAATTTATATACACAAATGTCACAAATCTTTATTTTTTCTCCTTTTTTTACATATCTAATTTACATCATATTTCATTATGACTTGTATATATTTGATGATTCAGAAAAACGATGTCGTGCATTAGGAGGATTAATGCGTTTAGCCAAGACGTTCTTTTTTTTTTTGCAACGGTCGAGAGGAGGAAATTGGCGCTCTTTTTTTTATCTTCTTATGAGTCCCACTAAAAACATTGCCACTCAGCTATTTCTGTAGCATTAGCATGGTTTCGAGGTTAACCTCAAAACTCTCTTCTCATTCGATTCGATCTTTAAGTATGTAAATGTGTGTGGGAGATTTTTAATCTGCACACAGAACTGTTCCGATAAAATTCCTCAATCGGTTCTCCGTTTATGGACCCTCTTCATTTCGGCCCACATGAAGAATGGATTTCCAGCTGAATCTTTAGATCTTTACAAGAAATTCCGGAAGAAAGATGTCGAACCTGATAAACTGGTACTCTTATCAGTTGCAAGTGTGTGCTTTGTTGGGAAATCTATCAATAACCAAGGAGGTTTTGCGAAGATGTGGTTTCCTCATGGACATGTTTCAGATACTTGTTTTTCTAATTTAATTCATTGATATGTTTTCCAAGTTTGAATGTACTGAGAAGGAGAGATTGGTGTTTGATGGGATAGAGTATAAAGATGTCGTTTCTTGGACTTTAATGTTCTCTTGTTATGTTGGCCGTGGGTCAACAACAATTGTCATTGTCTTCATTCTTACCGGCTTGTGTAGAGCTCGGGGATTAGATATCGGGAGAGATAGATCCATGGTTTTGTAATCAAGCATGGGCTGGAGAGAAATATGTTCGTGACAAGTGCACTTGTGAACATGTACGCTAGTTGTTCATGTCTTAAGCAAGCTCAACAAGTATTCGAAAGCACGTTTGAGCCCGGGCACTACATTGGGGAGTGGAATGTTCTGATTGAGATTCATGGGTATATCTTCAGAATCGGCTCTCAGGAGATGTAGCTTGTATGACTGCCCTTGCTCTTATGTATGTGAAATGTGCTGGCCTAGAATGTTCACTGCGAGTCTTTGACACGGAAGCTAGGCCTAGGCTCTATCATTCTTTAATAGAATGCTGGAATCAGGAGCAAACCCAAATCTGTAACCGGTAAGATGTTGGGTTGGGATTATATAACGTTGTAACACCTCATCATCGTTCTGTCCAATAACTACGCCACATCTAGCTGCGGGTGCATGGAAGAGATGTCGCTCATCCTTTACGAGAGCAAAATCAGGGGAACAAAATAGAACATTGCTCCGCCGTCTGTGGGGATCGAACCCACGGCCACGTGGTTAAAAGCCACGCGCTCTACCACTGAGCTAAGACGGCATTGATGGTAGAGGAATAAATTCTTAATTGAATAACAGAGTAAGCAATATTTGAATTTTAAGAAAATAAGAAAGAACCTGAAAGCTGTAGACAACAAAAAAAACAAAGAGTTACTGGTAACCGGTAAGATGTACATGTGGAAAGCTAAGACGACACCTTCCTTCCTCTGTAGAGAGATACGAGCGAAGAAGAGGAGTGGAGGGATAATGATAAGAATGTTACAGTGTGTTTATGATGCCAAGAGTGACGTGGCTTTTCTCAAGTAAATAAGCCCATTGGGCCCAGATATTCACAGTCCCACGATGACGTAATCCAAAGGTTTATATGTCGTCTACGTTTATGTGATCCAGAAACTGATACGACTCCGACTGAATTAGTGTCGTTGAATCTTTTGGTGAGGCAATGGCGATCGGCGGCTTCTCTTTCCTTTCTTTTTCTTTGATAAATGGCAGATCGTTTTCAGAATTCAATTAGTTGTTCTACCACTCTTAGCTTCCATGGCGATTAGCTTGCTCTACTTGGCTAAATTCGTCTTCGTTGGACTACGCCGTCTCCTTCAGTTTCTGAAGAAATCGGAGAAGCCTAGAATAACTCAGCCTCGTATTCCTCTTTCTGAAGCGGAGGATTCGCCGTCTCGGTCTCTGTGGAAGTACGACGTCTTCCTTAGCTTCAGAGGAACAGATGTTCGGAGAAGTTTCGTCAGCCATCTCTATGAGGCTCTCAATAACGAAGGAATCAAAACCTTCCACGACGACAGAGAACTTCAAAAAGGCAATTTCATCTGGGAGGGACTTGAGAAAGCGATTGATCAGTCACGATTCGCCATCCTTGTAATTTCCGAGGACTACGCAACCTCTCACTGGTGCTTGGAAGAGATTTCAGCTTTAGTCGACTTAGCTGAGAAGAAACGCCTTGAATTGATCCCTATATTCTATGGCATTGATCCGTCAGACTTGAAGAGACGAAGCGGGTGCTTCAACAAAGCTTTTGAGAAGCATGAGCAGAGGTTTGATCTGGAGACGGTGGATATATGGAGAAGGGCTTTGGCTCAAGTTGGAAAAATGTCTGGCTGGAACTCCAAAAGCAGGTTCATCGTTTTTTTTATCAAATACTTAAGTGCTTTTTTTTTTTCATTATCTTTATCTGAATGCTGAATTTCGTAGTTTGGTAATTATGCTGATCAATCTGTGAGGATAAACAGTTTTAAAACTTGATGATGTTATGAAGTTTTATCTGTGGCTTGGCTTGATGCAGGAATGAGGACTCAGAGCTTGTACATGAAATTGTTCAAGATCTTTCTGACAGATTATCTTCACATATATCAGACGGCACAGCTGAATTGGTCGGGATGAGTTCTCACAAGAAAAACATAGAATCTTTCTTATCATTGGACTCCGAAGATGTCCGAATGGTAGGAGTCTGGGGTATGGGTGGCAGAGGGAAAACTACCATCGCAAAATATGTCTTTGAAGGCCTCTCGAGTCAATTTGATGCTCGCTGCCTGCTAGAAAACGTGAAAGGAGATTTCAAACAATATGGTCAATCACATTTGCGAAAGGAACTCATGTCTGAGATCTTCCCAAAAAGTCGCTTGAACGCACAGTGCATCACTTCTGTTGCAATGAAGCGAAGACTTCTCGTGGCAAAAAGATTCTTCTCGTCCTCGATGATGTTGATGACGTTCAACAGCTGCAAGAATTGGCCGGGAATTGGTTTGGTCCAGGAAGCAGGATCATTATAACTACACGAGACAAGCGTGTGTTAGATGAGCATGGTGTGGAACACATTTATGAAGTGAAGCCACTGAGGCCTACCCAAGCACTTCAGCTTTTCAGCAAGCATGCTTTCAAAATGAATCGTCCACAAGCAGAATTTAGAGAACTCTCTTTAGATATTGTTGAGCAACTTGGTGGTCTTCCATTAGCTATTCGAGTCATTGGTGCATCTCTATATCAACGGAAAATAGAACTCTGGGAAGATAGGTTGTTTATACTGAAAAATAGTCTTAATAAATCTATCTCACTGGCGTTAAAAGTTAGTTATGATGCACTGGATGAGTATGAAAGGATTGTTTTTCTTTATGTTGCTGGTTGTTTTAATGGGGAGTATATGGATAGAGCGAAAAAGGTACTGGACTCCTTTGTCTTTAAATCTGAACCAAGGCTAGTAACTCTGATGGAGAAGTCTCTGATTGGTATGTCAAAAAGTAGGAGGCTATGGGTTCATGATTTACTTCAAGACATGGCCAAGGATATCATTTGTGAAGGAAAAAAGGAAAAACCATGGAAGCGTAAAATGCTGTGGAACTTTTTGGATATCAAAGGCTTGTTCACTGAAAAGATGGTAAGACAAGAAAGTTAAAAGCTAACTGTAGGCTTGATGAACATTTATTTTCTCATCTTCCGTATTCGTACATTTAGAGTTGATTTGTGGCTTCTTATTTCTCGATTAAGCTTGTGTTGATTGCTGTTTTACTTTTCCTATTACATTGTCACGGCAGGGAACTAAAGACATCCAGGTTGAAAGTATATTGCTCAATATGGCTGAAGGAACAGAGCTTTGCATTAATCCTGCAACGTTTAAGAGGATGTTCAATCTCAAATTTCTTAAAATTCATAATAATTTCGCTGTTGGTGGGAGCAAATTGTGCATGGTTAGCGATCTTGACTACCTCCCTTCACTGAGATATCTTCACTGGGAGGCTTACTCTATGAAATCATTGCCTTCTCACTTCTAGACTGACTATCTAGTTGAACTCAATCTCCCTGATAGTTCAGTTGAAACACTATGGAGCGGAACTAAGGTACTAGTTTTATGTGATTTTCTAAATGATGAGTAATACGGAAGTTAGCAAGTCTCTAATTATTGTTGATGTTGTTTTTTGTTTTTAAGAAAAATCATTCTAGCTTTGACCTGATTCTCGTTTATTTTAATGCTTTTGTTTATCTGCCAAAGGAAATGGGAGGATCATCTACCCGTTACAAATGTCTTGTTTCTTTTGTATGGCAGGACCTTCGAAGTCTAAAACACATGAACCTTAACAGATGCAGGAACCTGATTGAAATTCCAGACCTTTCTAAGGCAAGGAGTCTTGAGAGTTTATGCCTCTGTGAATGCGAAAGCTTGGTTGAGCTCCCTTCTTCTATTGGTCATCTAGATAAGTTAGTTAAGCTGTCCATGCGAAGTTGCACGAAATTAAAGAATCTACCGGATAATATCTACTTGAGCTCCCTCAGAATTCTTTCATTAGATGAATGCACAAGTATCGAAGATTTTCCATTTGTCTCCGACAATATTGAAGAGTTGGGATTGAGCTGGACATCGATTGAAGTAGTGCCAACATCGATCAAGCGTCTCTCAAGGCTAAGAGAACTGCGGTTGTCACAATGCAAGAGACTGAAGAATCTCCCAGGCACCATTGGGAGTTTGGAGTCTCTCAGACATCTGGGGCTTGCTTACTGTCCCAATGTCACCGTATTTCCAGTGCTTGGAAATGGAATAGAAACACTATCCTTAAATGGTACAGCGATAGAAGAAGTGCCATCTTCGATAGGTGACAAGCTGAATCTCATGTCTCTTGACATGTCAGAGTGCCAGAGGCTCCAGAATCTCCCTCACACGTTGAGCAACCTGAAAAACCTGAAGTTGCTTTATCTCCGTGGATGCACCAATATCACTGAGCGCCCACATGTTGCAGGGGAAATGAGAAGATTGGATTTATATGGGACCTCAATAGAGAAATATGGCTTTCTCTCTGAAGAAGAAACGCTTGAGTTGCGCAATCGTGATATAGACTTAGTGAAGGCGTTTCTCACTCTGTATGCCCGGAAATACAAGAAAAACCGTAACTCAAGGTAGTATGCTCATCTGGATTTCGGTTTGATCCCGACTCGGGCTTTTCCCTTTATGAATATTAGGAACATGTTTGCCAGAAACATGAATTATTTCGAATTAAACCATATGAAGAAGATATTGTTCGGTTTTCAGATGGATTAATTCTGTTCGTTTGAGATCGGTTTATCCGAATTGAACACCGGTTTTTGAGATTTTGCTGAAGAGAAATTCTGAAGTGCAAAGTTGGTGGAAACGAAATTGAACCTTCAAGCACCTTTGTGATGATGAGGTATTAGTCCCCGGAGAGACAGAACATAAGATCATAAATGGAAGACAGAACTATAAATAGAAAAGACAAACAGATTCCTCAAACTGTGAGTTGGTTGCTGTGTCAAGTTCCACAGCTAAAAAAAGAGAATCAAATCGAAAAACATGAGATCAATCAAATCTGATTGATCTACTTTGGGAACTTGAGAAGGTTAGCATCGTTTCCCAAGTAGTGAAACGGAAACCTTTGATTAACCGGAGATGACGAAGAACCACCAATGTTGTTACCCAAATGATCATGAGTAACAGCCTGATCGTTATTATCGTTGTTACTCAAGTCACCAAAACATTTTGCTTGATGGTTCTGCACTTGCTGCTGTTGTTGCTGATTCATGTTGGTTGTAGTGAGAAGCTTGTCCAGAAACGACCAGTCTCCACCATAGTTGTTGTTAGAAGTCAGCCTCAGTAGATTCTGTGAACATTCAATGTCCGTAGTGTTGATTGACGACACAAACGGTTGGGTTGCTGCTGCCGCAGCCGTCGCTGCAGCTGAGTCAGGGCTAAAGAGCTGAGGTAGATGCATTGAGCCATGGCTCAGAGTGTTTGCAAACTCATGTAATGGCATGTGGATTTGTCGTCCAAGGTGATGATGATGGTGATGATGATCCAGAGGATGTGGGATCAAAGAAGAATGATTGTTTGAATTGGAGTCAATGTGATGATGGTGATCATGATCATTGTTGGTGCTTATGTATTGGTGATGATGATGATGATGATGATCTTGCTCTTGTTCTTGGTGAAAGCCTCTGAAATGATTCTTTTTCTTGAACACTCTGCATACAACCCACCCATCTTCCTGCAAATTACAAATAAATGATAAATCCACTTTAAGCATTATGATCTCTAAATGGAATTAACGAATTAATCACTGATGATATATTGGACCTGAATTTCGTTTTCGTTATCATCCAAGCGATATTCGTGCATGATCCATTCGGTTTTTTGGCCATGAGGAGCACGACCAGTGTAGAAGACAAGAGTCTTACGAAGTCCAATCTTCTTGGAACTGTTTAGATGTATGGATTTGTCTCTACCGGTAGCTTTCCAGAACCCGGCTGCAGTCGCCCGGTTCGTTCTGGTCCCAGTCGGATATTTCTTGTCCTTGTGGCTAAAGAAATACCACTCGTTTTGAGGACCCGACCCGATTCTGCATTTCTCTACATACACACAACAACGAAATTTGTTATAAATATAATGGAAAAAAACAATTGTTAATTATAGTATTAAATCAAAATGTATTCAGTCATTATATATATATATATATATATATATATTTATGGCTTACGGCAATGGGTTGTTATATGTCTGCAATGTGAAAAACCATTGGCTTATTTTGAGGGTAGTACAAAATAATATTCGTAGTCATATACTACAAGACATTACACTTTGGTCTTCTGTTACTAATCTAAAAGACATAAGTGAATAGACAACTTTGTCTCTTTCTTGGTGTATATACGCGCGAACACACGTACAAGGTTTCATGGTTCCATAAAAACTGGAAAATAATTTATCAGGATATATGAAGAGAACTGTTCAAACTTAAAAAGACACAAGTAGATGCATGTTTACATGGAGACACAGACAACTCCCTAGACAGTATTACCACAATCTATGTATATATTTGTCCTTTGACATCTAACATGTGCAGGGCCAACAACATAATTCCCCAAATTTTATCTATCTTACCTCTCTCGCTCTATATAGAATTAATTTGAAATATATATGATGATGTTTTGTGATAGTCTATATAATATACTGATCAAGAAATAATTAATAGTCATTTATTAAATGTGTGGATTAGGTGATGATATTATAGTTAAAGAAGAGTTCACTATAAGGGGATTAAAGATTTTAATTACCTTTAAGTTCCCAAGGTTCCAGCTTGTTGAGATCAACTTCTCTAATTACATCTAAATCAATTGGTTCATAAGAAACCTTCTTCTTGAGGTAATAGTAAAGAAGCTCCTCCTCCGTTGGATGAAACCGGAATCCCGGAGGCACAGATAGCTGTCCTCCTCCGGCCACCGTGGATGACGATCCTATCTCCATTATCCGTACTCTTCTTTAAGAACTTTGATGCTTTTTTCGACCTTTGCCCTAATAAAATATAAATTAACCCCAATGAAAGAAACACAAATTACATTGAAGATTTTAAGTTTTAACAAATTGAGAAATGAATGGGCTTGAACATGCAAGTATCCAATAAATCTCAAGGTATTAATTGGAGTTTGAGTTATATTTAGATCTAAAAATCAAAACCCTAGGTTCAACATGCATGCATATAGTCATGAAGAACAAAGGCTCCAATTTATTTTCCTTTAAAAACGAAAGATGGATCTTTTATTACATATACCCACATAAGTAAAACTTGAATGCCCAAGAGAAACATGAAGGTGCTGCAAACTGAACGATATTTGTCTGCTTCTTAAACAAGAGAGGTTTGATGATGGAGACTTAGTCATGTTCTTAGTAATCAAAGAGAAGAAACGAAAATAGAGATATGTTTGAAGCAAAAAGTACACGTTATATATGAGGGTATGTGAGGGAGTGCGTATGTGTATATATATGTAGATGCAGATGATGATGACGACAATGAAAGATATATGATGGATGAAGAAATAAACAAACCTTGGAGGCCGGAAAGTATTGCTTCTGTTAGAGGCAAGAGGTAGAAGACAATGAAAGAGAGAGCGCAATGAAGTAAGCAAAATGAATTTCTACAAAACTGAAGATATCTTAGCTTCAAGGGCACGATGTTTAGGGTTTGTATCTCTCTCTCTTTCTTCTTCTTTGAGATAGAAAGAAAGTGAGGAAAGAGAAAGATAGAGAAGCTTGGCTTCTATGGATCAGTGCCACTATTATTTTGTATTAAATTTAATAAACCAAAGCTGGTCACAGAAATATATGAGAATTACTTTACTATATAAGCAGTTTCCATTAAATATTTTTTCTTGTCACATATATAAACCTATTCATATTGGTATACATCAGCTAAAGACGATCATCATTCCTATCTAGACTATATATGTAATCTCTCTTAGATGGTATCTGCAAATAATTTTGAAGATTCACCATGTCCAATGTTGTGCCTAGCTAAGGCGGCTTCGGAGGTCTAAAGCGAATGAAGAAGAAATGTACATGATGTTGTGCCAATAACAATCTTTTTATTCGACACTATATATGTTTCGTTTTTTTCTAATCAATACATATCAAGTTCTTTGATTTACATATTTATACTAATCATCGAGTATAAATACCTACATATACATCTAAAGAATTGTGTATACTACGTATTAGATAGTTACAATATTATTATTTTGTCTTTTGACGTGAGTATGATTATGAGGATTAACTATACTAATCAGTAATCACTATGGATTACAGCTGTTATTTAGTAAGGCTGACTAATTTGCTTTGAAAACAAGTAGGGATCGGTTAATGAGAATGAACTTCGAATACTATATAATACATGGTAAGTATAATATAATACAAGATCTGGTTTATGTATCCCAAGGACAAAACAAAACAGGAATTGAAGCTTCTATGCCCTCAAAATTGCAGTCAAATGTTGGGAAGAAAACTTATGTATTGTACCTTGAATTATGCTCCCACTTACATTTTTTATTGCATCAATTTCAGTGCAGTTTCGCTGAAAATTTAGAAATAAGATTTTACTTTATAACCCAAGTGTTAACGCTATATATTTTATACAAATAACCTTAATTAAAGTTCCATATTTGTTCCCTACAAGACAATGTTCCTGTAATCTTTTTCTGTTAATTTTTTTCTTATATTAGTTTAAACTTTTTTTGTCAAAAAGATAAATAAATATTAGATTAAACTTTAAAGTTGAAATATTAATACATAATCACGTTCAATTCACAAACATTTTTAAGGTTCCGTAAATAGCAGGATTACTATTGTTTACGAATGTGTGCACACATGAATTTTCAGCAGTTCCATCAAACAATCATATTTTTAATTTGTCTGAAAAGGCATGGGGATCTTGTAAACTATGGATATGATATCCTGAAACAGAATTCTTATGGATTTGTGAAATCATCCATGCTAAATAATAAAGAAAGTCACTATACATACAAATTGTTATATTGAGTCTTTGACAAAAAAGAATAAGAAGAATTGGAATGCTAAAAAAAGAGAAGAATAATGTAATAATGGAATTACTTATAAAAAAAAAACAAGATAATAATGAAAACCGGTACGTTAAGAGGGGGAGTGGCACGTGCGGTAGAAGAAGCAAAATCCTGAAAGGCCGTGGAGGAGAGCACGTGATGGTCCAACACCAAATCCACAATTCAAGGTCCCTCGTTTGACTTAACCCTCTCTTCTTCTTGAGATTCGCCTCAAATTTTCTCTTCTTCTCACTTTTTCCCCAAACGAATTACATAAAATATTAAAGATAAATACGAATATGATATGAATGGTAACTTTTAATTTCCTAAATTCCATGTAAGATTCTTATACACGAAACACATAAAACATTGGATTCTCACGGTAAATAATCTCTTCGTATAACAATTTATGAAACTTACAAGTTTCTGTTGGCCCAATAGTATCTTATTGAGATGTGCCGTTGCCTTCACGAAGACGTCATGCATTAAACCCATTATTAATGAGCGTTTAATCATACAGAGAGATACCAACATGTTCTGAAACTTATAATGTTAGTTTAGAATCCCCATTATGACTTATTAAGTGTACGTATAAAATTCAAAGTGATACGCTCTCATTATATAAGTATATTTTATACAATATATATGTGTTGTACTACTTGTACACAGTTTCGTTCAGGTGAATTACTGGATCAGCTGGTTATTTTGTATTTTATAACAAGGAGGGAAGTTAAATACCATTTTTCATAAATTATACTATAAAACACAATTTTTTTTAAAAAATAGATTAGCCAAACAATCAAAAAGATTACATTTAAATTTTGACCAAAAAAAAAGAAGATTACATTTAAATTAAGAAGAAGAAAAAAAGGTTAAGTGGTTGCATCATATGTCTGTCATACCAGTGTTAATTATTGATAGATCAATCCGGTGCGTTTCGTAATCCACGAACAAATGGGCCTAAAAGTGTACCCCTTTTTGAAATCGACCCATTTAATGTACAAAGCCCAACACCGAATAAACCTATTACTATTGCTATGTATTTATACTTTTGAACCCGTAATATCTTTCTGTTATGTCATTTTTTTTTTTTTTTTTTTTCGTCTGAATGATTCATATATAAATCTCAAAGAGTTTGTCACAAAAACAAGCCAAAAAGCACAAAAGGAACGAAAACAATCATGAAACAGAGAACACCATTACATCAAAGCAATGCATATTTCAGATTCAAAGACACTCTGTAACCAAAAAGGGTAGCCTTGCGCTACATATGATTGAGATCGTTCCTCCGTTGTGACACTTTTTGCAATCAGATGGGCACCAGAATTAGCCTTCCTATCCTCAAGCACAACCCTCCACGCCGGAATAAGAGTTAAGGCAGAAAGAAGCCTTACCGACTGATATTTGAAACTAGGCCAAGCAGCTGGTCGATTAACAGCACCAACAAGATCCTTTGGCTCCAGCGCAAAAATAACATTAGGCACATGAAGACTATGCAAACTTTCCATTGCCCATAAAGCACTAGTTAGCTCAGCCTCACTCTTTGAAGAGATAAACCCAAAGGATCTTCTACTATGGAGAAGAACAATACCTTCTGAGTTTCTCAAAACCCAAGCCGCACCACTAGTAGACTTATCACGATCCCAAGCAGAAGCCACATTACATTTGAGCCACGGCTTTGCTGGTGGGCGCCATCTCTTGGTCTGAGCAGATACAACCTTTTGAATACTTGGGATCGTGTTATGTCATCTAAACCCCGAACTTTATTTAATCAGTATTGAATCCAACCTTCTTCAACGAGCCGTTCTGCAAAACGAGGTCGTTTCATACAGCTGGTATAAAAAAATAATCCAATTCATTCTCTTCAAATGAAAATAAAATCTTCGTTGGCGTTGCAGATTTTGGACTAATCATTATTTTCGTGCCTGCAAAGTCAGCACGACGATCGCGTTTCGATCTTCAAAGTAGAACAAGACCCGCCACAATCACAAATCGCGGTGCATAGAATTTATAGGGTAAGCTTTTCGATTCTTTTCACCTTGTAAATTTAGGTCAATTCCGTCTGTGCTTTGATTTGGAGATAGCTTCTGGCGCGAAATCTTTCCGATCTTCCCTGTTTATGAATTTATGAATCATGGGTATCGCAGATTTTGGGTTTTAGTGGCTGATTCAAGTTGCGAATTCGACTCTAGTTTCTGCTTTCGCCGTCTCAATTTTCTTCCACGCAACAGTAAAGTTTTTATCTTTCCGCCTGAAATTTCGGAGAAAGGTCGAGAGATTTTGTGTCTGTACTGATACCTAATTTTTCTATCTGAATTGATTCTCTTCATTGCATTTTTTTTTGTTATCATTGTGACTCTCTAAAAGCTTCCAAATTTGTCGCCTTTTGGTGCAAAGCTCATAAGTCATAACACGGCTTATGGTAATTGTGTTGGGATTCTTGTTGATGTAAACGATATCAGCTAGTTGCAGCTAGTGTTTAACCCTTTAATTGTTTCTTTTCATGATCAAATACTTATTTGAGCTACTTGTGATTCTCTCTTTTTTGATCTTTATGTAGAAGATAAATGTTGCTGGTTTTAAATTAGTTAGGGACATGTTTTCAGGTCAATGGCGTCTTCTTCGGATTCATGGATTAGAGAGTACAATGAGGCTTTGAAACTCTCTGAGGATATTAATGGCATGATGTCTGAAAGGAATGCGTCAGGGTTAACAGGACCTGATGCTCAACGTCGTGCCTCTGCAATTCGAAGAAAGATCACCATTTTGGGGACCCGATTAGACAGTTTGCAATCTCTTCTTGTGAAGGTTCCTGGGAAGCAGCATGTGTAAGCCATTTTGAATATGTTTGACTGTTAAAACTCCCCATATTAGACAACACTAAGTTTCATGTTGGTCTGGACCTATGTAATTATGGTTTATCTGTATGCAATTTGCTGATAAACAGCTCGGAGAAAGAGATGAATCGTCGCAAGGATATGGTTGGGAATTTGAGATCAAAAACAAATCAGGTGGCCTCTGCTTTGAATATGTCAAACTTTGCAAACAGAGACAGCTTACTTGGGCCAGATATAAAGCCAGATGATGCGATCAACAGAGTCTCGGGCATGGACAACCAAGGAATTGTTGGATTTCAACGGCAAGTTATGAGAGGTAAGCTGTGGTATGTTACATTATTCCAGGACCATATTAATGATATTGCCTCTGTATTGATTGTATTTTATTTCCATGAGTAGAACAAGACGAGGGACTTGAGAAGTTGGAGGAAACAGTTATGAGTACTAAACACATTGCTCTCGCTGTCAACGAGGAGCTCACTCTGCAGACAAGGCTAATTGTATGTCTCCGCTGCTGTTCATTGCTTTTCTTGTTGATTTTAATTTCTTGTTCTAACGAAATCTGGCTTTCTTCCATGCAGGATGACTTAGATTACCAGGTGGATGTCACTGACTCTCGCTTACGGGTAAGTATATGCTTTGAACAAATTAGTCTCATTAGTCACTAGTTTAAGCTGGTCCATTGATAAGCTAAAGACCAATAGGAAGGCAAGGAAGTGATTTTAACAATCCACTGGTCTATTATGTCCAAGAACCTCTTTGTAGTTGCTTTTTCAAATCATAAAAAAACAACAATTTCTTAGTTTAATGTGATTCACATCTCGCTTGTCTTGGATTTGATGTGGCCTGTTTGTGTTTCTTGATGATGACAGCGTGTGCAAAAGAGCCTTGCCGTGATGAACAAGAGCATGAAAAGTGGTTGCTCATGCATGTCTATGCTCTTGTCTGTACTTGGAATCGTTGGTCTTGCTCTTGTGATTTGGCTGCTCGTTAAGTACCTGTAGTGCCAACATGGTGGCAACTTGTGAAAGCTCATCCTGTTCTCTCAGCCTCTCCTCTGTGCTTAATGGTTGTTTTCTAGTCCTTCTTTGGACATTTATGCTCTGGTTTTCCTTTCCGTCGATTGATTCTTCGTCTGTGAGGCAAAGAAGAATACCACTGCGTGTAAGAGACCTTAATCTGTATGACCTTCGTATTTGTTGTCCACGAATTGTAAACTAAGTTGACATTTGTCTATATATGGTATGGCTCCTACTTAGTTCAATTAAGAGAACTAGTGGCTAGGACAATGCAGAGACATAATGGTCAAAACGACAATCAATTCTTTATCGGGAAAAATGTCGTTAAAATCCCCAACTTATTCAAAACGTTGATTTAAATCCTCAATTCATGACGAAATGAAATAAGTATCAAACTTATGTTGACTTTCCAAATAAATATCAAACTTATGTTGACTTTCCAAATAAATATCAAACTTCCGTTGACTTGGTCATATTAGGTACGACGCTAAGTGGGTTAATAGATCTCGTTATCGGAGTTAATTTTCTATTAACATACATGTTAATTGATAACGTCATCGTTTCATATAACAACAAAACGACGTCGTTTTGTCGTAACGATTGAATTAAATCCCTAAAGTCAATCTTAGATCCCCAAATCGAGCAAAATCCCTAACCCTAAATCTTCATATGATTTGAAACTCGGGATTTTATTGAGCAGTTAAGACAAAACAACGTCGTTTTATGTTTAGAAGGAATGCTGTCATTTTCAATTAGTGGATTTGTTAATAGATAATTAATCATGTTAACTTGGTCTGTTAACCCACTTAACGTCAGGTCTAATATGGCCAAGTCAATGAAAGTTTGATGTTTATTTGGAAAGTCAACATAAGTTTAATATTTATTTGGAAAGTAAACATAAGTTTGATATTTATTTCGTTTCGTCATGAGTTGAGGATTTAAATCAACGTTTTGAATAAGTTGGGGATTTTAATGACATTTTTCTCATTCTTTATTGTATGCGAATCTTGATCTCAGTCACATTTGATTCTGTATGGTCGAAGTTAAAGAGATTAAACAAACTTTTTTGTTACATTTTGTTTTATTTCAATACTGTTCTGTTAAATCAAAAATTAAACGTAAACAACAATTGCCTTGTAATTCTCACTAATCAGGAATCACTCTATTAGTCCATTTGATATTTATAATTTTTTATGTTTAATTTTGCATACGGAAAAATAGCGTATTTTGTGATAAAATAAAATAACCAGGTTTATTCTTACCCAAAAATATTAAATAACCAGGTTTATTGTTTATGGGCTTTTTATTTTATCATAAAAATTTGACCACAGATAAAACGGACATGGGCTCCCTAAAATAGGCCCGAAAGACTTAACTTATTTTTCCTCAAACTAAAAATGCCCACCACGCGCCCAGTTTATTTATTTGAGCAAAAACAGCAATTTCCGCATGCTTTAGTCCAGGGATTTCGGGGAGGTGGCGTCGACGCGCTTACAATGCGAGTGGGTAAGAAACTTGGATTTCACAGCTGCGCAACAACGCGCGTCACATCTGGGCTGACTTTATACTGCCCATTGGGCTAGAAGAAGCTTAGTTTTCAGATACTTATAGGCCCATAAAAGTTTTAAAAATGCCCAACAGCATAAATAAGCCTTCGATGGCATGTTGAATCATCGTCTTAAATTTATCAATTTTGATTCTTATTAATTAATTGCTGCTAACTCTGATTCTGTGACTCGAGGGAATTTGGCAATTGAAGATGCGGTGTAGAAGCATTTTTTCGTATTCCCTGGATTACATTGGTTTCCTAATGGAGTAATCATGTAGATCCTGGTCCTGGATAATGTCTTCAAGTGAAAGTAGATCCTCTTGCATCATGGTTTTAACTTTTAAGAGAGAAATGAGCTCAAAAATTGCGTTATTTTTGTTTGTTTTGATGAACAATGTTTGTCTCTGCAAATAAAGGGACAAGCTCGAGCTCGATGCAGTAAATTAGAAAAGACAAACTTACACAGAGCCAGAGCTTTCCCTACAACAGTAAAAGGATGAGCACAAGCTCTTGAGTTTTTGGACTGTACATTGCTCTACTGTGTTGAGTGTATCAAACTGTTAAATCCCACAATTTTGCAATCAAATGCCTATTTTGTGTAGGCCTTTCTCATCGGTTATACTTTGGTCTTTTTTCACTAGTAAAATACAAAGAGAAAGAATGATACTATATTACTATAACATGAAGCAATTCTGTGGTTTGCGAGTGTCTCGCCTTAATATACAATATACCATTTCACTGAGAAGAAAAGAGGACCTATGGGGTTGGTGCCGAAGATGGTGTTGTGGCTCGAAGAAGTTGTTGCAGAAACCGAGCTGCAAGACGTTGGCCTACACCGCCTGCAACACGTCCTCCAAGTCTTCGTGCCTCTGGTTGTTGTAACACCTGATTTTAACAAAATAACAGTTTCTTTAGCTCATCAATCAATTATGTTATCTATCAGTCTCAGTGCACAAGATCAATGAAGTCACCTGTAGTATTGGTTGCAAAATAGCAGGATCAAAGCTTTCTGAAGATTGAAGAAGGCCCCAGATTCTAGAGACCTGATCCCGAAGCTCAAGCGTGCTTTGAAGTTCCGTGGTACTCATTGTAAGAGGGCCATTCCCATTTCCATTGAAGACAAGAGATCTCAGAAACTCAGGAAGGGAATTGTATGTATCAACAACAGTGCCCAGCGCAATTGCTTCACTGACTCGTACAGCTTCCTTAATTACTAACAGTCGAAGCTCTTCACCATTTGGATCCAGCAACAGCTTCAAAACTGGTTGTAGAGCATCCTTTGCTGAGAAGTCTCTATCTTTACTTCCCTGTTGTAGAAGGTTCTCGAGTCTATTCCATCTAAATTTTCCATCTTTGAATAGAAGCTCGATAAGGGCATCTCTTAGATACGGGTTTGGATCAGTGAGAAGCCTTTTGGCAAAATATGGGTATGAAGCAGCTAGCACTTTGAAATTAGGATCTGCGTAAAGTGCCAAACCTTCAAGTACAGTAAGCGACCTCAAAATCAAAGCATAGTAGGCCGGGACATTGAATGGATACTGGTAGAAGACAGCACCTAGACCATCAACCAAAGTTTTGAAATTGAGCTCACTCACTGTATAATTAAGTGCATCGTCAAAGAAGTCTCTGAGAGCTGGTACGATGGGAGTAACATCCACATCAGGGGACAAGAACTTCAAAGCATAGTAATCTCGGGCCATGGCTTCATAATCTCTGTTCACTAAGTGAACAACATGACCTATGATAGCAAATCTAGCTTCCTCTGGTGTCTCACTCATCATACCAAAGTCTAGAAAGGCAAGTTTTCCATCAGGTGTTGCCAAGAGATTACCAGGATGAGGGTCAGCATGGAAAAAGCCATACTCCAAGAGTTGCCTTAGGCTACACTGGATTCCTGTATTCACGAGATCCAGAACCTTCAATCCCTGACTCTCAATTGCAAGTTGCTCATTCAGTTTAGTTCCTTCAACCCATTCCATTGTTAGAACCTTGCGGCTCGTGTAATCCCAGAATATATCAGGAACAAGAACATCCGCTTTATCAGCATACAGTTTTTTAAACCTTCTGGCATTTTGGGCCTCCTGAACGTAGTTAAGCTCCTGATAAACTCTGCAGGCAAACTCATCGATAAGGGTAAGGACGTCGGTAGTGATGAAGTCTACATACTTGTTGATGAGTTTTCCAACTCCTCTAATAAGGTAAAAATCAAGGCCAATGGCTTCTTCGATTCCAGGGCGTTGAACTTTGACAGCAACAACCTGACCGGAATACCTCAGCTGAGCTTTGTAAACCTGGCCAAGACTAGCTGCTGCGATTGGCTCAGGGGATACAGACGAGAAAATGGACTCTAGAGACAAATCCAACTCTCTCTCAATGCAAGCAAATGCCTCTGCATCAGGGAAGGTTGGCAAAGCATCCTACTTAGGCACTCAAACACATAATATAGAGAAAGTTAGGGATGTTCTCTTACCTATTTCAAACAAAAGTTTCTTAATTTCATATACGTAAAGCAGAGTAAGATAGAGAGGAAAGAGGAGAACCTGAAGCTCTGCAAGTTCTTCAAGGTAATCGGGTGGACAGAGGTCGGGTCGGGTGGACAAACCTTGACCCAATTTAACAAAAGTAGGTCCCAGACGAGTGAAAATCCGACGGAGCTCACCAGCTCGCTTCTTCATGTTCTTCTCTAAGTTGCCTTGCTTCTGATCAATCCCCAATTTCAAAGCGAAGCCACCCAAAGCTCCCAATATCTCCAAACTTCTCCGCAAAGCCTAAGTCCCAAATTGAGCTGCATCTCTCAGTAATTTACAAAACTTGAAACTCCAAAAACTGACCAAGTAGCTAACCTTGAAAGGCTGAGAGCCATGTTTCCTGGCGATGAGCTCCGGAGAATAAATAGAAGCATCAACAGCACGACCCAAAGCTCGTGCCTCAGCTTGAAGATCATCCGCGAGATCAGCTCGTCGGTACTGCACAACGGACGCCGTAGTCGGTCTCGACGATGGAGAAGGACTCGAGGCCGCTCCATCTTCCTTAGGCCTAGCTTGAACCAGAGCCGCACGCGCCAATCTCCTCCGATTGACTGAGAAAAACTTGGGATTTCCGACATTTCTTTTCGAATTGCGTAACGAAAGACCATCACCTACTAGTATTAAACCCAGGGACTGACCAACCACGAGGCTCATCGTGTAACTCCGCGAAAATCAGAGAGAGAAGAAAGAAGAAATAAGAAAGAATTCAGATTGTGATAGCCCAGCCAGTAACAGCCATGAAAGAAGAACAAGAAGAAAGAGAGAGAGAGAGAGAGATATTTGTAAACGAAAGATTAGAAGCGGTTTTGGTTACTTACTTCGGCTTTAACTAAAATAGACGAATAAACAAGGTCCACACTTTTGGCGTGCCGTGACGTTCTCTATTTTTTTTTTTTAATAATTCAAGCCAAACACGACTACAAGACAATGGCATTATAGCATTTTCCATAAGAGTTTTAAACTAACAAGAATCGTGGTCTAGTATAAACCAGCCATGGCCTTTTTTTTTTCCTTTCTTTTTTTGTGAATGTAATTAGTTTCAACCTAACAATATCCATTGAAACAACACAGTCCCATATTATAGAGAAACCTAACTAGAACAAATCCTTTGTCACTACTTCCTCCCATACATCCAGTTTGTTTTATGTACATATATATGCCGGTGTAAAAACTATTAGGTTTCTTGTCTTGGAAACTTAGCCGCGGTTATTTAGACTTCCTCTTCTAGTAAATGGGATTCGCTCTTCTGCAAAACCCAATTGTAAATTTCATGGTTTCGAGGGAATAACAAATAAAGCATATGTAGTAGTGAAACAAGATATCAGAGTATATTATGTTGTTACCATGGTGTTGCTCAATGTTACCCTCATCATCATAATCTCCATTGTTACTTGTGAAGAACGGTGTTAGGTAGTTCCTATCTAGTTCTGTGAATGATGCCGCGCTGCATACAACAAACCAATAAACAAATGAGATTCTTGTGTTTTAACAGAAACTTGAAAGATTTGTCCAAAAAAAAAAAAAAAAAAAAAAAAAACACAGAAACTTGAAAGCCCGACAAAATGTTGTGAGGCATGAGTTAATGAGTCTTTTACCTCTTATGGAACTCTCTTAGTTTTGTCCTGAATCCACTTCCTGGCGGTGTATCTTCATCATCATAACTAGTCATATAACGACTGTTCACCACCTCAAAGCCCTGACAAAAAAACATATCAATCATGTCGTTTTCCACACCAAGAGACCGAGACATTAACGTTATAATAGGAGGGATCATCTAGGACATGAAGTCTACGTAAATGGCCCATATATATTCAGTTGACTTACATCACCTAAGGATGTATCGTGGCTATCACCTACAACCTCTAGGGCTTCAAGCATTGTACCAGTGGATCCTCCAATCAGCAACACCTGCAATCATTTCCAGTAGCATCAAGGATCACATAGTAAGCAATATAGTTTGGCTCACCTATCAGCAGCATAAACCATAGATCAGGACGCTCAGTTTATAGAAAACTGTAGTTCCTAAAGAAGGATGGATTACCGTCAGAACAACAATGGCTGTAGTTGCAGTAAATATAGTTTGACCATGTCCTTCTGGGAGATCGTGAACAGATTGTAGAGCAAGAGCAAAAGCCATAGCACCTCGAAGTCCTATGCAATCCACATGTCTTTGTTAATTATTACTGATTAATTGAGAACAACTACTTAAGGAAACACAGAGCAGTATCTTACCACTGTACCAAAGTGCTTTTTGATGCGTCATTGGTATTTTCCTATGAGCAGGTCGTGCCAGATTGACCAAATATCCACAACCAAACACATTAGCTGCCCTGAGTAAAACAAATATGCCAAAGAGTAACAGTATCAGACATCAAAAACAACAGCAGAAAAAGAAATTCTGTTCGGAAATAAATACATGTACTTATACAGATCATGTAAGTGAAACAAAAAGAATACCTTGCTATTACGATAAATAACTGAGGTTCGTCACCAAGGATAAAAAGAAAGTTAAGGAACAACATATAAACTAAGGAAATAATTGAATTTCAATCCAGTAAAACTTGAGTAAGAGGATACAATAGAGAATAAGATGAATCCCAAGTGTGACCAACTATGCTTTTCCATGGCAATATCAAAACCCATGTAGATGAACCTGCAGATTTGATCATTTGAAATTAGAAGCTCACGTCATTGACGCATATTACAGAAACCAACTATTATATGCATGAGAAAATAAGAATCAAATACATACACAAAAGTCTCTGCCAGTGAAGATATCAGATGGAAAAATGCAGACACAAATCGCTGAGAATTTGCAGACAAGTTTGAGTAGGTATAATGTTTCATGACCTGGAAGGCACAGAAAGTTTCCATTATACTACTTTACTTTTGGCTGAAAATCATTACACATAAAATTCATGTAATTAAATGACAACTCACAATCCCTGTAAATAGAATCGATACGATGCCAGATAGACTGAGACCTTCAGCAAGCATGTATCTAGCACAAAGAAAACAAAGTTAACAAACTGCACAATTTCTTTGAGAGTGAAATATAGGAGACACATAGCAAATATAGATGAGAAGAGTTTTATTACGAGAAATATGGAAAAAGCACGAAGAGACAGCACTCCAAGTTCTGTAGACTGAAAGAAGGAGCGAGTGAATCAGAATAAAATCTTTCATTGCTGACCATTAGAACCCGAAATAAATAAATTTTCAAACACAGACTACAGTCACTCACTTGTCAACATCCAGTCCTGCATACTTGAATAGGTGCTTTGCATTAAGGCTAACAACTCGTCTATGTGTATGGAATGAAGTGAAATGTTTCAGAAGAATCTAAAACACAAAAAGGATATGAGAGCAGAGGTGAATCCAACTCCAACGCCTGCAGATGCACATAGTTTTTTTTAAATAACCCACAGAGCAAAAATATAAGAATATGTAATGGCATAAGAAAATCTTGAGAAGCTTGGAAAGTCAAATTTAGTATGATATTCATATGTTATATTTCTTAGGTTAAAACTTGTTCTAAGAATCATAACGTCGAATTTTATTAGCAGCATTCTCAAACTCAAACACTACCATAACATTCAGGTTGAAAGAGCCAAACTATGCATGTAATATAGGTACAGAGAAAAAGTAAGGCAGGTAATTAAAGCAAACCTGCAGACATTGAACCGACAAATGTTTCGAGAAACCTGACTATCACCATAAAGAAATTCTGTCCGGAGGAATGACTTCTCACCAAGGACATTGTCCTGCATCCCAGTTTATTTATAGCCTTGTTAGAATACCTTACCATCTGACTATCGTGTTTCAAACCCTATTTTAAATTAGCTAACAGACCTGTACAGAGATATCGCCATCTGCCAAAAGCAACATAAGAAAGAGAAAGACCTGATAAGTAATATGACATTTTTCATCCTAATATATACATAGAAGGAATCAGAAATCCCTTCACAAAAACTACTTACAGCATCATTTAAAACTGATTCTCCAAACACCAGGGCATACAAATTTACATCTGAACCAAGTTCCTGCCAAAAAATACAGTAGTAAGAAGTGGTCCAAAACTACTACTATTAAAAAAATAGCGAATATATCCCCGTAAAGCAGTGCAAGAAAGTACCTGAAATATCGACAATACAGTGACAGGATCAGTGGCTGAGATAAGAGAGCCAAACATGAGACACTCAACGAATGGAAGTCTGTACATGAGAAACATCACACCGCCAAGGTACCTTCAAAAGAAAAAAGCATTGTATGAATAATGGAAAGAGGACCTTTTCCGTCAACAAACATAAGCCATTCCCAAGACAGAGATACTTACACTAGCACTCCAGTAACCATGGAAGCTACAAAAGTTCCAAGAACTGAAAAAGTGACAATGGCTCCAAAGTTTGAAAAGAAAGGTTTCTGCATAAAAACGAGCAACAACGTAAGCAAAGATGCGATCTCTGATGGTAAAACAAGAAAACCATAAAGACATGAGAGGTCTCTGCACTTACAGGTTGTAGACTGAAGCCTGACTGGGTGCAAACAAGTTGGTCAAGGAAAACAACATATTTTGTAGCCAAGTTGAGATTCATTGAAAAGATTATGTAACACAGAGGCGTAAGTAAAACTAAAGGCAAATACAAACTCGATTTTAAGGATATAATATGATGGGAGGCAGCAGAAACAGAAAGAAGAACTCATCGTGGAAATTGAACCATGTCCTGCAGAAAAAGCAAAATTGATTAGCATTGAAGAACACTTACATACATATACACATATTCGTGTATGTAAATAAGTGAGTAATTTACAATCCTTTGAGTTTCCAGGTCAATGGAGGAAAGGACAGAAAAATAGTAATAAATAATTGAGAAAATACTAAAAAAACTGAAGAGAAGAAGTTCAACGAACCTTATGCTAGTCTCCGTGTTCGAGATGTTCGCTAAACCACCAACGATCAGCCCTAAAATTCGACAAATTTCACAACGAATCAAACAAAACAATCGATGGAAAGCGAAAAGGACGATCGCAATGCAAAGGAGGAGTAAGAAGAAGACGAGAAAACAAACCGATTAGAAGAGAAGCACTAGCTTCAGGTAGGTAATAGAACTTATGACGGCGAAGGACATGACCGAGTACAAAAGAGAGGACGAGCATCATGATCTGAAGCAAAATCCCGACTCCGGCGGCTTGCTGCTGCTTCTCTTGACCTTGCGGGTCGTGAATCGCCGGCGAAATCTGCAGCTCCGACGACATTACGCCTCGACGGAATTTAAAAAAAAAACTAGGGTTTCTATCAGTGGTACTTCGTCTTGTTTGCTCTTCGTCTTCTTCGTCTTCTTCGTCTTTGTTCACACAGAGAGAGAGATTCACGAAACGGGAACTCGTGAGATAGACTTCTTCTTCGTCTTCCTTTGTGAGGACGCATTTTCCTTTTTATAGGAATCTGCGTCCCCACTGCTTCTCAGGTGGCTTTCCGTTTTGGGCTTTTATGGGCCTACTACTCTAGTTTATGTCGGCCCAACTACTCTAGTATATGGTGGTGGCTCATGTTTATTATACTCTACCGTTTTTGGGCCTGAAAAGGCAAATGACGTCTATACGTGGCTAGTTTTAATTCGATATACACAAGATTAATGGATTACACAAGTCGTATAACTCTTTGTTTTGGTCAACTCAAGCCTTTATACCTTGACTTTTCATTCATGCAAAAAGTAACCACAAATAATCTCAGAGTAAATGTTCATAATTATGAAATTATTACTTGGGCTCAATTTTGGTCGGAACAGAGTAGCCACCACTATAATCAAACGCTCCGTCTATTGCTTCTTTCTTCCTCAAACTACCTCCGTACAAAAGCTTCTCTCCAAAATCTGTAGCCGAAGATGACGCAGATGCAGAGGAGCTAGTACTCGTCCCACTATTCTGGATGATAATCTCAATCTCTTTAACCACTTCGCTCATCGTTGGCCTCTCAGACGCCGTCTCATCTACGCATTTCAGGGCTAGTTCCATATACCGGCCGAGTTCTGGCAGAGCTCCGGCGTCTCTTAACGAGCGATCCATCTTTTCTCTCAGTCCGTAGAATTCATCGTCGCTCTTGTTCATTACAAGCTTGATCTCTCTAACAATGTACTTGCCTTTCTCTATCGGCTGTTTCGCGGTGATCAGCTCCATCATTACAACACCGAAGCTGTACACATCACTCTTCTCTGTCAATTTCTGTGTTGTGTAGTACTCTGGGTCCAAATATCCCTGCCATTGAAACATCAGAAACAAAGTTCCTAAAATTGAAAGCAATGATTCGTTGATTTATCTAAAACTTACCAATGTGCCTTTGACTTGTGTTGAAACATGGCCTTTGGTGCAGTCTGAAACCAGCTTCGACAAACCAAAATCAGCAACCTTGGCTGTGAGATTCTCATCCAAAAGAATGTTGGTTGATTTCACGTCCCTGTGGATGATCGGAGGATCTGCAAGTTCATGGAGGTATGCGAGTCCTCTTGCCGATCCTAGAGCCACTTTCAGCCTTCTTTTCCAATCCAGCGTAATTCCGGATCGCCCTAACAACAATGCGTAAAGGTCAAGTTTTGTGTCTTATGATTTATTGAGCAGCTAGAGGTCAGATTTTGCAGTACCGGTTAAGCTATCTTTTAGTGATCCGTTGGACATATACTCGTAGACTAGAATCTGCTCGCCTTGCTCGAAGCAAAACCCGACAAGTCCAACTAGGTTCTTGTGATGAACTCGAGAAAGCAACTCAATTTCTGTTTTGAACTCGAGCCCTCCTTGTGTTGATCCTTGTTGTGCTCTTTTGATCGCAACCATGTGCCCATCTTGAAGCATTCCTTTATACACCTACGGAGATTACAGAGAGAAACAGAGGAGCGTTACTTGTCAAACCCTGAAAGTGAAGCCCTAGATAGTTTCAAAAGCATTGATCGATCTTTCAAAAATCCACCTTTCCATAACCTCCATAACCCAGCTCACTGCTCACAGAGAAATTGTTCGTGATCTTCTTGAGTTCTTCGTAGGAGAACCATCGTGCCCCTTTCAGCTGCGGCGCGCCTCCGCTGTCTTTTCCACTCGATGCCCATGAAACTGAGTGAATCAAAAGACAATTGTAAAACCTAATATATATTTCAATCTTCTACTAATAGATATTTTAGTCTTCTACATTACAGCAAATCTACCATGTAAGTTAATGCATTTTTTTATCAGATGGACCTCAGAGATTCTGCTAGAACCTTGGACTTACCAAATGGTCTACTCAAACCGATAGCTTGCTCTGCTCGTCTCTTCTGCCAAATCGCATATATTCCTAGTGCAACAAGGCACAGGACCAAAGCGCTGCAACCAGTTATTATCCCAGTGACCATACGAGAGCTCAAGGAATGTCCGTTACCTTCAGCTGCCAAAAGTTATTAGATTGTTAGAGCCCAATGTCTTCAACTTGAAAAACAGGTGTATAAGCTTCTTATATATGTACATGCTACCTGGGAAAGTGTAGGGAGATGCAATGAAGTAGTAAGGTCCAAACAAGGGAGGAGGTTTGTATGTTTGGTTACTCAAGTCAAATCCAATTCTCTGAACTTCAGTTCTGTTAAAATACTTGCCCATAGGTGGGAAAAGTGCCAACTGTATCTGAAGATAATCATCATTGTTGAAGAAAGGGTTTTGTAGAGAGACCGAGCCTGGAGTGAGTCCTAGTTTCACCCACAAGCTCATCTCCAGTGAATGGTATGTGTTCACATTGGACAGGTCTCTGAACATAGGCCCTCGAAAGTAGAGTGTGCCTTCATAAGGGTAGGCGCATTCACAGCTCTGAGGGCTGATCTTTTGGTCTAATGGACAAGACTTTCCGCCACAGTTAGCAAGACTGGTCGAGTATATTCGTTTGACTTGTTGCTGCTGAATCTGACAGTAGTTTGTGTTTGAGAGAGCTGTTGTACATACAGGGTTTCCGACGAGGCTGCAACAAGAGAGAGCTTATTTAATAGGTTGATATAGACAGGTTGAAGTAAATATAGGAAGAAAGAAGCTTTTTACATTAATGTATTGGTATATCCAGAGCTTAGTGTTACAGAGGAAATGTCGTTGTCTTGTAGATCAACAAGTTGGAGTTGTGGACCTACTGTATCTCCCAAGCTCAGTGTTCCATTGAATGCGTTCTTTTTTAGTTTCCTGTGCAAATCAAAATCAGCAGTTAGATGATGTCTAAAGCTGTAATCAAACTTCAGTAGAGACTAAATGCTGAAACTTACACTTGTTGAAGCTGTGGGAATCCAAAGATCTTATTAGGCAGTGGTCCTCTAAGAGCTCCATATTCCATCACCCTAAATCCAAAATAGGTAGAGTATGTATTTAGAGAGTTTCTCATGAGACAATGCGCAAGTTTACTGTAGCAGAGCAGCACTTACAGTGTGGTCAGTGAAGGTAAGGTTGAGAACCACAGAGGAGACTCTGATGGATCAAATGAGTTATTGCTGAGATCCCTGTGACAGACATCACACTTAATCAGAACACACAAACGCATAAATGTAGACAAAGACGTTCTCTGTAGCTGAGAAATTTACACGTAGTTCATTGACTTCATGTCTGACAAATCTGGTAATGAACCTACAAGCTTGTTGTGAGCTAAGTTCCTGAGAGGCAGAAACAAAGATGTATACATTCATAAGTGATGCCTAATATGATATATATAGTTATATTACAAATCTGGCAACACTTACAGTTCAATGATGTTTGTGAGATTACTGAGATTCTCTGGAACTTTTCCGGTCAAAGTGTTTCTGTCAAGCCGACTGTTGCAAAGACAAGAGAGTTAAATCTTTTTGAAGATAGGGAAGAAACATGAAACTAAGGGGAAAGAGATGATGTGTTACTCACAGAACCTCTAGTGTCTGAACAAGTCCTAAAGTGGAAGGTATGCTCCCTGTGAATCGATTTCCATCGAATAATCTGAGATTTGAAACAAATCTGTTGTGATGAGTTACCGTAAGTTTGACATACATTTAATATGATCAGAAGTGTATTTGACTTACACATGGATCAGTATCATCTCAGAGCTGAAAAGTTTTGGTGGAATGGTGCCTGAGAGCTGATTCTTGTTGAAATGACTGCAGTTTTTAATAACATTTGCATCAGATGAGAGATACTTGAAGCTGAAGAAAATTTCTGCAGAGAAAATAAAATTACTCACAAGTGTTTGGCTTTTAAAAGAAGATCAAGACCAGGACTTGAGCCTGATGAAATTGGAATGGGTCCTGTCAACTGATTATCCGCAAGATCCAACCAATAGACCTTGGTGAGATTTCCTAGAGACGCCGGAATTTTACCAGTGAAATTATTCGAGTTCAAGGCCCTGACAAAACATGGTGGAACCAAAGTGGCAAGTCTCATCAAACATAAGTTGGTCTGAGGGTTTTAAGTACAAGATATTAGCATTGCAAAATGCGAATGTCTTACAAGAAAGATAGATCTTTGAGATAGCCAAGCTCATTTGGGATGCTACCAGTGAAGCCACAGCCAGCAAGAATACTGAAAAGACCAAAACAACTGTTTAGATACGTATGTACACAAACACAAGGAAGAGAAAGGAGGTATAATTGTTAAAAGGATGTCTGCGCGGGAGAGATTCTTACAGGATATTGAGCTTTTGCAGGTCTCCTAACCGGGAAGTAAGAGAACCTGTGAGTCCTCGATTAAACGAAAGATCCCTGAAACAACACCAAGTCGCCAATACAGGTCAGAAGAAACAAAATGAGATGTTCCTCTCATCGATGATAATATCAAAAGAGACTGACAAGGATCTTAGTTCAGCTAGTTCTCCAATATCTCCACTAAGCCTTCCTTTGAGACCCATTGTTGACAAACCCCTAAACACAAAATACTTGCTTGCTCAGTACGTTACAAAAATAAGTAAGAGAAGTGCTCTAATTGTTTTTTTTTTTTTTTCACACATACATGCATAAAAACGAGTGAATGATTAAGGAACACTCACAAAGCAGTGATTCTGGAGTTATTGCAGGAGACACCTTCCCAAGGAGTTCCACAAGGATCATCAGAACCTCCCCAACTAGGTGGCGTATTGTCCCATTGATCCATCAAAGAACGCAGAGCCGCCGCTAATAAAAAGCAACAAAACAAGTAAATTACAATCATTTCCACGAACGGATTCAACACAAGGGAAAAGTCATCACATACCATCACGAGGGTCAGTCACTGATGAAATTATTGAGAACACAGTGAACGAGTAAGCGAAACAGATCAAGAGCAACCGCGATATAGCGGTTACAGTGTTGGAAGCCACCATATTGTTCCTCAAGAGACATGAGTTCTTGAGGAGGTTTGGTATTTAAGTGAAGTCTTAGAGAAAGAAGAAACAGATTAAAGTAGCTTCCTTATGAGACAAGATTCATAATTGTCTCATCAAGAAAAATGTGTGCTGAGAAGTGTGCCAATAGGAACACGAGTGGCACCAAGAAAAGTTGGTTTCAATCAATTTTCCTTCTCTTCGAAGTCAATTTAACGGTTCATGTGTCTCTTTTTCAAAGCACTTTAGTTATTAAAAAACACTTGAGTGTTACAACATCTCCACATAAGTACAAAATAATTTCAAATAGCCACTACGAAATTAATCATGTAAACTTAGGTTACCGTTAAGCTCTGTTTTCTAATCAAAGCAACCTTCTTTGATCATTATGCTGAGAATCACAAGACAGGATACAGTGGAACCCATAAAAAAGTGCCCAAAAACCCAACCATCTCCAAAAACAAAAAAAAATATAATTAAAACGTAAAAGCCACTTCTTTCAATTTTCAAGAAACTACATTTGTCTAAAATGTAGTAATATAGAATTTATTAAATTATAGAGACAGAGAGTATCCAAGAATACAGATCCAATTCGTCAACAATTATCCTTTGCTAAAAACATTTACCCCCCAAAAAGTTGTTAATTCTAAATTATATGTTGTCTTATAGTGAATGATCTTTGTCTACAACTAACTTGACCAATCTCTCACATGTCTGAAAGACTAATGGAAAAAAGAGATTATATATCTGCAAATAACTTCCAAGAAAGAAAAAAAAAAGTTATGAAACAAAAGAACATCGTGATATGAAGTGTATTTGTGGGCTTTAACTTAGAATCACACAAGTCCAAAAAAAATCACAACCATTTTCTCCAACTAGTTGATCTAAGCTCACCAGATAAGAACCTTGGAATGCTCAATAGACTGTTAACCCTTGTCAATCCTTCCAAAGCAGACCACTCTTCATCATCCTGTGCAACCGAGATACATTCCGCAAGTGTCATTGTCATCATCTTCGACTCAATCCCGCAACTTGCAGGGATTTTCTCGTCTTTAACGGGGACAATCTCATCCTCCTCCTTGCTTGTACTGTTACTGACACTCTCTATGGACTCTTCTTTGGGTGAATGCTTCATTACATTGGTTGAAACTTCCATGGCTAGTGATGAATCTTGTAGAAAGAGGCAAACTACAGTACAGTCATCGTTCTTGGAAGTTGGGTACTTGATTCTCCATGATCGAACTGCTGTGTCCACTAGAGCTCGAGCCGCTGTGTTTCGACTAGGAGCTGAAGCAACAATATCAACAGCTTCTTTGTTCGACAACACATCCCATACCTTTAATACAATTCAGAAACACAACATTTTTCAGCGCTAAAGATTTGGAAAACGTTTGCAATTTAGTGGTAAGTAACTGAAGGTTTAATTTACCCCGTCGCTAGCAAGAATAATGAATTGGTCTCGTTCCGTTAGGCGGCGGTAGTTTACATCTGGAACAGAGATTAATCCGTAATCTTTGAGACAAAAGTCTCCAAAAGCTCGAGCCATTGCTAAACCAGGTGAATCACTGTTTGGTAACCATACACGAGCTACCTCAGGCTCGTCTTGCAATGCAAAGACTCTTCCTTTACATTTCTGGATTCTCGCTGATTCACCTGACAGTACATAGAAAGAGAAAGTTGAGAAACTTTTGCCTCTGGCTTCTCAGAGTTTCAGATCAAGTTTTGTGATAAAGTACCTGGCAAATCCGGTTTTAAGTCCACAGTTAATTGTACAGCGAGCAAAGCATTGTCTTCGTCTCTCGTGGCAAGAACGGCTCTCGAGTCACCAATATTTCCAACCACCAAATCCTCACCCTAAAAGAACAATCACAGAAATTAATATAAAATCCATGAATCGTTTTTTGATTACAAGCAGATCTAAGCTGAGAACCTGCTTGATCAACGAGACTGAAGTTGTTCCACTGCAGAAGCAATCAATAGTTGGATGCATTTTCAGCTCTTTATCTATCTGCTGACAAGACTTGAGCAACGCATGTTTCAGAGGCAGATACATCTCCGGAAGTTCATCATTGTTCTCATTTGGATTTAACTCACACCATTGCTCATCCATAGTAGTAACAGACTCAGTTTTCTGCACTTCTTCAGACTCAGTTGTCTGCATTTCTTCTTCCTCTGTACATTTGATCTGAAAATCATTCGCACCAACTAAGCCGTTTTGGTCTGACTCTGAGGTCGTTTTCAACTGGGTTGAGAGTGTGAAGGGCAATGTATCTCGGACATTCTTAGCAACCATATGACCAAATGGTCCATGTCCATCGAATACACCACAAAACACTGTATCGTCCCTCGAACAAAAGTTCTGGAAATTGAAGTAGTTTTAAGTTAGAAATTTGTCTTGATATGTCAATGCAACACTAAAAGAAGTAAGCAGAAATAGAATCTAAGAGTCAAGTAACTAGTGGTCCCTGAAGAAACAGTCAAAGACTCAAGACAGCACAAGAACAACAGAAATGGCAAAACACAGCTTTGTAATGGTCCCAGAAAAGTGATAATAGTCAGTCATGCATCATTCCAAGTTTCTCTCTCTTTCTAAGCACTAGCAACAAATCAATCACGTTCTGAAGATCCATTTGATCTGTAACAAGACACATATCCAAACAAATCAAGTAGCTTCCCTCATACATTGAACAACATTTCTTCACCAAAATCCCGGAAATTGTCCATTGAGTAATGATAAAATCCAAATGGGTTGCAAAAAGTGAGTGAAAGATCAATTTTTAGAAAGATATAAGAAAACAAACCTCAAAGGCGAGCATGGCGTCTTGGTTAGTTCCTTTCTTGCCTTGCTGTGTGTGAAGACATGCAATCTTACTTGAACCATTCGAAACCAAACGACCCAAAACCTGTGGAATCCCTTCGATATCGCCGCCGCCCTTTAAATCTCTTGGCCGCCGCCATCTTCCGGAGCCTAATCTCTCGTCCGCCGTCTCCGCCGTAGTGGCGGTGGTGCTTGTTTCCCCAGGTTCCTTCCCAGTAGTCCTATCTACTGAATAACACAGACCCATTTTGAAAATGATCCGAAGAAAGAGCTCAAAGCTCTAAAAAATAAAAGTTAAAATTTTTGAAATCGCCGATCGAAGAAATCTACGATATTTCCGGGGGGTTTTGTCGGCAATGATTACTTGCTCGGCGAAGAAAGGAGCCAAACGAGAAAAACGAAATCCAGAAAAGAGCTTAAAAAGGCTCAAAAACCGAAACTTGGCATCTAGAAAATCCACACAACTTTAGCTTTTAGTTTTAGCTTTAGCTTTAGGGACCTGGTTTTCAAAATTTTCTCGGGAAAACTGCTATTTTCTCGGGCAAAAAGACTCGTACTTTCGCATATTGCAAGAATTAAAAGGAAAAAAGAGAGAGAAAACAGAACATCACAATCTGTTAAAATCAGATTCTTGTGAACTGATTTAGGATTATTTGGAAACAGCGACGCTAATACTTGCAGACCCACAAAGACCAACGTTTACTACAAACTCCACTTCTGCGTATAGAGAATTTAAAAAAAAAAGTTAAAATTTTGTGTGATGCATAGATAGAAGTTAGAACAATTGAGAGAGAGAGACGAAATGATCAGACAAAGGTCATAGTTTGGTTCCGCACGTGAGATCTTTCATTTGAGTGTTTTTTTTCTTTTCTTTTCTGAATAATAATAATTGTGGGAAAATTTGGTTCTTGGCTGCATCGTATCATCCATTCACCAGAAATTGACCCAATTACGCGTTGCCACGTGTCAGAATTGTCGTCTGGCTGTGTGTGTAATGGTTCGAATTTGATTGTTAATTAATGGTTAGTTAAGTATTAACAATTGATCAGTCACACGGTCCTTTTCTGCCTTTATTAAACCTAAATTCTGATTTCTGAAGCCAGCCAAGTTTTGGAAAAAATATAATAACTCTGTTTGTCTTTCGTCCAAAAATTGATATAATTGAAGTCCCCACTTGTGTTAACCTTTAACACATTTTAAAATCAAATAAATGTTGATAATATCTCATGGGTTTTTTTTGGCCTTTTGAGAAGTATATAATAATAAAAACATCAAATTACTACCAATTGGGGTTTTCAATTTAGTATGAATTAAATCGTTAGAGTTTATACAGATTGAACAACTTAAGCTAATCACATCTACATATGTATATATGTAGCTAATCACATCATTCTTACATGTATCTAATCTATAACACAAAATATAAAAAAAAGATGTACACATTTGAGCATTAAAAGAGAATCAATTATGACTGTAATAGAATTCACGGATTGTGTGCTGGCCAATGCGACACGACGACAAGTTTTAGTTGTCCCACTGAGTTGTTGAGAGAGAAATGCATTCATTCACACGCATCCAAAACACACATAATAAATATTAGTTTATCAAGATGCTAAGTCTTTTAATCACCATCTTACGAAAATGTTTCTCAATAACCCTTTTTGTATCATCAATATTACACAAATCACATTATGTAACCATGGTTGTAAATAGCTACCATGGTACATAATACATATTCCTTAAACAAACCTAGAAAGAAAAAAAAACTAGATAACACAGAATCATAGTAGGGACTAGGGGAGTGATGTATTTTACGAATCAAATTACAAAACATCTGAAAGCAAATCTTACCTTCATTAGATGTATTATCTTATTAAAATAGTACTTATTGTTGACGATGAAATCAAACTTCTTATACTTGCCACATATCTTCTCAGGTTTCTTAGGAAATCAAACCTGGAATTTGATCAGGCAAGTGATCATTGATTTGACACATTTAGTTGAATTGAATAGATTGCTTAAAAGAACGATTGTGTTTAGCTACTCATACTTACTTGAGCGTGTTCGGTTTTGTATTTCTGAAGCTCTTCTTCTGCACAAATGAGCCTATGACCACACACATAAACAAGTAAGAATGATGGATTTTGATCTAAACTACACAAGGAGATGGTTTCGATAATTACCTCCATTGCAGGTCGGTTATGTCGTGGAGCAGTTCTTTCTCTCTTTCGTGTGCTGCTTCAAGCTGTGATTCAACACAGGAACAGTTCCATTAATCTCCAATGTCTGAAGGAATGTGATTCAATACATTTTTTTCTTGCAAACAATTGCATACCATGGATTTCTCAGTTGGAGGCACAGTAGGTTGTTGTACGCTTCCTTGTTCTACTGCACGTCCATCTACATCAGAGAAATAAAGGAAATTTAAATCCCGTGGAAAGAAAAAATGTAATCAGAAGGAAAAACTGAGATAGAAAAAGAGTGAAAGTTGCATGAAATAAACCTGTCAGCTCTCTGTTGGTGAGTACTTTCATCATATGCAGAATGTTATCCTGTTTTTGGGACAATTTAAATTACGCAATGAACTTTCTTATTGGTAATAGATATAAAGAAAGGAAGTAGCGTATAAGAAGCAAAAGCCATACCCTTTCCAAAATATTAGTTTGCAGAACTGGATAGACCAGCGGATAAACATATGAGCTGGTTAGGTTTGGTAACGTGACATCAGAGTGAGGTAGAGGAGCAGAAGAATGTTGGCAGAGCACCTACATAACCGCAAGTAAAAATGTTATTTTGTTTTCATTAAGAAACCTTGAGATGAATAGTTGTGGTAATAGACATTTGATTCTTCGTCTGCAGCTGATTAGGCTGAACTCAAAACAATTACAAACCTGCATGCTGTGACTCTTTTGCAGTATTGGAGAGGGAGCCACCACCTGATAAAGAGAAAGCGAATAAAAGGAAAACATCACAAACGTGATTGAAACAAGAAACCTCTTTTTTCCTCTTAAAACCAAAAAAACAAAAGTTACCTTCTCTATGTCGAGATTTTCAGAAGTTACTTTAAAACGCCCTCTTTGCTGCACAACTGGTGGCTTTGATTTGTCATCAGATTCATCTAGGCTTGCTGATACCGAGACAAATTTATTTAATCAGAAATGCATTCATCCACAGGGATGTTTATAATGAATTTCAAGTATAAAGAAATTTCTGTAAATCCTTACATGCTGCTTTGGGTGGTTTAACAGCCAGCTCCGTTGGTACTTCATCTCCTCCCACTGTAGGATGTGCCCCATTGCAGTTTGACCCGTTTTGAAGATGATCTTGAGTTTTATCACTGGGAATCCACAGGTTGATTTAAAATTCAATGTCGCATGCAGAGTATATGTATGGTCAGTGGATATGAGTTTTGAAGTCAAGTTTGAGTCTAGCATTTTATTTTTAAAAACGACCTTCAAGTTTTAAAGACTTTAAGAGGCAGGTATTGGATATATAATAAGACTGGAAATCTGAACCAAAAAAGACTCTTAAATAGCAGTACATGTTAAAGGACTAACCTCTCTCCTTTATTGGGAGCACCATTTCTATCTGCCAAAGCAGAGTTCCCTGCTAGAATCTCTGTTGGTTGATTGGTTGGGATTGATGTGGAATCCGTTGGTTTCCCATTGATTGCATGATTACTACCAACAGTTGTATTGTTTAAAGATAGATCCTCATGACGGGGGGAGGAATATACGTAGCTATCATAACTGGGGCTGGCAAGACTTGAATCATCATCAGATTTATCCCTGACCAACCAAAATATTATTTGTTCAGTATATTCATCTCTAGCAGTTCCAGATAAGTAGATAACGATATGAAAATTCCAAATAGACAAATCACAGAGTTAAAATTAGGAGATAAACCTCGCGATACTTAGACTTCGGTGAATCAGGGGTTGGAGATACTTATTTGTTATTTGACCAACATCCTCCTGCAGAGATGGTTATAACGAATTTAAACCTCGACTAAATAACAAACGAAGATGAGAACAAGGAAACATTTCTGATACTGGATATTTCCGGAACATCTAGCAATATGTTCTCTAGAAGTTGAGAAAGATTCTACAATAGGACACCTGAGTCTCCGATTGTGTATCCTGTGAATCAAGAGCCTGCAACGAAGTTGTACTTCCCGATAAACTGTCCGAAAAGCCACAGTCCATGTCCTGGATCTGATGGAAATAAGAGAATCATTATTTGAAGCACTGTTTTCAGTTGACAACTTTTTATTGGGTCAGAGGAGAACATACCAATGAAGCCTGGGCTTTCATATCATCGAGATTGAAATTCCACCCGCTGATACCTCTCTTATATTCATTCTGCATGGTACTATGACAAGCGTTTAAAGGCTAAATACTTTGCAGAACAAGTGAAACTAGAAACCAAAAGCCAGAGACTGAAAACAAAGATAAATAAAGCTAAAACTGGAAACTGGAAACACAAACCTGGGACAATTCTTCCTTTTCTCCATCTGCCATTTTCTCTTGTGCAAGCATATCTTCTTCCTTTTTCTGCATGCAGAAAGAATATCCCCATCAGTTTTCCCCATAAGATGCTGATTGATAACATTCAACATTATAGCTTCTGGCTATCTACTTAGTTTTACAGATCTAACCTTTATTGCCTGAACACGATTAACAAGATCTGGTAACCCATCCAGAAGTTTTCGTGCAATGTAATCGCTTGATCTTGCTTGCTTGAAAAAGGAATGCTTTAACAACTTTTTTGCAGAGGGGCGTTTGGAAGGGTCTTTAACTAGACAACTGGCGATCATCTGCTTGAAAGACTGAAAATACCAGGAAGAGAGGCAAAATTGAGATGACAATAAGCCAAACATTCTGAACAGAATATATAGTTTTAAAACCAAGAGAATACCCTGGAAAACTTCTTATCTCTTTCGTAATCCAGGCCTGGTGGTGCATTTTGCAACGTCATAAGCAGAACCTGAAAACATATTTGGTTTAGATTGAAGCAGAGATTTTGGAGCTAAAATCCAGATATCACAGGCTATTAACCTTCATTGGTGGATATTTAGAGAAAGGAGCGTGACCATGAGCAAGCTCTAGCCCAGTTATACCAAACGACCAAATATCAGCCCTGAAGTAGATGCTCCAAATAAGATATACAATATATTCATCCAGTAAACATAAACAAATAGAATGATATAACTTCGAATAAGGCTAAACTAACTTGAAGTCATAACCATGTAGCTGCTCCATGACTTCAGGTGCCATCCTGTGACAATAAGAAACAGTAGGTCATGCAGATGAGTGCTAATTTCAAACAATGTTAAGAAAATATGAGAAGAAGAAGGTGTTGGGGCACCTAGCACTTACCAGCAAGGTGTTCCAACAAATGTGTTCCTTGTCCGTTGCCTATCACCTGAATCAAAGAGACATGCAGATACACCAAAGTCTCCTAACTTGACTGCACCTCGAGCACCAAGCAAAATATTCCCCGCCTGAACCACAAGATTACAACGCAAGATGAGCCAAAAGAATTGGCAACTGAAGAGATCATATCCAGAAAGAAAGGTTGAATAACTGACTTTGACATCGCGATGAATGTGGCCATGCTGATGGAGATAGTCTAATCCCTTCAAGGCTTCACGCAAGATAGTAGCTATAATAGCTTCTTCAAAACCATCAGGATATGCAGCTTTTAGGATGTGAAGACAAGAACCACCAGACATGTATGGCATGATGACCCACAAATTGTGATCACTAACAAAGGAACAATGAGACTTCAAGACATTGGGATGATCAACAAGCATCATCGTCTGCGCTTCACGAGAGATGTTGTTCTGCCCCCAAAACAAAAACGTAATCAGCTTAGACAAAGCAAAGAAAGAAGAAACACAACAAATCCAGATTGATTCAGAGAGAAAGAGGATAATCACCAGATCGCAGTTATCGCGTTCAAAATCAAGAATCTTAATGGCAACGACTTCATCGAAGGGAATGCACAAAGCACGGTGCACTAAAGCACTAACACCTTGTCCGATAACCTCGTAGAGAGAGTAATGCTCTGGCCCAATCGGATACTTCTTCTTCTCCATTGTCTAGATCCTTTGGTTTCACTAAAATCAATTCAAAAAAACAAAAAAGCTCAATATATAGTTTCAAATTCAAAATCCCTACAGCAGCAAAATTGGAGAAAACGCTTTAGAAATCAAGTGTTTTGGGGGAGAATCAAAGATTACCTGGAATTGAGAGGCGAAAATTAAAACGCAGCTGGTTCCAGTGGAGTAAATCTACAGAATAATTTCAAAAAAAAAAAGGGAAACAAATAAGTTTCATAAAAACCTAAATCTCGTCGCAATAACTATTCGCGTAACGATGGGAAACGAAATTAAAAAATTGTCGTACCGGGGAAATTACTACACCCATGTAAAATAATCAGGAAACAAAAATTAATGAGAAGAGTGAGAGATAAGGAAAGAGATAGATATCGTGCTGATGAAGATATTGAACGATGATGATCTTATTATTACGTTTTTTCTCCCTACTTTCTATCAAAATTTTCTCGAGAAACAATATTGAAAAGAAAACGAGAGAGAGAGGGAATGAGAAAGAGAGAGTCACAATCGGATCGCCGCTCAAAGCTTTTTGGGCTGTGTTAAATTTGGAATCCCGCCACTTTAGGTCTCTTTCTGCTTTTTGCCCTTTTCTCCTTTCTTCCCTTCAAATTTCCTTTTTTTTTAACTGACCGTCTACGTCTCATTAATTGTTTAACCTAGAATGGATAAGGAAAACTTATTATATTTAATTAATTTTCCTGATGAAATAACCGAATCCGGTTTACTAACTTAAGAATTAGAATTTAATTAATTAATTTGCTTGCATTGGTTAAGTTATAAATCAATTTCTGAATTTGTACCAAATCTCAGCACATTTTGAATACTTTTGTTGGTAACGCGAATTTGAGAAATTCGGAAAACTATACCAGTGAAGCAATCGGTTTTCCTGAACCAAATAAAACCGGTCTCCCTAGTGTATCTTACTTTCGACATCGGAAAATCCGTGAATTGCCATTAATCACAACAACATAGGAACATGTTGGTTAGGATAAATATCTATTACACTTTTATGTTTATCCCTCAAGAATTATGTGATCACACTTTTGTATCTCTCTGCTTCTTTTACACATAAAAAATATCTATCACAAACGCAACAACCGCACCAATCGCAACGCAAACGGAGAAAACAAAATTCCAGGAAAAAAAAAATCTAAGTCACAGAGAGAGGGAGAGACTAGAGAGATCAAATCCCACACATTAATTCTCGGAAGATAAGTAAACGTAAGAAAAGAGCCAAAACTTTTTCGAAGAAGAGAGAATGTTTTGTGAACTCAGTCTTCAAAATCTCCTGAGTTCTCCAATAGATAGTTAGCTGCCAATTCTTCGTTACGGTCACATGCGAGGAAGGCTTCTATTACTAAGGCTCTATCAAATCCCATTGCCTCGAGCTGTTAGATAGGCCAGGGAAATGCGTTAAGAAGGATTGCAAAGAAAAGAGTGTGGAAACTTAAGTGTTACTATTAATGGTGTTTTACCCGTTGAATCGCCTCTTGCTCTGCTGGGGTAACGTTAATGGCATGTGGCATTTCTTGCTCTGGTTGATCGAACATGTCCGCATCTCTGATGTGTTATGATTTTAAACTTTGTGAATCAAATTATTTCGTTTAATGAAATATCGATAAGAAGCATATAATTACATCTGACAGAACCTTAGATTACGATAAACAGATTGGAGGACTCACCCGTCAGATCCCTCATAGGGCTCGTTTACTAACTGAAGAAACTCTGCCTGGTTTTCTTGAATTAGCCTCAGAAGTTGAGGGTTTTGCTTTCCAAGTTCCTGAAGCATGGGCTGGTAACAAAAGCAGCGGTTCCAACACAAGAGCTTCAGAATCAGTGAGAAGTCTTACAAATTACTGGACCAGGATAACAAAAATTAGAAGAGTCTTACCTGAAGAATTTGAGGGTTGGAATGGACCATGGTGCGTAATTGTTGGAACTGATACAATAGCAAATACAAGAGAATGAGTATATGGAGTAAATTTACAAAAGATAGAACGAACAGTCAAAGCATGTTAACATCATCTCGGTTAATCATCCCTTGCTAGAATGGCTATAACAGACAAACAATCTCTGCATAAGTTGATGAAATGTGGTTCTAACCAATCTAGATGCTTTTTTCATAATCACAATCATTCACTCACTATCATGAATGATGAGGAGAGATCCAAATGGTTAAAAGATAAGAACTTCGCAAATTAGGCGAGTTGCAGATAAAGTTAGAATAGCAACCTGGTCATTGTTTCTAAGAAATTCAAGTGTCCCAAGATCACCAGAGCCAGCAGCAGCAACTGTTTCCTGGGAAAATCAAACTACAGAGTGAGATGGTAACTAAATATACCTTTCAATTCTTTTGGATACACAATTAATACTAAAATACCTGAGGAAATAAATCCAAAGGAGATGAGTTAGGTCCTCCAGATGCAGGTGCGACAGGGGCTGCACCGGATCCTGCCATCTGAGCCCCAGGTACTGCCACAGCTACTTCAGCAGTTTCAGGAATTCCCTAAAAGAAGAAAAAATTTGTCAATAATTTCATCCTTTGAACCTTTAGGGAATAATGTTACAGAGAGAGCCCATACAGAGTACAGATAATCCACTGCTCTCTCAGGGTTGTTATAAGCTGCACGAAGTGCACGAGTAACTGTTTCTTTGTCCCAGCTTCCGCCTCCCATTTCCATTATCTGTTGGACCATTTGCTCAAGACTACTGCCACTAACCAATGTTGACGCAGCTTGTCCATAGGTGTCAGTCTGTGCCCTGCCACATACCATTTAATTGTGAAGATTATAGTGTGTCAGTGAATTCAGAACAGATAAGGTTTACAACATATACTAGAGGTCAAACCATCAAACATGGAAACTTTGGAAAACCATAAAAGGAGCAGTAGGCAAGACCCACAAACGAAAAAATGAAAACATAGACAATAGAAGAGAGAGGAAAATAAAACTCTTAAGAAGCTCATTTTTCAATAATAAAACTTACGCAGGTTGTTCTTGAGCAGGAATAGGTGAAGCAGGCACAGCTATAGACTGGGTTGTAGATGGTGTTTCAGGCTGATTTTCCAAGACAAGCTTGTATTAAAACAACCAGTATAACAAGCTACTCATAGCATATTTCCACATGTAAAGACATGCAAGAAAGTTACCTTAGTCGAAGATGTGGTAGACGTGGTGGCGGAAGCGGGCTGTGAAACAAAAGAAAGAAGGCTTTTACACTAAGAATCATCAGACTAAGCCAGTGATGTAAAAAAATATAAGAAATAAATAAACTACCTGAACCGAAGACTGACCAGCTGAACCTGCAGTTTTGCTCTACAATTCATCAATAACCAAAGGCAAAGACAATGTTAGTGCTATCACAAGCTAAATAATGTTTCATAGCAAGGGAACAATCATGAAAGAGACATCTAGCAACATGTGCCTAAAGACACTTATTCACCAGCTTTTATCCATGTCTAAAGGATCCCCGAGCAAGAGTTTCCACTGATTACAATAAATTGTTAATGAATTAACTACTTCAATAAGGTGCTTATCAATTTAAAACAGTGGCTGGTGGAAATTAACTGGATACTCAGTCCCAGTTTGCTTAGAACACATAATGTTAAATTAAATTTGCAACAAAAGGTAAATAAGAAGGCTGACTTATTGAAGATAAAAGAAAATACAATCTGTGCAGTAGCCACCAAATATGAACAGTTACCTTGCTAAGCATAACGACGAGAAAGCCTTCCTCGGTAACTTTGTTCTCGACCAGGCTAGTTTCATCTTTCAAAACTTTTCCATTGTGAATCAACAATTGTTGGCCACATGGATAATTGTTTTTTCCTTGTGAATCTTCTATATTCTTCTTCACCGCCATTATCTTAAACAAAAACAAGCACATCATGCCCAGATTTAATTGCTTTGAAGACTAACATAACCAATTTAACTAACCCAGATTGGATTCGCGAGTCATAATTTTAGCAGTTAACAAAGCTAATAAACACTTAGAGAATGAAAAAATTTGATCACCGAACATTCAAAATTGTGGATCAGAGGCTCTTCTAGGTTATTATTCTTACTTTATTCTACTCTCTTATGCAAAATTACGCAAACGCCTGGACGAAGAAAGTAGAAAAGACGAGAACTAACCGTATCGGAGGGTAGAACCCTAATTTCAAAATGACTGCCCTTGAGAGTTTTAACGGTGAGCTTCATATCGTCGGAAAATGTGAAATCGACGGCGGAGAGAGGGCACAGAGAGAGAGGCAGACCTAAAAAAAGCTCAAATCAAGAGATCGAGGCCGACGCTAGAGAAAAGCCGACCGTACTTAAAACTTAAAACAGTCTCTCTCTCTCTATCAACAGAGCGTTTTGGATTTTAAACGCGGCAACAGATCTCCATGTGTAATCCACGTGACACATGCCCTCACAAATTTATCTCTAATTTTCCTTTTCTAATTCTCTGTGTGAAAATACATCTCCAATTTTCCTTTCTTTTTTTTATTCTCTCCGAGAAATTAACAATTTCGTAATTCTCCCACCTTAAAAAAATTATTTACAACTTAAAAAAATTATTAAAATTCAAAAGACTAAATAATTATAAACCTTTAGTATGGATTTTGGTATTTTGCAATTGATCACTATATACCGCGCCATTCTTTACTGTTTTAAATGTATTATCATCTTTTAGTTGCTACTCTTTAATGATAAAATATATTTACAGAACCAAAATAATTAATATGTGAAATTATTATTATCAAGCATCAAGCAAAATTGTAACAAAGATGGTTGTATATAATTTATTTACATAAGCAAGTCAAAAATATTTATATTACCATAGGCCTGTCAAGCAAGGTCCACTGGGCCATGATATGCATGGCTTAAACTCAAAACTCGAGTCCAGCAATGGCCCATCTGGTCACAATTGTATTTTAACAACAAGAAGAGGAATCGAGAACCATATTAATAGCCCAATAAGGCCCTATGTTAGTGGGCTGCTCCCTTTAAATGACATTAAATTAGAGTAACGCTAAACAAGTCTGATTAGTAGGAGTAACAATTAAGTTTTGTTGTCGGTATTTGGCAATCAATTTTATTAGGATATAATAATACTTTGACATTTAAATCAATATAGAGTCATGTAATGTCGGTCGAAGACTTAAAAGCCAGCTAGAATAATAACAACCCCACATGGGGACATTTATAAAAGTCACACAAGCAAGTTAGTAAGTGGAAAATAACTCAATTCCAGACCAACCCAACACGCAATTAATTTTTTTTTATTTTTTTTGTGAAATCAATATTTTCCCTAAATATCCGGTTTATGTAACGGACTGTGTTCTTTTGAGAAAACCCGCGTTTACCGGCGAATCGGCTCTTACTCTTTAGCCGGAGACGAGATCTACAATCCGCCTAAGATATAGCAATTTTTGGGAAGAAGATTTCCTCTGAAAATTTATTTGGTCGACGGAGCTGGAATCAGCTATTCATCCTTCTTCTCCAGATCCCTCCCTAATCGTTTCTTTTAGCAGCTCTTTCTCTCTCACCCGAGGTTCGTTATCTCTTTCCCTGATTCGATCTGTTTCCTTTATTTGTTGGCCTCATGTTTTCAGTTTTCCTCGATTGGATCGTCGAATTCGGATTTACTAAGCTTATTTCTAATGCTCCATGAACGTCTTAAAATTCCGTTTTTTTTTATGTCCCGCATAGTGGCTTCAAGGAAGATTGTTTTCAAATTTGTCAATGTTACAAGTTTTATAAATGATTTTGATGTTTGCATCCAACAACCCATTGTTATCTCCTCTCTGCTTTTGGTTTTCATATGAATTCAATGTGTCATTTTCAGGTAGGTGTTAAGCTAGAAAGGACGGTCTTTTAGAAGTTATGGTTCTCGATGGGATTGTATCATCACCATTGCGGAGGCCACATGCTCTAAAGAAGCAATGGGATGACTTGGGTAGCTGCTCCTCTGTTGTCCAGAGGCATCGGTTCCTTTTGACCGCTATGCTTCTTTTGGCATTCCTCTGCACCATTTATATCTACTTTGCTGTCACCCTAGGCGCTAGGCACTTGTCTTGTTCAGGGATGACTGGCAAAGACAAGGCAATGTGTCAAATGGAACACGTCCAAGCCACTTTCTCCAAAGGAAAACTGAAATTCTTGTAGACTGTCAGCCTAAGCTGATTCAATTATAAACATTTGTTTTCATTTGTCTCTCTATTGCAATGTATGTCTGTGTAACGGCCTAGAGAACCTACTCTTACCTTATTCTACTTGGATTATGTCCCAAGATTCACAATCATTGTACAAATATGAATCTTCTGTAATCGAATATATATGCTAAAAGTTTTTGAGAATAGTTTTTTTCTTTGACATCATCAAATGTTGGATTATAATGAAGGGTTTGTTATCACACAATTGAACAGCACTTTGCACATTTGTAGTGTTTCAGGTTCCATCATCACCATGTTCTTTGAGGAACCAGCGGTTCAACATCTAACTTGGGCGATAAATCAAAGAGGGAAGCTGGAGCAGTCATGTCGACGCTCCAAGAATCATCCATGTTGATTTCCATGGCGGTTTCCTCTTCGTCCTCTTCTTCAATATGTACCTCCAAATCCTCAGGTGATGAACGGATCCTCTCAAGCTCAATTGAAACCTCTCTCATATATGGCCGTTTCTTCCCTTTTAGACTTAAACACCTTCTGGCAAGTTTCGCCACTGCCAACACTTGTTCCAACTTGCAATCTTCTTTGATCCGAGAATCAACAATATCAAGAACTCTGTTCTGTTTCATGGCCTCAATGAAACGAGACGCAAGTCCTCTGTTTTCTTCAGGCCGCATTACAGAAAACGGCTTTTCCCCAGTTATGAGCTCAACCAAGACGACCCCAAAACTATAAACATCACTTTTATCCGTAAACTGGCTAGTTTGAAAGTACTCTGGATCCAAGTATCCAAAAGTACCTGCAACTAGAGTAGTCAAGTGAGTTTGATCTACTTTTATGGATCTCGAAGTCCCGAAATCCAATACCTTGGCTCTATACTTCTCATCCAAAAGTATGTTTGTGGTCTTGACGTCTCTGTGGTAGACCGGGGTTGATGCAGCCGAGTGCAAGTAAGCAAGTGCTCCTGCAATCTCAACAGCAATGCGCAATCGCACATCCCAAGTCATAGTGTAGTCATCAGAATCATCATGAAGACGCTTGAATAGGTCTCCATTTGGAATATGCTCATAAACCAAGATAGGAACCTCTGTCTCGAGACAACACCCCATGAGTTTGACAACGTTTCTATGGTTAATCTGCGAGAGAACACCAACTTCATTGATGAACTCCTCAACTTTGTCTTCATCCAAAAGCTTAGACCTTTTCACAGCGACGATTCGTCCATCTACCAACATTCCTTTGTAAACAGTGCCTTGACCTCCTTGCCCAAGAACCCTGTTCTTGTTGAAGTTATCCGTCGCTTTCTCCAGCTCTTTCGAACTGAATATCTTCGATGTCTCCACATTACCTCCTTCTCTTGTAGTTAACTGTTGTTTCAACAACAAGCCTCCATTACGTTTAAAGAACATTCTCTTTCGGATAATCTTCTTTCTCTTCTTAACGAATTTGATCAATCCCCATATCCCAAGAACCAAGAACAACAGTGCCAAACCTAGAACAAGACCTGCACAACGACGAAAAAAACCTATAAAGATCACTCCTTTTTCCCCTGTTATATGACTTTAGAATCTGGAAAAAAAACTCCATTAATTCACCTTGAAACACAGGCTTGATCTTCTGTGCTTCCTTCGGCTCGCACCTCCACGATCCAGGAACATTCACACAAGTTTGTTCTCCACAGCTGTTTCGTCCTTTTCCTTCCTCACATTCATCAATATCTTAAAAACAAAAATAACATAAAATGCAGAATCAAATCAAACAAATCCGTAATCACTTAAAACTGAAACCCCATTGAAGCCAAATAGACGAAGAAACACATAAATCTTACCAATGCATCCACCAGGAAGATATGGATTCCCTCTGTAACCAATCTGATTGCAGTAACAGTTGCTGTAACCAAAGCCAGAGAAGTAACCATACTCACAAACACAGCTTGGTGCGCTCGTGTAAATCCCTGTTTCCGTCAAATTCACACAACCCACAGGATTAGTTAACCGAGAATCTGATGTATCAAAGTACCATCCAAGCTCAATCACCGTAAACCCATTAGTATAAAATTGCTCCGGCTCTGTAACATTCGCCGGAGAGTAAGTCTCATTCGTCAAGAAAGCAACTTTACAGTCACTTCCTTGAGTTGCGTTACCACCAGAGCTTTCAAGGGTAACGCCGATAATTTGCGGTCTATCCGCCGGAATCTTCGCCTGACAACATCTGTAACCACCGCAGATCTTGTCTAAACGAGTCTTGTCTCCGTCGCAGCTCGATTCGCATCCTGTGATCTGAGATTCGATGTCTGTAATCAATGCTCTGGTGTTGCAACCAACTGAGACGAGACGATTCGAGTCGGTGATGAAAAAGGGGCTTCCTTTACCGGTGAGGTTTAAAGGAAGAGGCTTTTCGGGTCGTTTAGAACAGCCGGAGGAAGTCACCGGAGATTTGATTTGAACAACTCCGTAGGAACTGTCGATGCTATTTCGAAGAGTGATACTAACTAATTCTCTGTTGATCTTGGAGAGGAACGGACCAGAGATGGTGGTGTTGCAGACAACCTCGTACCAGTCGTTGAGATAACAGTCTCGTCGTCCGATTCCAAAAGGAAAAGGAATCTCGATGCCTCCACAGATTCGATTACATGAAGTTGAAGAAGAAGATGGAGATTGAGCTGTCGTTATCAAAGGGCCATTGAGGAACAGAGTTAGGAGAGACAGTAGAACACAGAAAAAAAGTCTCCTTCTCTTCATTTTTTTTTCTAATGATTTTGTACGGAAGTTAGTAATTATTTAGCCGCCTCTTTGGAACTTGGAAGTTCTATGGAAACAGCAAAGTTCACACAACGAACAAGATTTCGTCAACGGTCCAGGGATCAATTATCATTACAAGTTTACTAACTCATTTTTCAAATCAATTTGTAATTTTCATAATTAGTGTCTTAAAATATATTACGAAGTGGTTACAAACAGATCCGTAATAATACAACTTGACGAATGACGACATTTATAGAAATACATTCACGAACAAAGTCCAAAACCGAACGTAAAAGCAAGGTTAATATGTTACCGCGTCTGAAGAGGAAACAATGGTTCAACATCTGACCACGACGAAGATGATGTAGCAATGCTGTATTGAGATGATGGTGCGGCAACAGTCACGTAGTTTCTTGATTCTACCTCTACGTTGACTTCCACTAATTTTTCTTCTTCTTCATTTTCGCTAACATACTCATATGGCAGCATATCTCCAGGATACGAACAAATCTTCTCTAATTCCATCGATACTTCTCTCATACTTGGTCGTTTCCTTCCCTTCATATTCAAACATTTCCTTGCAATTTTTGCGGCTGCTGTCACTTGATTCAACTTACACCCATCTCTTATTCGAGCATCGATGATGTCGGAGAGTCTGTTCTCTTTCATTGCAAGAATGAAATAAGTTGCTAATGTCCTGCTTTCTTGAGATCGCAAAAAAGAAACTGATTTTTCTCCCGTGATTAGCTCAGCTAGCACGACTCCGAAGCTATAAACATCACTTTTGTCTGTGAATTGGCTTGATTGGAAATACTCTGGATCCATATATCCCACAGTGCCTGAAACTACTGTCGTGAGGTGAGTATGATCCACGGTCACCGTTCTTGAAGTGCCAAAATCGGACACTTTGGCTCGATATTTCTCATCTAACATTATGTTTGTAGACTTGACGTCCCTGTGATAGATTGGAGATGATGCAGCTGAGTGCAAATATGAAAGAGCTCCTGCAATATCTAAAGCAATACGAAGACGCACGTCCCAAGTAGTCATCGTGTAATCATCAGAATCATCATGGAGATGCTCAAAAAGGTTACCATTAGGAATGAATTCGTAGACGAGAATAGGGACATCTGTCTCTAGGCAACACCCCAAGAGTTTTACGATGTTCCTATGGTTGATTTGTGAGAGAATGACGACTTCGTTGATGAACTCTTCTAGCTTGTCTTCGTCTACGACTTTGGACTTCTTCACTGCTACTATTCTACCGTCGACAAGCATTCCCTTGTACACTGTACCTTGACCTCCTTCACCTAGTATTCTATTAAAGCTAAAGTTTTCGGTGGCTTTTTCCAACTCTCTTGAGTTGAACACTCTTGTACTGTCGACGTTGCCTTCAGTTGAAGTCAATTGTTGTTGCAACAATAAGCCCCCATTACGCTTAAAGAATTTCTTCTTTTGGTTTAACCTTCTTTGTCTTCTAATAAATTTGTATAACCAGTATATTCCACAAATGAATATCAATGTGCTGAAACTCGTGCTAATCCCTACAAACCCACAAAAGAAAAATGAAAAGCAAAATACTTTTTTTCTATATGGCTCGTCACTATTGTACAAATTAAAAAAAAAAACAACAACAACGTTTAGATGGATGCGAGTGTACTTGAGATAGAAATTTTCATGACTTACCTATAACAAGTGGTCGATGATTTGTGTACTCACACCTATAATCGCCCTGCAAATTGACACACTTTCCTCTCGGACAGACTATTTGTTCTCCACCAATGCCTCTTACGCATTCATTAATATCTGGTTTTCAAACAAAAAAAAAATGAACTTGTAATCAAATTTGATCTCGTTGGTTTATTTTGATCATGGTCATAGAAGACTTGGATAAAAAAAATAGATCTAAAGCTCAATTACTCACCTTTGCATTCGCCAGGAAGATATGGATTGCCTTCGTAACCACTAGAGCATGAACATGTTGCATAGCTTGAAGAGTTATAGTCGCAAAGGCAACCGACTCCGTCTACTTTTGCATTGTCCCTTCTTAGAACTGTGAACTCTTCTATACTTTTGCATCCTAGAGAGCCTATGAAGGAATGATTCGCCGTATGGATGAACCATCTTAGCTCAACCGTAACATATCCCTTAGCATGAAGCCTCTCCGGGTCAGATCCATTTGACAAAAAGTATTCCTCATCAGTTAAGAAGGCAACTTTGCATCCTCTCGATTGTGTGTTGTTATCATCTATTTCCACATCAATAATCTGTTGATACCTATCGGGCATACCTGCCTTGCAGCATCCAGTACCGTTACAGCTTGTATCATTCATAGTGGAAATTTTACTACAAAACTCGGAGCCGCGACTCTTAGTATTACAGTAGACTACCCCGAGATAATCATTTATAGGCATCTGTTGTTTTCTGCTGCAAGTAGACTCGCATCCGACAATACTTGGCTCGACATTTGTCAATGATGCCGTGTTGTTGCAGCCAACCGCTATGAGCATATTGTTATCGCCAAGGTAAAAAGGGTAACCTGTCAAATTTAAAAGTGATCCAAGCTCTTGTCCGCCACTTGAGCATCCCTTTGAAGTTATTGGGTTTTTTATGCGAATCGATCCGTACCCTACGTCAAAGAACCGGCTATACGTATCCGAAAAAGAGATACTCACAACTTCCTTGTTAATTATGGAAAGATAAGGAACAGAGTTGTTAACACAAACAATTTCGTACCATTTCTCGAGATAGCAACCCATTCCGATTCCAAATGGGTAGGGGATGTCGATTCCTCCACATGTTCTAGGACAAGAGCGAGCAACGCTGAGATCAAGGATCAGCAGGAGAGACAAGAGAATCAAAAGAGAACAACTACTATTAGAGCTCATGTTTAGGTTTATGTTTATGTTTATGATCTGCTCTCAAGAAAAGCTAAAGCAGAGACGGGTGGTTTTGTAAGGAAGAGCAGAGGAGAAATGTTGTGTTTAGTTTGACGCAGCAATAAGTCATAAGTCTTCATCTTTGAATTTCGCTTCCATATTTGCTTCTCTGGTCAGTCTTTATTTTTGTAGGCCTAGTGAAAGCATTTCACTTTCTGTGAGCCTCCGTGTTTGAATTTCAATATTTTAGTCCTCCATTTACTTGAGAAAAAGAAAAATATTTTGGGAACATCTGACTAGGTCGCGAGGAGAAATTCCCACTCCACAACTAACGATCAAAATATATCTATTTTAATTCTGTAATAATTGTTGCAAAAAAAAATTCAATGTAACTAACGATCAAAATATAAAATTATACATCCTTACGTTTTCTGTTCGGAAGTGTATAATTAATACATACAAACGAGAATCATCACTAGAGACTTGGCGACCTTTATAGAGATACCTTATACCATAAACACCAAAACTGAACGTAAAAGCAAAGACTATACAGTCATCTGCGAGGTTGAGATTTTACGTGTCTGAGAAGGAAACAATGGTTCAACATCTGACCACGATGAAGATGATGCAGCAACGTTGTATTGAGACGCTGGTGCGGTAACAACCACGTCGTTCCTCGATTCTACCCTTATATTCAATTCCATGGCTTCTTCCTCGTTTTCACTAACATACACAAGTGGTTGCATATCTTCAGGAGACGAACGAATCATTTCCAATTCCATCGACACTTGCCTCATGCTTGGTCGCTTGATTCTCTTCAGATTCAGACACCTTCTCGCAACTTGTGCTACCGCCATGACTTGTTCCAGCTTGCAATCATCTCTGATTCGAGCATCGATGATATCCACGACTCTGTTTTCCTTCACTGAAATAGTGAAATAAGTTGCCAATGTTCTGTTTTCTTGAGGTCGTGTAAAAGAAATCGGTTTTTCTCCTGTGATGAGTTCCACCAACACAACTCCGAAGCTGTAGACATCGCTCTTATCAGTGAATTGACTGGACTGGAAATATTCTGGATCTAGATATCCTGCAGTACCTGAAACCAGTGTTGTGAGATGGGTATGATCCTCTGTTACCGTTCTTGAAGTACCAAAATCGGACACCTTAGCTCGATATTTCTCGTCCAACATTATGTTTGTAGATTTGATGTCTCTGTGATAAATCGGAGCTGATGCGGCTGAGTGAAGGTATGAAAGAGCTCCAGCAATCTCTATAGCCATTCGCAGACGCACTTCCCAAGTGGCCATCGTGTAATCAGATAATTCGTCATGGAGATGCTCGAAAAGATTTCCATTGGAAATAAACTCGTAGACCAGAAGAGGCACTTCCGTCTCAAGGCAACATCCCAAGAGCTTCACAATGTTTCTGTGGTTGATATTCGAAAGAATGACGACCTCATTTATGAATTCTTCTAACTTGTCTTCGTCCACGATTTTAGATTTTTTGACAGCCACAATGCTACCATCGACCAACATTCCCTTGTACACAGTACCTTGACCACCTTGTCCAAGAACTCTGTTTTCACTGAAGTTTTCAGTAGCTTTCTCCAACTCCCTCGAACTAAATACTTTTGTCTTCTCCACGGTGCCTTCCGTTGAAGTTAACTGTTGTTGCAACAATAGACCTCCATTACGTTTGAAGAAATTTTTTTTGCGATTGATCCGCTTTCGCCTTCTAATACATATGAATAACAACACACATACTCCAAGTAACATCAACACGCCTACAACAATAAGGAGGTACCCGACTGCAAATCACATAAGAAGAGTGAAAAAGCACACTTTGAGATTGGTACTGTATTCTAGATATGTAGTCTATGTGTTATATCACCGGTAATAAAATCTTTTTAACATTTAAGAAATTCAGTGACCTACGTAGAGTAAGCGACGTTAGACCATAATAAGGATTGTAGTTGCAACGATAGCCTCCTTGGAAATTCACACAAGGGTATTCCCCACAGTATTTAGGATTCTCTTCTTCATCATATACTTTACATTCGTTGATATCTAAATAAGTAAAGTAACAAAAGTTAGGAGATGAAATCTTATATAATTCAAAAGGGAACAAAAAAAAGATGAACAAATTAAATGTTAGATATAAAAAAAGTTTATTACCTATGCATCCACCCAAGAGGTATGGATTACCTCTATAACCCTCTGTGCAGCCACAACTTGCGTAGATAATACCAGAAATATCAGTTTTATTCTGGCATGTGCAACTTATTTTGTGAGAGAGTCCAGTGTACTCTAACTTATTCTGGCATCCCAAGGAGGTAATGAGTGAAGGATTCGTAGTTCGCAAAGACCATTCAAGCTCAAGGGTAGCATACTGTTTAGCATGTAACCATTGTGAATTTCGCTGGCCCGTAGAATTCAAAAACGATCCAAATCCTTGTTTATTGCTGGAATTAAGAGGGCTTTTGATGTGAAGTGACGCATGTGACATGGACCTATCATGATTTTGACGAGGAAGAGAGATATCTACAACTTCTTTGCTGCTAACCGAAAGGAAAGGAACGTCTTTTCCGGAAACAGTTTTGCATTCAATCTCGTACCCTTTGTCGAGGTAGCAACCCTTGCCGATTCCAAATGGGTACGGGATATCGAGTTTTCCACAGTAGTTTCGACAAGTGTCCAAAGAAGTGAGAGCAGCTGAATTAAGGATCAACAAGAGAAGTAGAGAGAAGAGAAATATCAAAAGAGAACAAGTATTATTAGAGCTCATGTTTATTATGTTTCTGATCTGCTCAAGACTAATGTCTTGGTATTTGTAAGGAAAAAGTTGCGTTTTTTGAATATTCTTTTGTAAGGTGTAGAAAGTTACACGCAAGTAACATAGAGAAGTGAATCTACCTCTCATATTATCGTTTTCTGCTAAAATATTTATTCAATGGTACTTTTTCCTTACCTAAATGAACCCAGCCTTTATTTTGTTAGGTTTACACTTAAGAACAAAGAAGCATGTCACATGAGTACTTTTGTATTTTGTTTCTCACCATTATTGTACTTGTGGAAAACAACAAAGTTGTTGTTACTTTCATCACTCTATGAGCAATTAAAATCCAATCCTGGATGAAAATGTGGCTAAGAAATGTTAGAAGAAATGATCCAAAAACCTTGACGAAACTTGTTTTCACCTGTCATAACTTTGTATTACATAGTTATCTCATTTTGTCTCTTTTGCAAGAATCATGAAATCTTATTAGAGACTTTAGTAATACCCACAAAACAGCTTATAATCCACACTACTAACATGAACTAGCTGCTGACATAATTGTCTCTCTAACATTAAGAAAAATGAAATGAATGCATTGCATATAAATGTACAAATGTTGGCTTGATCTCCTTAAAAGGTGTTTTAGAGCTGCGAAAATGTGTTCAAGCTGGGTCTTGAAGTGGAGAGGGTCCGGTTTAGTGAAGCCAAGTAAGCAAAGTCCCATTCATTTTTTGACGGACATTATCTCTTCTCTTCTATAAATTGGGCACTTTTTTACGCACAGTCACGGAGATAGATAGATAGAGAGAGAGAGAGAGAGCTATGGCGGAGGAGCACTTCGACGTTCTGACTAAATCCGGTGAGAAGACCGGTGTGACCAAACCCAGGCATGTGTATTGTTCATGTGTTTTCCCTTTCTTGTTTGATGAGATATACCCAGTAATCGAATTCGTACACTGAGAGGTGATTTTGATTGAATCAAACTCTCTTGTTTATACATTGAGATTTCACGTCTTTGTTGGAAAAAGTCGTCCTTTTTGTTTTTGGTTTTGGGGTTTGATTTGATGCTTCGTTGACCCCATCAACTACACAACAAACTCGACGAAAGGGTTTTAGGTCAATCAAGAAATTTCAATCCGATTTTGGATAATTTTGGGAGTTATGTTCTTTATCGGCTTTTCTCTGATCTAAAGGAATAAGAAAGTTACTTGGGACTTGTTTTTCCAGTGAATTACATCAATGACATTCATTCTGAACCGTGTCATTGCAGGGGAGAGGTTCACAGAGATGGAGATTACCATCGTGCTGTTCATGTTTGGATTTTTGTGGAGACTACTCAACAACTACTTCTCCAACTCCGATCTGATGATAAAGATTCGTGGCCTGGACAATGGGACATCTCTAGTGCTGGCCATATTTCAGCTGGTGATCCATCCCTTATATCTGCACAGTAAGTAAATCCCATTCTGCATTCGTTACTTCTTCTATCCGTTTACTAAAGTTTTCAGGATAATTTGTGTAGGCGGGAGCTCCAGGAAGAGCTTGGCGTCAAACTCCCAAAGGATGCATTTGAAAAGATATTCGTTTTTCTGCAGGAATGGTTTGTTTCTTGGCCTATGTCATACATGTTCTCTAATTCAAATCTTTTGTCTCAAGAGACACTATTTGTTGCTAAAAGTGCTTAGTTTGATTGGTATATCTTGAAGCTAACTTGGTTTCGCTAATTTAAATATGCATTGTGATTTGTTAATCTCAAGTATCGCAGAGATATTCTTATCAGACAGTGTGCTGCTTTTCTTTTGTGTACTTTGACAGTGTCACAAACGATGGCAAATTCATAAATAATGAGTTCAATGATGTGTATCTTGTTACAATTCTGCATCCAATCCCATTAGAAGCCTTTACTCTTCAAGTGAGAATTTTTCCTTCACGAAGCTGTAAGTTTAAGTACTAAACATCACTTGGATTCTGAAGTAACATTTTTCTTGTGTGTTTTAGAAAGAGGAAGTCTCTGCTGTAAAATACGTACCTTACGAAGAATACAGAAACTTTCTGGCTAAGGAAGATCCTGCTTATGTGCCATATGATGTAAATGGAGAGTATGGAAAACTATTTGACATTATCAGGCAGAGGTACATTATCTCTTATTGGGTTTTTTCTCCTAGCTACTTCTTTTTTTCTTGTTCATATCTAATATCTTCCATGGTACCAAATGAAAACTTTTATGAGTCATCTATCGCTGAGGTACATGTTTTATATGGATATGTCTTTTCTTACGTAGAGTGTTTCTTCTGAATTTGTTGAAGGTGCCAAGTGAACACTGAGGCGCGTAGTTTATCTCTGCAGAAGCAACTCCAGAGATATTCTCCAGTCACCCTCGAAGCAAAGGTATTAATTTGTCACATCTATTCTGGTGATTTCTTTGTTTCATATGTACCAATTCAATCGTATTATGTTTCATTCCATAAAAGAAGTTTCCATTTTGAGACACCCTTTCATTTATATGCAGTTGACAGAACTTTCTGAAGCAGACCAGAAAGCGTTGGGTCTAATTGTGAAGGCTGCAAAAATTATGGACGATATATTTTATGAGCAGGTTGTGTGGAGTCTGAATTTTCTTTCTGTGAGCATGAAATCTCATGATTTGATCTCAAACTGCATTAGAAATTTATACTTTATCAGGTTTGGAACAGCAATCCAGCTCTAAGAGATTGGCTGAAGGATCATGCCAATGCATCAGAACTGGACAAATTAAAATGGGAATACTTCATGATCAACAAAAGTCCATGGTGATTATCATCAAACTAACTTTATTCTAACATTTAAGTTCTGGGGAAAGGGTTAGGATTCATCAACGGAACTGATGCAGAACTTAACTATGTGTTAACTGAAGTTGCAAAAGATGTTGTCTTGAACATAATTCGTTAACATATTGGTGTGTCCACCTCATGACGATTAGGAGAGATTGATGTTTCGTATTTTATTTGCAGGTCGTCTCTTGATGAAAATGAAGCATTCCTGAGTACGGTGGATTCAGCTGTAAAGTTGCTTCCTGGAGCAACAAAAGCCATTGCTGGCTGGCAGGGTCTTGAATATAGAGCAGCCTTTCCAGTGACTAAACCACCTGGTGCCAATTTCTATCCTCCCGATATGGATAAAATGGTACTTAAACATGTTTGATGTGTCTTTACTAATTTCTTTTCTGTTCCCATTACCCGTAGTAAGAAATGTGTTTCTAAACTTATAGGAGTTCACCTTATGGCTCAATGGTCTTACAGAAGAGCAAAAGCATGCTGCAACAGGATTTTTCAGTGTTATAAAAAGGCGAAGTGAAGCTAATCTAGATGCTTCTGACCATCTTGCCAGCAGCACAAAGAAGTTACCAGACTCTAACTCCGATCTGTATAGTATTCCTTATTCAGAAATATATCGACCTTTCCTCACGAAAGCTTCTGAACTTTTGCACAAAGCTGGGGACTTGGTCAGTTCGCCTAGGTATATATTTCATACAATTTCTTACCTTTACCATATAAAAGATCACCCATTCGAGTGACTTAGTATATTGAAGTACTTCACAATGCTTCCCATAGTTTGAAGAAGCTACTGCATAGCAAAGCTGAAGCCTTCCTTTCAAATGAATACTATGAGTCAGACATTGCATGGATGGACTTGGTAACTCTTCTCTGCCCATTCATTTGTAATTTTCCTTCGTTAATCGTTATAAAAGAGGATAGCTCTTGTGAGACAAGCTCTGGCTATTTTAATGGTCCGTAATTTCGTGTCACAGTTATTATCAGTCTTGCATCATAGTTTTGAATCACTTTTGCTTCGTCTAATCATCTTTTGTAGGATTCAAAGTTGGATATTACCATTGGTCCATATGAGACGTACGAGGATGAAATCTTTGGGTACAAGGTAAGACTTTACATAAGCATGTGCGTTTTCATTGATTTGCTTATGCTGATGCTCACAATCCTCGCCTTCACATACATTAACCTTCATAAAATGCAACTCCCTTTAACCATTTAGTTTCAAATCTATGATAGGCTCGTTGCATGAGTTTACTCTCTAATCTGTATTTGTTTTCCGTCTAAGGCTACATTTGAAACCTTCATTGGTATTCGAGATGATAAAGCCACGGCTGATCTGAAACTCTTTGGTGACAATCTAAAGGTATTGCTCTTTTCGTAGCTGCGGTCAATCAAAGTTGCATTTCTTTTCGTTTTCCATTTTTCCTCTAAGATCATTTTTCATTTTCCACTTTCCGGTAGCTATTGGAAGATAATCTCCCGCTTGACAGTGTATACAAATCGACAGATGTATCTGCTGCTCCTATTCGGGTCATCCAGTTAATTTACAATTCCGGAGTAAGTTCCAGCATCCATCTGAGATAGGAAACAGAAAGAAAACGTGTCGCCTTTATTCATGATTCACGTATTTCTTGGTTGTGACAGGATGTGAAGGGTCCTCAGACTGTTGCTTACAATTTGCCAAACGATGAAAAAATCGTCAAAGATAGAGGAACATCAATGGTTATGCTCAAGAACGTCCAAGAGGCAAAGTAATGTTCCTTCTTCCTCCATATTCCATCTACAAACGATGTAATAATTACGTATAACTGAAATCTTTTTGCTTTTCCAGGTTTGAACATATTTTAAAGCCTATAGCTGAAATCACCATCAGCAAGGAACAGCGAGGATTAGTTGATTTTGATTCTTTCTTCACTCACACCATTTGCCATGAATGTTGCCATGGCATTGGTCCCCATACCATAACCCTTCCTGATGGTCAAACCTCAACAGTGAGAAAGGTTATACTTCTTATTGGAGGAATGCAGACATCTAATTAAGAATTGTTTGCCCTGTGACTAGTAAGTTACATTTGTTTTCTCGCATTTCCTTTGATCTAGGAACTACAAGAAGTCCATTCTGCAATGGAAGAAGCAAAGGCAGATATAGTTGGTCTTTGGGCACTGAAGTTTCTCATCACTAAGGTAATGATCATATTTGCTAGTTATTGAAACTTTGTTCA